AGAGGCTTCAGCAGATCTAATCAAGATAGTTTAACTAAACCTCTGAAAAGTAAAATAGTTTGAGCAGAATATCTGAATTCAACTGACAATTCTGATTTAAGATTGAAGGCTTGGAATGAGGATTTAGAAACAAATATTGTAAAAGAGGATTGGGAATCAGCATGTTCAAAAACACTTATTAGTGCATCAGTCTCCTACAATCCAAGTGGCTCATGAGAACGAATGAGACATCAGAAAAAAATGGAATAGTTATAATGGAAATGTACCTGATGTATGTACTAGGTGGTAAATGTACCTGATGTATTAACTAGGTGTTAAAAAAGAGTAAATGTACCTGATGTATGAACTAGGTGTTAAAAAGAGTAAATGTACCTGATGTATGAACTAGGTGTTAAAAAAGAGTAAATGTACTGATGTATGTACTAGGTGTTAAAAAGAGTAAATGTACTGATGTATGAACTAGGTGTTAAAAGAGTAAATGTACTGATGTATGTACTAGGTGTTAAAAAGAGTAAATGTACCTGATGTATGTACTAGGTGTTAAAAGAGTAAATGTACTGATGTATGTACTAGGTGTTAAAAAGAGTAAATGTACCTGATGTATGTACTAGGTGTTAAAAAGAGTAAATGTACCTGATGTATGTACTAGGTGGTAAAGGGTCATTGTTCCACTGCGTGTTGGGGATGTCCTGAGGTTAAAGGAGCAGTAGAGACCACTATATCTAAGGATATACACTTTTTATTTAGGAATCCATCCTGGAAAACATGCGTTTACAAAGAATGAAAAAAGTACTGATAGATATGTGTCTTTTACAAGCAAAGAGAACAATTGCAATTTAGTGGAAAAAAAAAAGTTCAAGCTGATGCTTTGGGTAAAATAAAAATGCTGATAGCATTTCCCCTTGAAAGAGTTACATGTTTTAGAAAAGGAAAGTTAGCAATATTTGAAACAAATGTGGGATCATACAAAGACATTGTAGAATATCTAAATGTAACAAATGACGCTGAGGACTATTTATAAATGACTGTGATCCTATATCTCCATGATATGTTATTCAATATAGTGTTCATATCTGTGGCACTGTGGTAAAGTGTCACTTCATATCTGTGGAGGTCTTATTTTATTGCATCAGTTATTTTTTTGTATGTGGGTGCTTGTTGTACCTTTTGTTCTTTTGTCTTCTATTTTCATTAGTGATGCACTAAATGAGAACGAGCTACTTGGAGAATTTTAAATAATGTCATGAGGAACAACAAAATCACACATGAGTACACAAATTATTTTGTCAAAGGCAGAAATATCCAATAAAATAAATATATCAAATGAATTTTGTAGATACTTTACTCGTGTAGGAGACTCGAAAGAAAAGAAAATTTCCAAAACCAGCATCTAGCAGTGAAATACAAAGGTAGATCCTGTGAACAATATTTTTCTGTCCAATATGGAAGAAGACAAAGTATGAAAAATTGTGAATACATTTAAAAACAACCGACTCTGGCTCAGACATGATGCATCTGTAATTGAACCTTTTACATACCTTTGCAACTTGTCACTAAAAACAGGAACCTTTTCCTGAAAAAAATGAAAACAACCAAATTATACCTCTTTACAGAAACAAACACAACTTCTCAAATTCTAGACCCGTGTCTTTGTTACCACAGTTTTCAAAAATCTTGAAAAAAGTATTTGCAATGTGAGTGGATAGCTTCTTACAAAAGTAAATGTGTTAATTCAAAATGAGTATGGCTTTAGGAAAAAACACTCAACTGTTGTGGCAGTAATGGAACTGCCAGAGAAAATATGCAGATACATATGTTGTAAGTATCTTACTAGACCTGCAAAAGGCTTGCTCATACATGGATCTCTAGTTATCTAGAAAATCTTAAACAGTTTGTGCAGATACATTGTAAAAATAATAAATTACTCAATACCTATGTTGTTTGTATGAATGACTTTCCAAAAGTATCAACTATTGTGCTGTCCTCACGATACGTGACCATGTGAAGCTGGAGCGAACGGGAAAGAAACTCTGTAGACAAGGTTTACTTTTCTTGTTTCATAGAGAATCTCTTGCGTATGGTTCATTGCATCCATAAATACAAAATATAAAAAAAATCACCGTAACTGCAACACTAGAAAAACTATCAACGGTTGTGCACACTGAATTGCGTACAGCGCTAGCTAATCAGATATAGCCCAAACTTAACACTTTGCAGTAGAATAAAACACTTTTATGGCCCCTAACAATGTGCTTGTGAGATTAAATAATACTTACAAAGACGAACGTTTGCCGAGGGTCAACACATGAAACAAAGATTGTTACAAAGACTAACCAAACAAGAGCGCTTACTCTGCTCGACCAGGAAACTGATGTCTTACTTTGTTTCCCCTTATAATTTTAGAACAACAAACAACTATAGCTTATTATCACACTGGGCTGAAGAAGGCGCTGCGGGGCCCAAACACGCTGGTCCCTTCTCTGTTAAAGGACTTTTATCAGAGTGCCTCGGATTTCACCCGGTCTTCATTTCCCATGGAAAAGGGAATCTTTGTTTTTAAATGTAACTTATTACATAGCATTTAAGAACGTGTTGCATTTTTAAACTTATAAATGATTGAATTATGTCTTTAAACTTGTAAACATGACACCTATATTACAAATAATCTTATTTGCTGGTGCCACAGCATTATTTTGTTGTGGAAAAAATGTTGGAGAGTTATCAAAAAGTAATAAACAAAGAACTTGTCATAATAAAAATCTGGTTGGTTCAAATGACTTTGCTCTAAACAAAGAAAAAACGATTACATGATATTCAAAGCTAAAAAGAAAAAAATCTTAAATAGTGTATCGATAAGACTAGACGGGGGAATTCAAAAGGGTAAAAAAAACAACATTTTTGGGAGTCATCATCGTTGAGGAAAGGAAAATTAGCCAAATCACTTGGTGTTTTACACTTTCCAAACCACTCAGCGTTACTGACCTTAGATAATACAATGATTATACCGACCTCACCTATGTTGTCAACATTTGGAGACAACGTTTAAAACACATTGCCTATAGTTATTTTACATAAAAAAGACCAGAAGGAAAATATATTGAGATTCATCAAATCCTGTTTTTGAGTGCTTGGTGTTAAAATTGTATGTTATAGTGGATTATACTATTTATCATACATTGTATAAGGTAAATTGCAAAACATTAGCAGCAAACCTCTAAGAGAACTTTGGAAAAAAGACAATGTCGATACAATCTGTAAGTAACTGACATCTTTAATAAAACCTAGATTCAGAACTACATTCATGGGAAGAATGGTCTCAGTGGAAAGGAATCAACTTGTGGAACTTAATAAATACATTAAAGAGTCAAAATAAAAAATCATGGTTTTTAAGAAACAACAAAACTACTATACTCAATAAATATGAGAGTGTTACATAATAAGAAAATCTGGATTTTAATTAATGGTTTGTGTTTTGGTAAAATGTTGTACATAATGTTTAATTAATGGTTTGTGTTTTGGTAAAATGTTGTACATAATGTTTAAGGTATGTAATATGGGTGTTTAATCAGTCTTTAAGATGATTATTTATGGTAACGAGTGTCACTTGTATATCTGAGAGATGTACGCCTTTAAATCATTTGATCTCGAGTAAAAAAAAAACCTATACCAAGGACCCTAGTTTCACATCTACCTACTCTGTTTCAAACTGTGTACATATATGTATCTAGGGTTCTTATTTTTATTGTATTGGACAATTAAATTGATATAGAGACTGCTACCTTATGATTAGGGTTAGGATTATAACGCATTAATTACGATTGATAAACGCCACTAAAAATATATGTGTTTTTGCTCCACGGAACCTTTGTCATCAGGTGAGTTTCAGACGGATCGTTCATACTGGTGTACCAGTTGGAACCCTGCGCCCATCTCCGTGAAAAAATAACAACTATCCCCCTATTGTTTTAGTGCAACACTCAGGACCACATGATAAGGCTATCACACACACACACACCTAAGTGTCGCTCTTTCAGAGTTCGGGTGCAGTACCACTTGTTGTAGAAAAATAAAAAATACCTATACAATACAATACAATTTATTCTTGTATAGCCCTAAATCACAACTGGAGTCATCTCAGAGGACTTACCAAAAACTACTGAAAATCACCAACACAGATCGGAGAATCAACAGTTAAAACACATAAAGAATATAGACCACATGCCCGTACATGTTGTAGAATATTAAAGTGTCCTGGATCATCACCACAGTCCTTCTAGTTTCTCACTAACTGTGCAACAAACCCATCCTGCATCAGCAATGAAAAACTCATATGAAAAAAGTGCGAAACCTCAGGGAGACCCATAGTTTGAGAAAGGGATCTGCTTCACTCAAGTGTTACCTATTGGAAAATAGGGCGCCATACCACCTTTTCATCACATGGTACTACATGTATCACCCTGATTGGACGTAGTAGTAGGTCCATCCTCCCTCCAAACCCTTCATCATGATTCGCTGTTAGTACACCCTCCCTTTAACATTGCACGGATTGGCCATAGCTGGTCCATCCTCCCACCCCTTCATCCTCCCACCCCTTCATCATCATGTTTGCTATAGGTTGACAGGTCTGGGACTGGTCCTCCCGTGGTGTTTGATTAGGTATTGACGTGTCTCCCTTAACTAAGCCATCACTGTTTGTTTTAGAATAAGCTCGGTGTGACCCTCCACATGTGTTACGCTAAACGCTGCTCAATAAATCACTTTTAGACAACTGTGAACCAAACTTACAAACCAGGCAGAGAGTAACTCATTAAACATTCAAAAGTGACACCTCTTTGAAAAATACAGTGCAGTAACACCTTTCACCACTTGCTCAATAGCGCCGTCCCCATTCTGGGGAGTTCAGGGTGCAGTACCACCTTTTCACCACTTGCTCAATACCGCCGTCAATTATATCTACTGTCATGTGACGTCCGGCTCACTCTCCTTCTTGTGCTTTTCAGGTGAACGTGTCGTGTTCGGTCTACAGACTCTTGTGAGTATAAAAGTTTGTTCTTTTAGATGACTTTTAAAAGTTCACGTCTGTCCCTCTTGTGCAGGTTCCCGCATCTTTTGTTGTCAGTGCCTGCAATTGGCCCCGAGCAGGAGCCAGTGCTTTGGGCTCATGTGGAGGCTCTAATCAGCTCTGCTCCTCCAGGTTTGTGTCTCCACTTACCACCAAAGTCAGGGTCCCGAATTAACCTGAAACGCTTATAAGTGCCTTACCTGTTAGATAAAAGCTGGACAGAATAGCACAATGATGAATGGACAATCAGATTAGACACTTTGTTGAGAGAAGTCTTTAATGTGTGGACAGCATCTCTGTAGACCTCACAAAATCATGTTTTCAGCCACACACAACATGACAAATGAAAGTGTCATTTGTCATGAGAGCACTGTGAAGCCAAAAGTAAAAGTAAAGTCTTTCTGTTTCTCCTTGACAGAGTGTGTCCCAGGAAACATCACGGTTAGTTTTTCTCACTAATAAAACCATGATTTTGCTAAAGCAGAGGTTAATTTTGTTGACTTTGTCCTGTGTGTTCCCTGTAGTGTCCAGATACACCTTTCAACAGTAAGTGTCCTTTGTCTTTATTGTTTGAAGTATTGGATTAAACCCTCAGCCATGGATAGGATCGAGACAAGAGGCCAACACCATATACACTTGCGCAGTATGTACAGTTAGAAGAAAAAAGACGGAAAGTAATTACAGGTGAATATTTGAAAAATATTGAACATTGTTCAAAAGTTAATTTATTTCTGTAATTCAGCCTGGAATGTGAAACCAACATTAAACATTTTCCAAGCTGTGAGCAACATTATCAACATTATAAAAGGCTTCATACTGTATTTCTCACTTTGCGTCTCCAGAGTCATTCACTAGTTTCACATTTTAGTTGAATCAGAAAATGGACTTTGGAGCAATATTTGAATTTTCCGAGTTTCCCCTGAATACAGTATAAAAGTCAGTCAGCCTCATTTCATTATCAATCATCTATTGTCATTGTCACAAATAATGGGCTCGGAGTGTAGCCGAAAAGGAGCCTCCAGAGGCAACCTGAGGATTTATGAAAGGTGTAGGTTTTTTTGCTCATTAGGTCCTAAACATGTGCTGTAATCTATCTAATTATCTTCTTAAGACATGATTTGTTGTGATAAGTTTTCAGAATTAACTGTTCAATCATAAAGTTAATGTCGCGTTGCAGGAACGTACATCTGTGGACAGCAGAACGGGTAAGTGTGCTTGTCGTTTGTGAACGCCCTGTACAGAGCCCTGAGTATGTGTCTCCGCTCCGCAGATCTGACATGTGGACCTTCACCGACATCTCTGTGAGCGCTGTGTGCACCTTCCCTCTGGAGAAGTACGCCTGTGCACAGGTCAGTCCATCCTCTTCTCGAATAGCTGTAGAAACTTGTTCTGTTTTTTTCCAACAGAAATAGCATTTTGTGAACAAAGCAGACCACTACATAAAATATGACTTACACAAAAGTTACAAAAATGCCAAAAAACTGCAGAAATTACTTTTTTAAAAAGATGTGGTAGGTAGTAATCTTCCTACCACTAAGGACAGTGATGATATGGGATATTTTTAGGGACATTTATGGACATGTATATTCATGACATGTATATGTATTCATGGTCATCCTGCTCTATTAAATTCAATTATTCTTGTACAGCCCTAAATCACAACAGTATAATCTCGAAGGACTTTACCATTGAATTCGCCAACTCAGATCAGAGAATCAAACAGTTCAAACACAATAAATCTAATGATAAAAAACAAATTGAGCCCTGGGTCTGTAAGGTGCAGACGACCAATGTTCATAAATGGTGTTGAATGTCGGGGGTCCCTGATCATCACCAACGCATCAGCAAGGAACAACTCTAATAAAAAACCCAGGGGTAAAAACCTTGTGGAGGCCCACATTGAGGGAGGGATCCACTCCGATGGACGGATGGGCAAGAAATCCAGGGCTCTGGTGGCTCCAAGGCAGGGAGGAGGTGCAGCCCACAAGTCCGGGTTGGAAAGGACAGTCCGCAGATGATAATGGAGGGGTTCAGGGGGTCGACTGCTGTTGTGATTTAGGGCAATATCACTAAATAAATAGAATTGAAAGTCCCACCATTTAACACTGTGCTCATGTGCTTGTCTGCAGTTGCAGAACTTCACAGCTCCGCACCTGGCCGCCCTGCTGTCCTGTGACCTGGGTGGGAACAGCAGTCACTCCACCATGCTTTGGAAGCTGCTGCTCTCCAGGCTCTCTTCCATCTTAGAGCCAGCGCTGGACCTGCTGGCTGCTATGGTCAGACTGCTACACTGAGCACTTCTAAAGACTATTCAGATCTCACTATTTTAAAGGACACATTATCCTAACATGTTTTTAATATTTCATCCTCAAAAACACTCCTTGAGTTCTTAGCTCCGTCAATGAAATCAGGAACAATCCAATTAGTTTTCAGTTTTTCAAAACAAAACTCTAAATTAGTTTTGAGAATTTCCATCTATCAATTTCATCCACTATATCTGTTGCCAAGTTGCTGAGGTAGAGATTCACAATCATCCTGAGGCTTTCCCAGGCCTGCTGAGGCTCTCCAGCATGTCCTACGTCACAAGGCCCCCTCACGGTGGGGGTCTGGAACGCATCTCCATGGGCACGCTCAGGGACTCTGCAGAGGAACTTGTTTGAATCTGCTGTCCAGTCCTTTTGGTCATCCCCAAACAATCATGACCAGTATGAGAACATGGATTTAAGTGGTAAATGCAGATGCTGCTCCTTCTTCACCCCAACAGTTTAATACAGTTACCAAATATCTGCACCCACTGTCTGTCAATCTCATCCTCCATCCACTGCGTAGAAGACCAGATGATTGGAACTTCTCCTCTGGGAAGAACAAGGTCAACCAGACCTTGTTCTGGTTGAGAACTATTTATATCCTAGTCGATTCTTCAGTCAATGACATTCTTTACAACTGCATGCCTTTAGATACAGTAGGTTTATTACAAAAGCACATTTCCTTGCTGACACTGCTCTTTGTGTTGACAGCCGGCGGGCAGTGTGGGCTCGTCAGCGTCTCAGGTCCTGGACGTGGTGGGGGAGATCAGACTGTCCCAGCTGTCGGACCAGGAGCTGAGCGAGCCGAGCGTGCTGAGGTCCTGGTTCTCCACGCGTCTCGCACACTTCCTCCCACACTCCTCTGCACGGTTCCTGCGCTGTCTGAGCGTCCGCAACATCAGCTGCTCCGCCTTCCAGCACATGTACGCACAACACACACACACACACACATCCGCATACATACATACACACACACACACATGCATACATACACACACAGACGCGGACACATGCACGAGCAAGACTCACACATGCAGATGCACACACTTACACGCACACACATGCAGATGCATACACTTACACGCACACACATGCAGATGCATACACTTACACGCAAACACATGCAGATGCACACTCATACACTTACGCACTGACACACACGTGCACACACACAGGTACACACACACATGCAGATGCACACACACTTACAAACACATGCGTAGCCTACACATATCCAGATACACACACACACGCACACACACACACACATGCAGACACCCCCCCACACACAAAAGCCACACATAATAAAAATCATTTTATATGCCCCTGATATGATGTTTAAAGGTGCATTGTGTAACCTCCCTGACTCTGTCCATGGACGTGTTTGTGTTGCTGTTCTGCTTTGTCACTCGCTGAAGCTTGGTTTTTTTGCTGATGTTCCTTTGGTGCAGCCTGCAGATCTTCAGTCTGGACTTTGATGAGATGACATCACAGCAGCAAAAAGTCATTCTCAACAACTACATCCTCCGCTTCCTCTCCACTCCCCTCACAGGTACACATGGTTGGGGCAATATTACAAACACGGCTGAATATTACAATATTACAAACACAAAACGGCGGAATTTCTCCTACGGGATCAATAAAGTATCTATCTATCTAAACACTGTATAAGGGACAAGACAAATACACCAGACACGGAAATGCAGAGGTGTGTAAAACTTCCTTATTTATGGATGTAACATGCACACCAGGTCTCGTCCATAGCTATCTTCTCCTCTGCCGCTTCTCTGGTTCATCACACATGTCACAAATGTATCAAAGTGATGTTCTCTGTCCTTCATTCCTCTGATTTGCTGACACAACACTTACTTTGAACTGCTTGGTCTCGTTCAAGCTAAGTGGAGTTTTTGGTTTTGACTGAGTGAATTGATAAAAAACTTTTTTTTCTCAGTGTTGATATGTAAACTGGTCCTTAAAAGGCTTTCCTGTTTACCCTCTGAAATAACTAAAAGCAGCATTTATGACAACTCTAACTACTAGAGTCTCACAAGACATCAGTACTCCGACGAGACTGAATGAGTGTTTGCCTTATTGAGGCCGAGATCATAAACAGAGAGAGAGAGAGACAGAAAGAGGGAATGCCTTCAGGACATGCAGTCACCATGGCTGCACAGCTTGCCCTGAGCACCAGAGCAATAGCTAGATACACCACACCAGATTTACCACACCAAACAAGAGACAATCTATCACATTACAGCAAGGTGCAAGATGCTGGTAAAGGAAGGAAAGCCTATAAAGAAGCCATGTCCAGGTGGCTGGCATAGAATATAACAGCATCTGTGCAGAGAATGGGCTGGAAACCCCTGGGGCAAGATGAGGAACTCCTCCAAAGGTGGTCAAGAATGAGTGAGCATTGAGACATGAGGTAAAGGAGACAGTAGTGAGGGGAGCTGGGGGTCTGAAGGTAAAGGCAACATTTTTTTTATTCAAAAACCTGGATCCAGTTGCTAAATCTGTTTTACAATCTATCCAAATTGCAAAGGAAACTGTGTTAGCTGTTGTTTGCATTTGTTGTAGCATTGTTTCAGAGCATTGACTAATAGTTCACACGCACCCCTCATGCGCCAGGTCCTCGCTGTGTGTCCATGAACAGTACCGAATGGTTGCTGCAGAACATGGGGCACTTCTCCCGGCTCCTACCTTTGAGACATCTCCTGCAGCTCAACCCACAGCTCCAGCCGGTGAGCCACTGACCACTGACTACAACACGTTCTTTGCCAGTAAAGCAGTACACAGAGTTCAACGGGAAGCTTCAGCTCACACGTCAATCTCAAATGTGCAGTTAATATAAGGCAGCCCAAGAATATACAGTAACAGGGGAACTGAGGGCTTTTTGCCAAGAGGAATGGGCAGCTTTACCATCAGAGAGGACAAAGAACCTCATCTACATCTACCGCAAAAGACTAACAATAGTTGTTTAAGGGGAAAACGTGCTACTGAGAACTGGGGGATTATGATTTCTGATTATTGTCAGAAAAGGACATAGAAAACACACTTATTGAACAATAAATGGCTTCACACAACCATTAACAATGAGTGATACGGCTTTGTGTTAGCACTCATAAATGGGACAGCCAGTACTTTTGGACTGTAATTTCACTTCATTAAGAGGAACAGCCGCCCCTTAAGATGTACCATCTACTATTTAATCAGATATTAATTTCATGTAAAACATAGTTTTAGTTGGATATTGAATCATCAAATGGACCAAATATAGACTGAAGTGTGAGGGAGTATCATGCTGTGTCTTCATGTTTGTGTCATTCTCTGTGTTGGGTGTGGAATGGGTGAAGTGACCGCTTGTCTTTCTTGGTCCTCCACAGCTGGAGGTCCTACAGCTGCTCACCCCAGAGCAGAGCGCAGAGACCCTGACGATGGTTCTGCCTGAGGACAAAGAGTCCATCCTCCAGGCCCTGTTTGACTTCTACACCGCAGAAGCCGACGATCGAGACCTGCTCATCTTCCTCTCTGAGCTCACACTCGCAGTGCCACAGGTGAAGACCACAATGCAGACCACTTACAGCAAACTAGATAAGAACCAAACAGGATGAAGCCCAAAGTCTGCTCAAAGGTGCTTTTTAAGAAGTGACAGCAGCACGGGCACGTTTTTGTTTAACGGGGACAGGACATGCTAAAGTCCCAGTTTTTGACCATGTTATACTTGTTTCCCCTTATCCTTTACACACGTTTTTAGAGCACTCTTTACTCTTCTGAACGAAACTACCTAGAGTCCAGGCATATCCTGAAAAGAGATGAACAATTCTAACCCGCAATGAAACCCCCAATAAAGCTCAGTGAAGCCCCATAGGGAAGTGCTCATGGACACAGTAATTTTGCTTTTCTGCCATGAGAAACAAGGGGTGTTTTACTGATATCCATGTATTTTCCACTTGATCCACATCATGTTTAAGGGTAGAATGCACAAAGATAATGTGTTCTTTAACCTGGTCTCTCTTCTGTCCAGGCTAACCTGTCATGCTCGGCCTACGTCTCCCTGTGAGTGTCCGGTATGTGTCAGTGGGTCCCTATTTTTTGGGGCTGATGATTGACAGCTGTGGTTTGGGTTTCGCAGGTTCAATAGACTGGACTTGACCACAATCAACGCCTCCCTGGAGACCGTCACCGCCATAATCAGATCCAAGATGGCACTGTCGCCACACGTACCACACGGTAAAGATTTCTAGTGCTCGCAATGCACTACTGTCTCCTGTCAGGGTTTAAGACCTTTACCTTTTGTGCATTTCAGACTGCATCATTTACGAGGGAGAGGTAATATCTGCTTTTCATAAAACAAATTCTCTACAATTTTTGAAACTTGTCATATATATCGGAGTAATGTTGTGATAGAGATATCCCCCCATTCACATCAACATCTAAAAGTAAGTAGTAGAGCTGTTTTTACTGGACATGGCTGAATGAAAGAGGATAGAAGAGCTGTTTTAACTCGTCACAACACAACTGAATGAAAGAATGAATAATGCCTAACTAACTTCTCACTCCCCTTGTGTTTCAGTGCACAGTCACAGTGAAAAATGGTGAGTCCTGCTATATCACATGTGTTAAAGTCAAGCCCCGTGAGCCAGATCCGGCCCGCAAATGAATTATCTATGGCCCTTGGGATGATTTTTGCCTGCCATTGACGCAGTGATACATCAATAGTGGTTTTCACTATTTTCATGTTCTCAGATGTCTATTATATCTAATATGTATGGGGATTAACTTTAGAGCATATTTCATCGAGCCAGCAGGTGGCACCAAAATTAAATAGGAGATTGTGTACACCATTTTGATGAACCCAATGACCACTTCAAGTGCATTTATGATAATAAACAAAACGTACTTTTGCATTTTTGTGTTGTTACCCATGTTGAAGCAGTGGTCATTACCTTTAACCATGTGTTTGTATTTGCAGAGACTGAGATCTGTGCTGCTGTGAACAGGTAAGAGCAGATTCACCACACACACACACACACAGGCTTGTGTCACATTTACACAAAGAATGTTTTGCATCATTCTACTTCATTCTGATGTTTTTTATTGAAACGTGTCTCTGTCCATAGTACATCTGTCCAGTGGCTGATTGACCAGAGACTGACCAGCGGACGCCTGTGTGACTTCACTGTGGAACAAGTGGCCTGTGCCTCTGTAAGCAGCCTCCTCTCACACTCACTCTGTAAAACACTCAAGTGCAAGAATATTAAGGTAGTGAGTCTGTAGCTCCCAGGGTTCAAATATTCACAAGCATGAGATACTACTGTACATGTTAGCATGTGATACAACTGTACATGTTAGCATGTTACTACTGTACATGGTGGGCGACAGTAGCTCAGTTGGTAGAGCATTGGCCTTTGAGCCAGAGGGTCATGGGTTCGAGCCCGACCTTCACCATCGACTCCCACTGTCTGCTGTCGTTGTGTCCTTGGCAAGACACTTAACCTCTGGGAACAGCAGCCACAGTGGGGCGGCTGCGGCTGTAAAGTGCCAAACTGCCATTGTGTCCTTAGGCAAGACACCTGAGGTGTTTCACCCCCATTGCCTAAAATTAGTCTAGTGTGTGTGAATGGTTGGTGGTGGTCGGAGGGGCCGATGGCGCAAACTTGTTGCCTCGCTTCTGTCAGTGTGCCCCAGGGCAGCTGTGGCTACAGTAGTAGTTTATCACCACTACTACACTAAAGAATAATGACATGTAAAGAGTCTTTGAGTCCAGAAAAGCGCTTTATAAAATCAATGTATTATTATTATTATTATTATTATGGTAGCATGTGATACTACTGTACATGGTAGCATGTGATACTACTGTACATGGTAGCATGTGATACTACTGTACATAGTAGCAGCATGTGATACTGTACATGTTAGTGGCATTAGACACATGTGGTCCCATATTGCAGATTCATATCATGTGAGGTCAGGTCAGCAGTGTTTATTAGTACTCATTGCTCGTTGTACACACTGACAGCAGCAGGAAGGATGAAACCTGAGTGCCTTCCTATAGGTTACATTTGGACAGAGACATCGATACTGAACTGCAGAGCGCTTTTGTGTTGGTCTTTCCACTGACCGTGATCGTGCGTGTGTGTGTCTCCTCAGCTCTCAGTCCTCCCCTCTGCAGACCTGCAGGACTTCCTGACCTGCCAACGCTCTCACAACTCCAGTGGCTCCAGAGCCTCATGGAAGTTGCTGCTCAATAAAGTGCCCCATGCCCTGGACCAGGCTCTCGACATGCTCGCCAACATGGTCTGTACTACTGCCTCCTGGGCTGAAGCTACTCGACTCCTGCATCTGTAGTTCAGGTCATGGCACAATGTTCACACTGGTCTTCTAGCACTGTAAGGTCCAGTGTCCTTGTGCTCGAGAAGTTGGAGCCTTGTGACTCTTTCAAAGACATCTCACAGCTTTGGAACAGTAATTGTAATGGAATGTCTCCCATTTACTGTATATACTGTATAACACACTTTAGGCAAATGTCACCCTTGGAATGAGAACATTTAGCAACAGTTCTTGAAATAAGACTAAATGACTTTGTCCCATTGGCAACTATTGTTGTGAGACAGTCAGAGTGAACTCAAATTAAGATAAAAACCTCTTGATTTAAGCATTTATTATATTTTTTAAGCGTACCCTGTGCTCGTACCTTTATTTGCTGGCCTTGTCTTAGTATCTGGTTTCCATGATTACATGCGACATAAATGCAATAGAAATTGTGCCATCCACTCATGACACAGACTGGTTTTTTACTCAATCAGAGCACTGGTTTACATTAATCATGTTCAAACAAGGTAAATTGAACAAGAAGAGAGGTTTCACAAGTGCTTTGTAAACGTACTGAACCGTGTTCACTGTGTTCGTAGACGCTGGACCCAACACAAGCTGCTCTGCCGCTCATTCTGGACGCTGTGAGAGAACTCAGACTGGACACGTTCTCCATGGACCAGGTGAACCACCCACTGGTCATCGAGACGTGGTTCCAGCGCAGGCTTCGGCCCTTCCTATCCTTTGTGTCCATGGACTTCCTCCACTGCTTGACCACAAAGCCCCTGGACTGTTCCACCTACCAGCACATGTAAGCCTGTCAATGCAATTTATTTCAATTCAATAAATTCTTGTACAGCCCTAAATCATAACAGTAGTTATCTCAGAGGACTTTACAAAACCATTGAATTTGCCAAGAATTCAACAGAATTCCAACAGAATCAAACGGTTCAAACACAAGAACTGCAATGTTAAAAAACACCCAAGGCCATTGGTCCATAAGGGACAGATGACCAATGTCCATAAATGTTGATAAATGTCCTGGATCATCACCGCTGGCCTTTGACCCATTAGTTAGGAACTAGTGATATAATCTATATCACTAGTTCCTAACTTTAATACAATATTTTTCTATCAATAGTTTTCACATGCATGTATATGTTTTAAGAAATGAAAAAAAATCTATAGATGTGTCAGAAAAGTGAAAAAGAGAGGACCACCCTCACTCAATCACCTCTCATCAGGTCAAAGTCACAGACTCACAGGGCTATTTCTTAGTATTCAAAGTGTTAAAAATACAACATGTTTTCAAAAAGGTGAAGGCAGCATGTTGGCCTCTGATGATTCTCAATATTTTGCACAGACTAATAACTCTTTCTGTTGGATAAACAACATGTTTAAAGCTGTTTGATCCTGCCTGTGTATGAGCTTACAGTATGTCAAATCTGATTTTTGATTCATCATTGTTTTTTTTTATTGTTTTTTTCTCAGCCCTACTTTATTGTCTACTTTTATATTACACTCTTTGCAGACTCGCATGATAAAGCAAAGGTATTGTTCCGAACACCCGAATGAGGAGAAGTGTCTCTAACTCAAGTTTTTCCCAGTGTTCCATTATCATCCAGTGTGCAGCTTTGATAAACGAGACAGAACTCCTCCCTGACTTTCAATATTTGCATCAGATCATTGTAAAGTTGTGTGATGTTTGTGTCACATAGTGTTCACACAATGAGCCTGCAGCAGCCGCACATGTCTCCGTCCATGCGAATGCTCGTCTTCACCCACTTCCTCCAGGTCTTCCTCAGCCGCAACAACACTGCTGGCAAGTACAGATACCAGTGGGAGGGGTTGTCACTCTCGCTTCTCAGCAAAAAGTTCCTGAGTTTGAATCCCAGTTGGGACTGGGCCTTTCTGTTTGCATGTCTTCTTTCATCTACATGGTTTTCCTCTGGGACCTCTAGTTTCACTTACAAGGTAAAATCTTCCAGCTCAGACCCTGACCATGGGACCATCCTTGCAGCAGCTCATGGCCAGCTCCATAATTGGAATCTATAACTTTGTATGGGGAGAATAGTGTAAGCTCTGCATGACTGAAAGTTTGAATAGGTCCATACCATTTACAGTGTATGACTGACAAAGGGTTTATTTTAGATTTGGATATAATGTTTTCAAATGTAAAGGATTTTTTCAAAAACATGATTTTGACTTTAAATCTAGTAAACTTTAAAACAGGCAAAGACAATTCAAACGGGAGCTCTTGGTCTCCTTGTTCTATTAATTTCCTCCCCCTGGTTAAACTTCTTGTGATCAACATGATGGTCGTTCTTGTTTTGTACTTTTCTAATTGTAATATCTTGTGTGTGTTTGCTCAGACCCAAGCTGCTCAACCCTCTCCAACAGCAGTGCGACCTGGCTCCAGTCAAACCTGGGGTCCTTCTCTGTGCTCCCGTCCTTCCACGACCTGGTCACTCTTAAGCCGGACTTCAACCCTGTATGTTTCTATCCCCTGCTGTATCAGTGACCTATTGCGAGGAGCTGAATGTGTGTCTCTCCTCAGATGGATGCCCTGCCCCAGCTCAGCGTCCGGCAGCTGGCAGAGGTCAGCTCCACCCCAGGACAACTCTCCTCATCCTCTCAGGTCGCCATGGTGATGCGCCATGTGCCCGACGACCACCTCACAGACTTCTTTGAAGACTATTCCCCCGCACTCAAGGTAAGCCCTCTTGAACTCTGGCTGCGTCCAAATGTCCTCACAATATCCCACTCAGAGCTCTATGTGTTCCTTTTGAAAAAGATCTCTCAAACTTCCCACAATGAATCTTGAAAAGTAGTATCCAGTGCCAGTCAATCTGGATGACAATGCTTTGTGAGTGTCAGGGGAAAACAGCAGGGCAAATGACACGGCTGAAGGAATAGCTAACTAATAGAATAGCTGTTTTCACGCCCTGCAAAAGCAAGCGGCAAAGACCCTTATGCTAGCCACATAACTTAGCTTAAACTATCTATAGTTTCCAATCTCACAAAAAGTTGCAAACACCATGCGTTTTGATATACAGTACAAACATGAAATCCATGTTCATTCTTAACTGAAACCTAGAGTATTGGCCCATGTCAGATTTCTATCATTTATAACAAGAAAACCAGTTGTAGCAGTCTTTCTAGTTATAGCTGGCTCATTATTTACCCAGATGTCACATAACCAGTCACATGACCCGCAAGAATGAGAAAGGAGTGCTGTTTTTAACCTCTAATTCACAGCACGTGTTTGCTACAAAAACGTGGACACGCATGTTATGTCCAAGATTGTTATTGTAACGTTGTTGTAATGAGCCTGACATTTTAATTCAATTCAATGTATTTTTGTAGCACCCCAATCACAAGAAATTACAAGGCTGTTGATTCGTTTTGTGGAATGAAACCGTTCAAATACAAGAAATACAATGGATCATCGCCACTCTCCTTAAACTAATTCACACCTGCAGGAACATACTTGTGTGTAATGAGAAAAAATACATAACATTATGTATTCTTATTTTATCTTGTTCTGACTGTGCACATGTCAGTGAGGGGAGACCCTTCTGTTCACAGCTACAATAAAGCAGGGACATTTGCATCTGTGACTGAGGGTTTAGGGACATCCTCAACACACTAGTTCTGCAATAAAACTAGTGTGTTGGTTTTGAACAATATCCATATCTAAGTGAGACTGTGACTGTGACTGTGACCGGGCGGCACGGTGGATAGCACTCTCGCCTCTCAGCAAGAAGGTCCTGGGTTCGAATCCCGGCCGGACCAGGGCCTTTCTGAGTGGAGTTTGCATGTTCTCCCCGTACCTGCGTAGGTTTCCTCCGGTTTCCCCTACCACTAAAAATATGTACAATAGGTCTGGCATGCGCCTCCTGTTCGGCAACCCCACTCCCATCTCTGTGTGGAGTGAGAGGACAAGTGCCCAAAAAATAACAATTGTAAACCGCTTTGTGACTCTGGTCTGTGAAAGGTGGTATATGAATAAAGCTTACTTACTTACTTACTTACCAGCAGGGTATATTTCCGCTCAAATTTGACTGCTTGTGTGTGTCAGAGTTTGTCCTACTCGTGTGCTTTTCTGACAGGCGCAGCAGGACCAGTACCCCCCAGCCGTGCGCTCAGCCATGTTGCAGACAGTGTTCGATCGGATGAACCTGTCCCAGGCTTCTGTCCCGGAGCCGATTTTCAGACACCAGCTCTCTCTGCTCTGCCCGCTGATGTACGCCCTGGACCCCGCACACGTCGCCCCTCTCTTCAGCATGATGTCCGGGAGAAACTGCTCCACCCAGCGCATTGGGTACGGCCAACTACTACGCTTTTATTTGAGGCTTGGTAAAACTGTCTCAAATTAAATGAAACAATGATCAAGTTTATGTTGAAACAGTTGAACAAGTGCACACTCAGACACACAGCAGCAGGTGAGGGGTGGAAAAAAACAGAACGCCTTCTACAGTGAATGTAAACACCCACACTCCAAAAAATTATAAAATATGAGGTAATAAAGGGTTTAATCAAGTGGTTTTTATCTTAATTTTAGGTTTAGGCAGTCAAAATGTCCTCAAATTAAGATACATTTGACCATTTTTTTGTGTGCAATTTTTTACTTATTTTTCCCAACTTTTTTCAGTGCAGTGAAATCAAAAGTCTGCTCAAATGTTCTGTTCTAACATACTTCTGCGAGCCACGACTAATGTCTCTCTCAGAAGCTCAGAAAGAGGAGCTCTCACAGTTTGGCTTCTCTCCACACCTGTGCAGATAAATGCATTCCCCTTTTTACTTAAAGTGGTTCCTCTGTTTGCATCATATGTTCTGAGCAGACCCAGAGAAGGTAACCCCGGTGGTGAGGTGGATATCCATATTTGGTAACCTGAACCGGTGCTGTTGACGAATGATGCACCAGAGGTTAGAGCATCAGCAGGGATGAAGCTGTCCTCCTATAGACTTTGTGGACAATGCTAACCCGCTACCTCAATAATGCTCAATGGGGAAGTGCTCATGGATGTTGAAGTTTTGTTCTAACTCGCTCTGGCATCTATCGACTTGCATGTAAAAGTAAACACCTCTAGCGTACTAATCACACTCACCATTTTGGCCTTATAAAATGATCATCTGCGGGGGAAACTCCACCTTGCCTTTTTGTTTTAGCTACAAGTGTGTCGCTTTTACAATGTGAAGCCAACCCGGCAGAAGATATGCCCATATAAGGAAGTTGGCTTCTGCTAGCTTATGGTCAAATTGGCGTCTCCTGCATGAATGCTAACACTATGGTGATGTCAGAACTCGGTTTGTCCACTTCTTTTATACAGTTTATGTGTCCTCCACACTTCAGGCTGTAATTGTAAGGATATTTTTATGGCTTTTTATGACCGGCTCAATACTTTTAGACCGTCACAGAAACGGTTACAATGCCACTTGTTTTCTGATTTAGATGTGCTGTACATGACTTCAAATCAAAGCAAAAAGTCTGCTGACAGTGTATTTTTATTTATTCTTTCAAATCAAGAGAAGAACTGTGTCCCTGACTATTGAATCTACATACCGGCCCTTTAAACTTGAAAACAAACTGTGACTGTGCTGCAGGATGGAGTGTTTGAACGCCAGCATCTCCAGCCTGAGCTCGGAGACGCAGAGTGACGTGTACAACCACATCATACTCACGCTCAAAGGTACCACACAGTCACACTCACAGGTACCACACAGTCACACTCACTCACAGGTACCACGCAGTCACACTCACAGGTACCACACAGTCACACTCACAGGTACCACACAGTCACGCTCACAGGTACCACACAGTCACACTCACAGGTACCACACAGTCACATTCACAGGTACCACGCAGTCACACTCACAGGTACCACACAGTCACGCTCACAGATATCACACAGTCACACTCACAGGTACCACACAGTCACACTCAAAGGTACCACACAGTCACACTCATAGGTACCACACAGTCACACTCACATGTTCCACACAGTCACACTCACAGGTACCACACAGTCACACTCACAGGTACCACACAGTCACACTCAAAGGTACCACACAGTCACACTCAAAGGTACCACACAGTCACACTCATAGGTACCACACAGTCACACTCACATGTTCCACACAGTCACACTCACAGGTACCACACAGTCACACTCACAGGTACCACACAGTCACACTCACTCACAGGTACCACACAGTCACACTCACAGGTACCACACAGTCACACTCAAAGGTACCACACAGTCACACTCACAGGTACCACACAGTCACGCTCACAGGTACCACACAGTCACGCTCACAGGTACCACACAGTCATACTCACAGGTACCACACAGTCACACCCACAGGTACCACACAGTCACACTCACAGCAGGTACCACACAGTCACACTCACAGCAGGTACCACACAGTCACACTCACAGGTACCACAGAGTCACACTGACATGTACCACGCAGTCACACTCAAAGGTACCACACAGTCACACTCACAGGTACCACAGTCACACTCACATGTACCACACAGTCACACTCACAGGTACCACACAGTTACACTCACATGTACCACACAGTCACACTCACAGGTACCACACAGTCACACTCACAGGTACTACACAGTCACACTCACAGGTACCACACAGTCACGCTCACAGGTCCCACACAGTCATACTCACAGGTACCACACAGTCACACTCACAGGTACCACACAGTCACACTCACAGGTACCACACAGTCATACTCACAGGTACCACACAGTCACACTCACAGGTACCACACAGTCACACTCACATGTACCACGCAGTCACACTCACAGGTACCACACAGTCACACTCACAGGTACTACACAGTCACACTCACAGGTACCACACAGTCACGCTCACAGGTCCCACACAATCATACTCACAGGTACCACACAGTCACACTCACAGGTACCACACAGTCATACTCACATGTACCACACAGTCACACTCACAGGTACCACACAGTCACACTCACAGGTACCACACAGTCACACTCACAGGTACCACACAGTCACACTCACAGGTACCACACAGTCACACTCACAGGTACCACACAGTCACGCTCACAGGTCCCACACAGTTACACTCACAGGTACCACACAGTCACACTCACATGTACCACACAGTCACACTCACAGGTACCACACAGTCACACTCACAGGTACCACACAGTCACACTCACAGGTACTACACAGTCACACTCACAGGTACTACACAGTCACACTCACAGGTACCACACAGTCATGCTCACAGGTCCCACACAGTCATACTCACAGGTACCACACAGTCACACTCACAGGTACCACACAGTCACACTCACAGGTACCACACAGTCATACTCACAGGTACTACACAGTCACACTCACAGGTACCACACAGTCACACTCACAGGTACTACACAGTCACACTCACAGGTACCACACAGTCACGCTCACAGGTCCCACACAGTCATGCTCACAGGTACCACACAGTCACACTCACAGGTACCACACAGTCACACTCACAGGTACCACACAATCATACTCACAAGTACCACACAGTCACGCTCACATGTACCACACAGTCACGCTCACAGGTACCACACAGTCACACTCACAGGTACCACACAGTCACGCTCACAGGTACCACACAGTCACGCTCACAGGTACCACACAGTCACGCTCACAGGTACCACACAGTCACACTCACAGGTTCCACACGAGCAGTTTTGACACCTGTGTTTTTGTGAAGTGACGATATGAGTAGGTGTGTGATGATGCTCCCTAGGCCCTGTACCTCTGCATTGCTATGGAAACGACTATAACCACAGCTTCTACCAGTTTTTGGAGGGCACCTTCATGGGATTCCAGTTCCCCAATCTGACCACCTTCGTATCCCTGATGCCCCACCAGCAGATGTCCCAGGTCTGTTTGCCTTCTCTTCCTGATCTGATGAAGATTCATTTTCTAAATACTTATCTTTTTGTTTGCACCTATGATAGGCCAATACTTTGCTGATGGTGTGTTTTCCTGCATGCAGCAAGATCTAATGCAACCATAAGCCATTCAACTTAACATAGGATTCTACGGAGATGTTTTGATATGCCTGTACAATCAGAATTATGTCACTTACATATCAGTTTAGAAGCAGAATTAAGTCTTCACAATAGTAATTATGTGCAATACGCCCACAAACAGCTCATGCCATACCCAGAGTTTTGAACCTGGATCAATAAAAAGTCTTACATAACTTTGAAAGGCCCAATCGGGACATCGGCTTAAAATCAAAGAACCGACACCCAATCCGGGTGTCGGTGCATGTTGGTGTCTAAATCAAGTGTTGTGTCTCGATCCCAGCTGCTGAACTCCATCCCCGGCTCAGACCTGGGGGACTATCTGCAGAGGCCTGAAGTTGTTGACAGTGAGGAGGTCCTCTGTCTGATCTACGACAGCTACACAGACACGCCCACGTTCCTGTACACTGTAAGTGAGATGAGCAGAGACACAGGAGGAGCTGATATGTGTCTGCTCCAAAATTTTATATCTGTGTCTCTTTTGATTTGAGGGATGGTCATGAAGAGGGGGCAGCATTATTTCTAGTACAGCAGTGGGAAGTACGTTATGTTTGTTTCCTGGTTTTGTTGCAGGAGTCCCTTCCGACCGATATCCAGCAGGTCACTTTGCCATGTGTGTGGCCCCGGGCCCTCAGTGCAGCCTCTCACTCTGCTGCGGACATGTGGTTTGACCGGAGCCTCCGCGACTTACTGCGCCACCTGACCAAGAAACTAATCAGCCCCAGCTTCACCTTCAACTCGTCCTGCATGGCTTTCCAAAAACTGTACGCTACTCAGTCACACAGAGCACTTACATGAGAGCAGAGAGACCCGGCTTCATCCCATTTCATTCGACTGATCAAAACCCACAAACCCATTAGGTGTTAATGTCAGGTTTTTCCAAATGTTTGGAGGTTTGCCTCATGTAATCTTAAACTGACAGCCTCTGATTATCTAAAGACCTGCAGATCGAGGCCTTGTCTAGTGTATGAGGAACTTTCATTGCTGATACTTATACATATTTTTAAGATATTGTGGTTAGTCACCCATACTGATCGTTACAGTCCCTCCACTGAACACTTCACAAGATGTGTTTCATTTTGGTTGATCTGATTTGGTTGATGTCTGAAATTCAATTACGCATAGTTTATAAGATGTCCTCATACATCCTCATACAGGATGTAAAATTGCAGTTGGAGTATGAAGGGAAAGATAAAAGTTACTGTAACCTTGCCTGAGCATCCATGAATTTAAAATACAGTGGTCCTTTGCTGTAATGCAGTTCACCTTTTGCGGCCTCGCTGTTTTTTGTGGATTGTTTTGATTAGTTTAGCCCTTAGTCCTGGTCCTGCCCCTCAGCAATGTGTCCTCTACAGCTGTATTTAGGCAAGGCAAGGCAAGTTTATTTGTATAGCACAATTCATACACAAGGCAACTCAAAGTGCTGAACAAGATAGCATTAAAATCATAAATAATTACAGAACATTAAAACGAAAGATAAAAATATAAAATCCCTCAGTTGTATGCACAGCTAAACAGCACCGTTTTTAACTTGGTTTTAAACATTGTCAGAGAGGAGGCCTGTCTCACATCTTCAGGAAGATTGTTCCAGATTTTAGCAGCATGAATCTGAAAAGCAGCCTCCCCATGTTTAGTTCTGACTCTGGGCACTAACAGGAGTCCAGTCCCTGTGCTCCTCAGAGTCCGGGCTGGTTCATATGGGACTAACATGTCACTAATATATTTTGATGCGAGGCCATGGAGAGACTTGTACACAAGCAGAGCTGTTTTAAAGTCTATTCTCTGAGCCACAGGAAGCCAGTGCAGGGACCTGAGGACTGGACTAATGTGGTCGTACTTCCTGGTTCTAGTCAGGACTCGAGCTGCTGCATTTTGAATGTACTGCAGCTGTTTTACAGCCTGTTTAGAGAGACCTGTGAGCAGGCCATTGCAGTAGTCTAACCTACTGGAGACAAATGCATGGATAAGAATCTCCAGGTCTGCTTTAGACACTATGTTTTTGATCCTGGCAATGTTTTTTAGATGGTAAAAAGCTGCTGATGTTACTGATTTGATGTGGCTATTAAAATTTAAGTCTGAGTCCAGTATTACCCCTAGATTTCTGACCTTGTTTGAAGGTTTTAGGGAGAGAGATTGTAGATGACAGATGACGCTCTCTCTTTGTTTCTGGGGACCAAAGACAATCATTTCAGTTTTATCTGCGTTTAGCTGAAGGAAGTTGTTTTGCATCCACTCACTGATCTGTTGGATACAGTGAAGGAGTGAGTCCACTGGTCCATGTTTTCCTGCAGTCAGTGAGACATAGATCTGAGTGTCGTCTGCATAGTTGTGATAGGACACTTTGTTTCTGCGTATTAACTGACCTAACGGCAGCATGTAGAGATTGAACAGAAGAGGTCCCAGGATCGACCCCTGTGGGACTCCACAGGTCAGGGCCATATGATCTGAGACACAGTTTCCAATCTCCACAAAGTACTTCCTGTCTTCAAGGTAAGACCTAAACCAACTTAGGGCGGTGCCAGCGACGCCAACCCAGTCCTCTAGTCTCTGTAAGAGGATCTCATGGTCGACAGTGTCAAAGGCAGCACTCAGATCTAACAGGATTAGGATTGAGACTTTGCCTGCGTCAGTGTTCAGCCGGATATCATTTGTAACCTTGACGAGAGCAGTCTCAGTGCTGTGGTGGGGTCTAAAGCCGGACTGAAACATCAAATGAGTTGTTGATTATAAGAAATCTAGTAAGCTGTAGGTAGACAACTTTTTCAAGGACTTTCCCCATAAATGGCAGATTTGAGATGAGATGGGACGATAGTTGTTAAGTACCGTAGCATCCAGACGGCTCTTTTTTAGCAGGGGCCTGATGACTGCAGTTTTCAGGGCCTTTGGGAATATTCCAGAATTAAGGGACATGTTTACTATCTGTGTGAGTGAAGGTAACAGACTGCTCAGAACAGACTTCAGAAATCTAGTGGGTAGTACATCCAGGCTGCATGTGGAGGAGCTCAAACTGGAGATTATCTCTTGGACAGTTTTATCATTTACAGGTGCAAAGTAAGTTAGCTCAAAGAGCCTTTCTGGCTGTTGGATGGTTATCTGTGGATTGGAGACAATGGCGTTTTTGATGCCTTGAACCTTGTCATTGAAAAAATGTGCAAACTCATTACATTTACGTTTGGAAGTTAGCTCTAATGCCAGCTGAACACGGGGGTTTGTTAATCTATTAACTGTTGAAAACAGAACACGCAGATTGTTGCTGCAGCCTTCAATCATTTCAGAAAAATACCTTTCTCTCGTACTACGTAGCACCTGGTTAAACTCGCACAACTTATCTTTGAAGATCTTGTAATCAACCTGGAGGTTGGACTTGCGCCACTTCCGCTCGGCCCTCCGGCACTTTCTCTTTTGTGCCCTGACCGAGTCTGCTTTAACCCACGGCGCCTTCTGCTTATTTTTCACTATTTTAACCTTCACAGGAGCGATGGTGTCCAGAACTTTCAAAACACTAGAGGTGACAGAGTTAAACAGTTCATCTACAGTAGAATACGATGCATTCTCAAAGTTTATCATTCCCATAAATAGTTCACCCGTATTTTCATTTATGTGTCTTCTTCGTACAGTTGCAGAGTCCACTGGTGGTTTGTTAGTGAAACACATGTCAAAAAATATACAAAAATGATCCGAAAGCGCAACATCGACCACGTTTACATTAGAAATGTTCACCCCCTTTGTAACTAACAGGTCTAGAGTGTGCCCTCTGCTGTGGGTGGGGCCACTCATATGCTGAGTGAGACCAAAGGATTCAAGTAAAGAACTCAGCTCTTTAGCATTTCTGTCATCAACATTATCCACATTAATATTAAAATCACCTGTAATAACTAAACTATCAAAATCTGTGCATACAACTGAAAGCAACTCTGTAAAATTATCAATAAAACTGTGACATGACTGCGGCGGCTTGTATAGGACAACGAAAAGTATTGGAGGAGATTGTTTTTGTTGTATTTTAAAAGACACATATTCAAAAGACGGAAACTTCCCAAGAGACATTCTATGGGAGACAAAGTGGTCTCTGAAAATGGCAGCTAAGCCTCCTCCTTTTTTGTTTTCCCGTATTTCAGATTCAAATTTGAAATTTGGTGGTGATGCTTCTATTAAAACTGCATTTTCTGTATTTTGGTCAAGTCATGTTTCAGCCATGAACATAAGATCTAGATTATAAGAACAAATAAAATTATTGATTAAAAAAGACTTGTTACAAAGAGATCTGACATTTAGCATAGCAAGTTTCAAAGTTTCAGGATCAGCGGTTGTGGTCGGCTGATTCTTACACGGAACAAGAATTAGATTTTCCTGATTAGACTGATTAACTTCAGATGTTTTTTTGTTATGTATTCTTTGTGTTATCACTATTTAAAGAGCGACTAAACACCAAATCAATTTATTTTAACTCATAAACTGCATAAATATGTTTATTGTAGTGCTCTCTACATATCCTGGTAATTGTTTTGACATTTTTGTTCAAATTAGATAAAATATCACTTTTGAACCAAAAAACGTCTGTGTGGCGCCCTCTCTACCTTTTGGTGGTACTACATTTTAATTTGGTCCTGGCCTCTCCATTCTCTATTACGTCAGTTGGTATGTGTGACGTCAGTCTGTCTGCGCCAGTGATATAAACCCATTCAACTCTCACACACGCCCCAGCTCCAGTTTGGCGTATTCTGGCGCCATCTAGTGGATTAAAATTAAATTACATGAGTAATTCTGAGATTATTGTGTGTGATTAGGTTCAGGTGTGTAGCTTTACAATTATCTTAGTGTGTAATCAAGGGTGGAATGAGACTTTCTGGTCTGTAAACTATTGCTTTAAGCAGCAATGACAACTGTTTTTTTGTGTGTGTGACAGCCCAGACCATGCCCAACTCTAAGCCCCCCTTCTTGTCCCTTGGTCCTCCAGGCAACGCCCTTTTTAGAGAAAATGTTCAAATCTTCATGTGGGTGGAGTAAGGCTGGGCACAGGTGTTTAGTCGCTCTTTAACAGTGTATGTGTCACACAAAGTAAAAAATTCTTTCGATCTGATAAAAAAAAAAAACACTGTTAAATAAAAGCCAGGAATAAAAGCAAGTCTAAGATAATTTAAAATCTATAAAAGTAAAGTAAACTCTCAAAGTACCATCACATGTGGGCTATACTGAGACAGTAGCCTGAGCCTGCATGTATTCTGAGACAAGAATGGTGTACATGGTGTATACTGAGAAATGAGTGTACGGTTTTGAATGGAGAAGCTGAATGAAGTCTGTTTGTTTTCTGTGGTTTCAGAGTATCAGTCATGGAGCAGTACAACTTCACCGGTCGAGACTTTGACCAAAGAGACATCTTTGACAACTGCCGAGAGTATCTAAAATCAAGTAAGCCTCCGGACTGCACCGCTCACGCTTCAGACTATATGAGACAGAGTTTGCTCCAAAAGTAACTTTTTACAGCTTCTGACCATGTTATGAGTTTTTCAACAAGTTAGATAACTACACGCACTACTCACACAAGGAACATACTTTGCATTATGACAGCTTAATGAGCCGTGGAGCCTGGTTTGAGTGAGTGAAGCTCTGACCATCAAAGTTTAGGCTGTTCCACGTTCCATGGAAGGTGCAGGCAATTCCAGACTTTATACTAAAAAGATATAAAGCATAATATGGGCACAAAAACAAAGACTTCTCATAGCATTTCTTACCTTTGGACTTGCTGTGGCTCATTAATTCCATAAATGTCCACAGAAAAGCAATATCTACTTTGTGCGTTAGTTTTTCTTTTAAATTGAAGCGTTTGTAAATAAGTCTCTCGCCTCATAGCTGGTTTAGTGGTAGCAACTTTTGAAGGTTCCACGCATCTTATCTTGCTCTGATGATGTTGTATGGCCAAATGATTGATAGATCTAAACAGCCTATAACAATAACTTTCAAACAAGGGGTTAGACTTGGTATTTTTGCACCTGATACAGACAAAGAAGGCAAAACACATGAGCAGGAAGCAGGGGTTACGCAGCATGTAATTACAATATATTAAAATTATAAACTTTAAAAATTGTAACAAAATCATACAGGAAGGAAGTACCACAACATAACCTTTTTTTTTTTTTACGGTGATGGAATGTCCAACTAAATATGAGTAAATTAGTTGGACCCAAACCGAAAGGCTCTAATTTATGTAAAAGGGAAACTGCCTTAAACTTTAGACTTTAGACAGTTATTGCCAACTAAAAAATTACAATGGGTTTGAATATGCCTTTGTTAGGGTATTTATAAATGTAATATTTCAGGCGAGGCTGAAAAAAAATAGTTTTTTTCCCAGATTGGATGCAGAGTGAAATAGGAATGACATACATTATTCTTGTATATATTTACATAAACTAGAAGGCTCTAGCTTTAAAATGATGCATCACACAAGCATGCTATGTGTAAGATGTATTTTTAAATATGCAGAGACATTTGGGTATGCCAAACTTTTGTGCACAAGGCAAATTGAGGTGAGTGTAAATGACAGAGAAAAATCATGAGAACCGTGAAAAGCTGTAAAAAGTCAAATTGGTTATATCCGTATTCTTGTATTGTTACATGTGCGTTTGTGATTACATGTGTGGTGTGCGTGTAGCGTCTGTCCCCAGGTGTTATAACTCCTCTGACCCCACTCTGAACTCTACGGCCTGGTTTGTGGACTACATGGGCACCTTCATTACATTCATCACTTTGGAGAACCTGCAGTCGTTTGGCCCCGCAGAGGTAAAGACCGTCTGTCTGACGTGTGAACATAAAGGCTGAATGACCTGTGTTTTTCACACACGTTTTTCTGCTCAGGAGCTGAAGGCGTTTGCAGTAGATCTTCAAAACCTCGCTCTCTTCAATCACTCAACTGTGCCTCAGAACGTCTCCGACTACTACGTGGAGCTTGTGTATCTGCAAAACGACAACTTCAACCCTCTGCTGTGAGTGTTCACCAAGACAAAACGGACCAATCAAGTGCCCTCTATCCCTGGGTTTGTCTGTCGTTGGCAGATAACGCGAGTGGGCACAGACCGGCCCCACTCTGGATTTCCTCTTCGGTTGCCATAGGGTTCTTGCTATGAGAGAATCGAGAGCCCATTGTTCTTTTTTTCCTTTTAGCTAGTATCAGCACCTTCCTACGGTCAAAGGTCCCACACGCTCTAGTCTAAACGTTTCTATCTTTTATTGTTTCCTTGAAGAGTGATGATTAAGTGTGACACAATGCTACAAAATAATATTGTAATCATTTGAAGAAGCAAAGGTTGGGTTTCTCTTACCATCTTATAAAAAATAATGCCCCTACCATCTTGTAAAAAGAAGCAGGTTGGGAGAATTAGAGAGGTGGCTATAGTGAGATGAGATTTCCGTCATTTTTTTCCACAGAGTGACAGTAACTCTGACCTCCCCTCCCACAGACTTCCCTTGCTGTTCCGCTGTGTGGCGCCCGGCCCTGCCTTCTCCCAGCTGACCGCCACTGAGAGCATCATTGTCCTCCATAACCTGACCACTCTCTGCGACCAGCTCGACCCACAAGTAACTGCCCCTTCTGCCCCTCATCATTTATTTATCTGTTTTTCTCTGAGTTATAAAGTAAAAAAGTAAACGTTTCAATCAAATGTTTTGGGATACAGTTCGATAGCTATACTCATGGGTGGTGCCAAGTAATACTATTCTGTCACCATAGCTCAAGTTGGCAAAATTGAATCTATTCAACTCCTTCAGAGATGTACTTCACACACATTAAAAGACATATTAAAAAGACAAAAGATTTTGCCCAAAATTCAGTTCAAGCAAAAACTTCAAAAACTTCGCCCCCCTCAAAAGTCGGTTTATAGGAGTACACAACATGAACGTTGCTCTAGTTAGTTTCAACTTTGAGCTAGATTCAGCAAAATTTCACATAAATCACATCAAATCACATCAAACTTTATTAAATCATATTACTGATAGTAGGATTCATTATTTAACGCATTTTTCTTTAGTTTCACACATGATTATAAAATGTTATTATGTTATTACATCACAAAATCATATTTTGTATTACAGAAACGAACCAGCCTCGGCCGTTTCCCCAATTTTTATAAAGATATATTTCTATTTTTTTGTTGAGGTCAAAAGGAGCAAATAAAGAAAGAGCTGCTTGTGGCTCCAGAGCAGTACTTTGCTGTGTTACTTATTTTTACCACCCTGTGTTACTTATTTTTACAGTTGCCTCATGAAAAAACATGTTAACTAACTACAAATGGCACTTTTTTAAAGAATATTTACCTCGACCATGTTTTTTAAATTGTTTTCATAGGCTTAGAATTTGACTTGTAAATGTCCATGAGAGAGGAGTACTATCCATGTCAATGCGCCATCTTGAAATACAGTGGTGTATATGGGAAAAAAAGAATGCAAGAATCACGTTTTTGTTTCACATGAGCTACTGATATTGTTGCTTTCACTGAGCTTTCACAAGTTTGAAGCAGGAACCATGAAGGACCACAGTTATGTAAAAGAACGACCCGAACAACAATATTTTAGAAAAATATTTATGCAAAAGTCCATAGCAGCAAAGTGTCAACATCGCAAACCACACGCACCGAAAGACGGCATTAACACAACAGGAGGCACATTGTGTAGTTTGTGCACAACAGACTCACGTGAACAGTACGTAACTTTATTTCACACTGACCACAATGAGAACATATTATGCAGATGCATGTAGGGCGCTGTGACTTACTAGTGGCTAGTAATAACATGAGCTTTTAGCCATGTCCTGCTGTGTTTATGTCCTGCCTCTCTGATCATCGTAGTTTTAAGCTCCCACAGACGTTAATCCTCCATGCGTCTCTTCTCTTCACACTGCGTTTTAGAAACTATATATTATAATAGATCCATGGTCAAACTCCATGGCAACCTCTGTGTAGCAGGTCCTGCTTCAGAACGCGGTCTTGTTTACATGTCGCCTCCACGCGACTGTCAAGTGCCCGAGACATATGGAGAGATCTGTTCATTTATCAAACTAAAGTATTCTTTCCTTGGCAGTCTGGTGAATGACTGAGAGTTGAGCACTGCCAAAGACACATACTTTCTATCAAAGGCTTCCGTAGTTCCCTGGACTGCAATATAAGATCTCAACGCTAGATAGTACCAAAATTACACAGTGAACCTTTAAAGCCAACTTCAGCACAAAAACCACACCACAATTTGAATGATATTATAAACATTTAACGTATAAGTAAGAATAAGTAAGAAATAACCATAAAGTTATACTTTTATTATCTAGAATAGATAATATTAATGCAAATGAGGAACTTTAAACAATCTTTTCACAAACACTTGATTCTTTGTGTTCACGTTATTGTCTCTCTTTTCTACAAGTACAAATGTTTTCTTTATCTGTTAATGAGGACATGGGGCTGTTTGAAATGAATATGTGCCCCAAAATGAGTTCACGACCCTTTCAAAAATGTTCTACGGCCTGTTCCTTTATGATGTATCAAGCTACAGTATAACACCTCCACAATATATACTTCCACTATCCCCAATGCTTCCATGTCTCCATTGTCCTTCAACACGCATGATGCTCGGCCTCTGCTAATGGAGGAACACTGTGGTGGTTTTTGTTGTTAGGTGTCGGCTGCTCTGGCGGGAAACTTCAAAAGCCTGAACAGCAACATTCTGCAGACCCTTGGCAACGAATGCACAGGGCTGTCCATAGGCCAGATCAGAAACATCCCACCCAAAGAGCTAATGGAGGCCCTGAGCACACTGCGATGGGTGTCTGGCTGGGAGAGGGGCCAGGCAAGGCTCATCATCACATCCATGCTGTCCTCTGGGGTCATGACGGTAACACACAAACACACACACATACACACACACACATATGCACCTGGCGGGACCTTTGCCTGAGGCCGCGTTCCATTCACATGTTCTCAATTGAAATACTGTCTGCATGAGGGCAGTCCCCGTGTTCCTCAGAGTCCGAGTTGTTTCATGCAATAACTCTTTAAAACACTTGTATGTAACTGTTTGGCCAAAAAACATTATGAACATTTACCTGAGAATAGTCATGTCTTCAGACTAGAAGGCAGATGTTGGTGTTTTTGGTGGTACAGTGTCTGATATGTTAGGAACTATTGGATTCTTGAAAAGCGTTTTGCACTGGACCCACGCAGCCACAATTGTTTATATACTCGGGCGAACCCCCCAACCACATGGTGGGGATCTCACAGGAGTTGCCTGAGACACCAAAAGATCACACTCTAAAGTTGCACTAGTTACTTTCTCCTCTTCAGAAATAAAACAATAGCTAACTTAGCTGTTTGAGCTCATTAAAGGAGCTATATCCATTTCTGCAAGGTTTGAATGTTTAGCACCGCACCTCAACTCACTCACAGGCTTCTCATTTCCCCTACGCTCTCATCCCACGGTCTGCGATCTGATACATTTGCAAACATTAGCATGAGCACAACTTCTTGTAAGCTGTACAACAATCACTGATGAAATGGTACAAAAGCAACGCACTGCTAACAAAATATATGACTGAAAGATTTCCGCTAGTTTTGCGTCCGAATGTAGTCCGAGGCGGTCACGCAGGTCTCTCCCATAGACTGTAAGTCTCTCCAGAGGATACAATGTAAGCTAGCTATGTTCACCCAGGCTTGATTTCTTCTTTGATCATTTTTTTCACTTTAGTTCCCTTTTCTCCTCCACACTGTTGCGTCGTTTGGGCTGTTTTGCTGTGTCTGCAGTTACAGCAAGAGGAATTATAGCCAATTCTGCTAACATGCTACTGTGTTTACCAGCGCTGTAGAAGCTAGAGGTTTTGATCCCTCCCTTGTCTCTGGCAGCTAAAGGACGCTGCGGGGCTCATGCAGCTGGGCACGCTGATAACTGGAGTCCCCTCCTCTGTGATCACAAACATCGTTGGCTCTGAGCTGCTGAGCGCCTCCAAGAACCCAACCTTTCTGCAGAACATGATGTCCTCCTCCTCAGCCGTTCAGAGTACCTTCATCATGAAGGTACGCTCAGAACTCACTGCTGACTCTAAAGTTTACTCCGACAGCTGGATGATACGGAAACAAGACACCATTTTCAGTGACGTGCAATAATACTAATCATGTCGATATTGTTTTGTATTTTTTGCTAAAAGGGGAACGTTTTGCTGAATCTGGTCAAATCATTTCATTTTTTTTATATTCAGAAAGTACGGTAGCTCTTTCTTAAGCAGCATAATGATACTACAGAAAATACAATCCTAATTTAGTACCCAATAAAACTATTTGGTAAACATATTTGTCTTGCTTTTCATGTCATATCTCCTTTCCAAAAGAAAAAATATTCTTTAGTAATTTTTATTAGTATTGTTTTTTTCTTTGTTCCTTTGAACTGTCTTCACACAGTATGTGCTTATCCTCCAGCCTTGTTTCTCTGGTAGTTCTTGAACAGTGGGTCAGAAAGCAGCCAATCTACTTCAAATTAAGTTACGATCATAAAGTGTATAGAAAAGTGTTCCGTTGCTGACAGTGGCCTGTGATGTCAGGAAAAGTGTTTTTTGTAAAAGTCCATGTCTTACAGCTGATTGCGGTGAACAGCAACAGTGAGGCCATTGTGGAGAACGTTCCAGATGACATGGCGGGCCTGATCCCCAGGTCAAGGATGGTCTCTATCAATGCCACAGTCATCGCACAGATCAACAAGAAGAAGTGGAGACCTCAACAGGTACCGCAACTCAAATGCACCTCTCTCCTGGCACCATATTTAGGCAATGCAAGCTTATTCTGAAGTCTGAGCACAGAACTAATTTGAGAGTACTACCTGGTTCTCGACAGGACTCAAGCTGCAGCCTTTTGAATCCTGCAGACTGTTTCAGAAGTCTTACCTCCTAGGGACAAATGCATGGAAAAGTCTGGATGGTAACATCTGCTCATGTAACAAATTTAATGTTGCAATGAAAAAGTTAGTTCAATTCAATTATTACCCCAAGACCAGTTTTCTAGACTGAAGGGGAGTAATAAAATTGCTTCCTGGGACCAAAAGACAATCATTGAAGTTTGACTGAGTTTAGCTGGAGAAAGTTGTTTTGCATCCACTAACTGATCTGGTGGATGCCGCAAAGGAGTGAGTCCACTGGTCCATGTTCTCCTGCAGTCAGTGAGACATAAATCTGAGTGACTTTTGCGTGTATTCGGTAGGTCGGTTAATACACAGTAACAACGTGTCCTAACGGCAGTATGTAGAGATTGAACAGAAGAGGTCTCAGGATCGACCCCTGCAGCACTCCACAAGTCAGGGCCATATTAAATGAAAACACAGTAATCTCCATGGTGTCCTTTCTGTCTTCTAGATATGACTTGAACCAGCTTAGGGTGGTACCAGAGACACGCACCCAATCCTGCAGTCTCTGTACAAAGATACTGGAATTTTAATTTTTGAAAAAAAATAAAAATAATTCTGGGATGTTTAGTTTAGCAAAATGTTTCTGTTATGGACTGTGCAAGATTGTTCCAGTTGGATTTCAGAAAGTATGTGTGTGTGCACTTAGTAGTAGTAGTAGTATTTTTATTTCAAACGTCATGCAATAAAAAAACCAAAACAATATAAACAATATGCAAGTATAATCCAAACAAGACACAGAATAAACAGAAATAAAATGTTTGAAAAGGAGGCTGGACGAAGCAGACGCTTATTTGGCTCCAGCCCCTCACTCATTTAACACACACACACACACACACACACACACACACACACACAGCCAAACACAATCACACACACAACACAATTACAAATGCTCTCACACACACACAACACCATCCAGGGCTTAAAGTTTTCCGGCACCGTGCCGGAAATCCGGCGTGAGAAAAAAAAAAAAAAAAAAAACATCACTTATTTTTTTTTTTTTTTTTAATATATATATAAATAAATAATGATTGCTGTCATTTGAAAAAGGTTCAAGTGTGTTCTACCAATTGTATGAAAGGATTCCATGTGTATAGCGCAGGGATTAAAGAGTTCCGTCTAAGTGACGGATTTCCGTCAAATGAAATTGGTCTGAAAAAAAAAACAAAATATATAATAATAATATAATACACACAATGAAATGGTTAATTATAACAAAATATATAGTAATACGTGTGAATCTGTTGTATATATCTAGATATATATTAATAATTTGAATATAATTGTATTTATATGTATATAGAAATAAAAAGTAATATAATCACGAGTGGGCCTTGAACGTGCCGTGGCTAGCTACATGAGCGCTCCGTAAATGATTCAAGGCAATGGGACGTAGCCAAGTTAGCGATGGTAACACGGAGGTGAAAGTTTCTGAAAAGTGCACGGAGCTTTTGAAAAGGAGAAGAGGACAAGGAAAATGTAATCCCGAACGGAGCAATAACAGCCAGCAGCCCGCGGACCGGTAAACTGGGCGCGTTATCAGAGGAAAGGTAGGACATAATTAACGTTTACCAAACGCAATGCTTTTTTATTTAACGGAATGTACAATATGTACTTTGCTGTGACTGGGAATGGGGACAAGCATGTCTTGGTGAGCTTTTGATAATATCTTGGTCGCAGAAGAAAGGTGTGTGTTAGCAGGTCTTATATTAATTCATCAAAGCTAGCCTAGCATGCACGCACAATCACAATCATGGATCGTTGTTTATGGAAGAAGGAGCAGTATAAGTTGCTGTTGATAACAGTGAAAAATAAATGGAGGTGGGCATGGCTGGATGAGGTGGAGACGATGGGATTCTGTTGCTTCCTGGTGCAAAAAGATGGTGTCCGGTGCTTGTTCGTACTTCGCTATTATTATTTTTTTATATGGGAGTAATGAGAAAACAGCTTTGGATTCACCACCAGCTCAAAACTGCGCACTTGGCAGCTGTCCGTGCACTTTCCCACACTTCTTTACCTGGTGCATCAGATTCAGCGACAACTGAGACTAGGCTTGCTCTGGTGGACTGTGTCTGTGACCTAAAACTATCTGTGGCTTTATCGCAGAAAATAACCTGTCGTTCAGAACCATCACTACCGCTGGTAGATTTAATTATCATTAATCATTTGCAGTTGATAAAACTGCGCTGTGCACTAGCACCAAGTTGATAGGGAAACCTTTTTCTTAAACATTGAGTGTCCACAAACAAATGTGGACAGAATTTTGAATGTCCTTTTGCGATATTTTGACGAGGACAGAGCCAAAGGACAACGCCTCATCTCGCCTCAAGTAAAGCCAATGATGCAGATGAACTACTCTCACTAATATTCTGTCAAAGAGTTGACAAGTTGCTTGATCCACTGGTTGTAATTTCACATCAAAATACACCAGTTTAAATGTATATCTTTGAAGAATTCGTTTGATCTGTAATTCATTATATTTCCATGAGAAAATTTTCAGTCAAATCTTTTTTTTTTGCTTTAACCCCTGGCCGCTTATAAAAAACGCTTATTAGTGATCATTCTATGATTCATATAGATGGTTCAGGCTCAGGAATTTTTTCAACTTTAACCCATGACCATCACATCACCCGACACGACACAGGCCCAAACATTCACTGACCACACACCTCCCTCCCTCAGTGCTGAAGTCCTCACTCCTCCACATACTTCTTCAGCACTTCCTTCTTGAACAGCTTTTTAAAATATAATAGATTTGAACATGTTTTTAATGAATCAGACAAGTTGTTCCACAGAGTCACTCCTCGCACAGAGACACACATCAATTTTAAAGTAGTTCTACATTTAGGCATATATAAGTTTTGGCTTCCTCTTAAACTGTAGCTGTGGTGAGCATCTCTGTCATGAAATAGGTTTTGGGACATGAGGCGGCAGAGAGTTTTCAGAGGCCCTGAACATTATCTGAGCAGTTTTAAAGTAGATCAGGTCCTGAAGCTTAAGTTCTTTTAATTCTATAAACAGTGGATTAGTATGATGTCTGTAGTGGACATTAGACACAGTTCTAATGGCTTTTTTTTGTAAGGAGATTAAAGGTTGTAAATGGGACTGGTAACAGTTTCCCCAAACTTCAGCACAGTAATTAAGATATGATAGAATGAAGGAATGATACAATAGAAGTAGAGCATTAGTGTTCAGTGAATGACTGGATCTTTTCATCATTCCAACACATTTTGCCACTTTTGTTCGAAGGTAGCTGATGTGTGGTTTCCACGAAATCTTTTCATCCAGTACCACTCCTAAAAACACATTTTGTTTCACGTTCTCAATAGGTATATCATCAATAATTATCCTGACCGGTGTGTTACTTTTACGATTCCCAAATAGCATAATTTTAGTCTTATTTAAGTTAAGTGACAATTTATTTTTATTAAACCAAGTTTTTAATTTTTTCAGTTCCACAGTTACAGAGGACAACAACTGCTCCAGGTTCTCACCTGAACAAATAATATTTGTGTCGTCCGCGAAGAGAACACATTTCATCACTTTTGAAATATTACATAGTTCATTAATGTACATTATAAATAGTGTTGGTCCTAATATTGACCCTTGTGGTACTCCACAGACTATATCCATACAATCAGATTTATGTTGGTCAATTTGTACAATCTGTTTTCTTTGCCTCAAATAGCTCTCCAGCCATTTTCTTGCCAATCCCCTAATACCATAGTTATCCAATTTATTAATTAAAATATGATGGTCAATAGTGTCGAAAGCTTTTTGCAAATCAATGAAAATTCCTAAAACAAATTTATTTTTTTCGATGCAATTCGTTATTTCCTCCACTAAGTCAATCAGAGCAAGTGAGGTGGATCTGTTTGGCCTGAACCCGTATTGACAATCAGAGAGTAGATTATGTTTTTCAATGAATCGACGAAGTCTCATGTCAAACAGTTTTTCTAATATTTTAGAAAACTGCGGCAGAAGAGAGACAGGTCTGTAATTGCTGAAACAATGTTTGTCTCCTGCTTTGAAAATTGGGATCACTTTGGCCATTTTCATTTTGGAAGGAAAGTGTCCAAATTGAAAAGACAAGTTACAGATGTGTGTGAAAGGTTTAACAATTTCTTTAGCTACGTTACGTACCATACTCATATCAATGCCGTGAATATCACATGATGTTTTGTTCTTACATTTATTAATAACATTGAGGACTTCTCTCTCATCAGCGGGAGTGAGGAACATTGAGTTCAGATTTATGTCAATTAATCCTTCCAATGGTTCATCGCTTAATGGGATTTTTTTGGCCAGTTCAGGTCCTACATTTACAAAAAACGTGTTGAAGCTGTCGGCAATTGTCTTCTTGTTCCTTATCATTTTGTCATTCTCCACAAAGTACTCAGGATAGCTAGAATTGTCGGAACCACGACCGATAATTGTGTTCAATACTTTCCATAATCCCTTGATATCATTTCTCTTTTTAATTAATAAATTAGTGTAGTATTCTCTCCTACTTGCTCTCAAAATGCTGGTTAGTTTATTTTTATATATTTTATAACGTAATTCAGTCTCACTTGTTCTTAGTCTCAAAAATTTTCTATATAAATAACTTTTCTTTTTACAAGCGTTTGAAAGCCCTTTGGTTATCCATGGGGTTTTTGTGGAGTCTCTTAGTGTGCACTTTTTGATTGGACAATGTTTGTCATATAAGGTAATGAATAAGTCAAGAAAGGAGTTGTAAGCTGTGTTAATGTCTGACATTTCATAGATAAATTCCCATTTTTGTATTGCCAAATCGTTCTTTAAATTTAGTATTGATTGCTCAGTGATGACTCTGCGAAAACATTCAGTGTTAACAGGTTTAGTTATTTCAGAGTTTAGCTTGTATAACATAAAAACTGGTAAATGGTCGCTCACATCATTTACAAGAACTCCACTGGTTATATCTTTCTCTAATATGTTGCAGAATATATTGTCAATCAAAGTGGCACTGGATGCTGTGATTCTTGTGGGTCTTGTAATCAAAGGGTACAGACCCATGGAAAACATTGTATCTGTGAATTCTTCTGTGCATTTATGTTTATTGGGATTTAGTAGATTAATATTAAAATCACCACAAATAATATATTTTTTGTTTTTATTAATGAATGTTTTTTCAATCCATTCCTTGAATGTTTTCAGGTCTGATCCTGGTGTTCTGTAAAAACAGCTAACAATAAATGCCTTCTTTTTTGGCATTGCCAGTTCTACAGTCACGCATTCAAAAATTTCGTCCACTGCAACAGACATGTTCTCTACAATTTTACAGTTTATATTTTTATCAATATATAATGCCACGCCTCCTCCTCTCTTGTTCTGCCGGTTTGTGCAAAACATTTCATAACCATTCATTTCAAAACCACTATTGTTATTTTCATTCAAACACGTTTCTGAAACAGCTATTATATTAAAAGGTGATTTGAATTGTTTCAGATAACCTTGAATGTCATCGAAATTTGAGCATAAACTCCTGCTATTAAAATGTACAAGAGACATATTTTTATCTTGTGTGAGTTTTTTGTCAAATGTGACATCAGTATAATATAAACACTCGTTGCAATTTAGTAAGACATTTCCATCTGGATCAATTTCATTCATGTAGGTTTGTGATTTATAATTGACATTTTCAGAGAAGTTGATCCGTTGATCAGAGTTATGCGAGTTCATGCTCAAATCTTCATCCTCAATATCAGATGAGGTATCGTTACTTTATTTATATACTTTTCTCTACATGCTGCTTGAGGTCTCTCGTTCTCAGATCACATTCTGCTTTTATATGAAACGTGAATGCAACACATAAAGTAAAAATCATTCTTTGTCTTGTAGGCAGAGCTGTTCTTCAGTGTGGTGGCTGAAGAGAGTGGCACTTTGGCTCTGGGCGGCCCAAATAAGTAAGTCCCCTCCTCTGACTGCACCCCTCCCAAATCCCTGTCCCGTGTTCTAAGACTGACAGGTGCATCTGCTTTGCATCCAGCCTCTCCTCATCAGTGCTCCAAGGCTTCAGCTGCACCAGCGTCAGTACCTTCCAGAAGACTCACATCCGCCGCCTGATCAGATCGTGTCGCAGGAAGAACAGGGTCAAACTGGTGGAGTCCCAGGTCAGCAAAGTCACCGCGCTTAGTACAGTCCTGTCTCAGTTTACAGGCAAGCTCAATTCAATTAGATTAAATTAAATGTGTTGTTGTATACACTGTTAGGAATAATGTAACACAAAAGTAATGTATTACTAAAGTAAGGCATTACAAAAACTGGATATTATTTACTCGGTACAAAGGCCAGTAACGTGCATTACTTTGCATTATAACTCAGAGAGCAGAGAAATACAGCCTATGGACAGTCCAAGCTCTTGTTTGATCTTTAAAGCGTCCAAAAAGAGTCAACATTAACAGAGATATAAGCCTCTCAAGAGTCCTGTTTGAGACCGAGGCAGACACTTCAGTGTAAAATATGTGCTCAACGAGCGGAAACGCGGCACGTTTTAAAACGGGAATGCTGCACTTTATCATGTTTAGTATATAAAGCAGTGAGCTACGCACAATTCATTTGAATTCAACAATATATAGAAGCTTTGAGCCATTTGGTCTTGCGTCCTTAGATCCTCAGAAATACTCAGATTTAAAAAGGTTGGTGACCCCTGTGGTAGAAGATGGCTAAAGCTGAAGCAGCAGCAGATGTGTTGGGTAATAGTGCATTTTACAGATGGACAGACTCCCATGATTTGGAGTTTGTTGTAGACAAAGATGTGGAACATTTAAGTGCTCTTTAACTGAAGGCTCCATCAATGCAATAGCATTATAAGATAGATGGACTGTAATTTTGTAGAAAACTTTGAAAAAACAGTAATAAGCAATACGTATTGTATATTGTTTTTGAAGTAACTAGCCCAATACTGGTTGTATATCCCTAATACACAACAGCAGTCGTCTTGGAAGACTTTGCAAAGTTGTTGGATTTGCCCACTGTTGAACAAAGAATCAAACGAACCCAGGACTTGCAATAAACACACACATTGGTACATAGGGTCGCAAGATGACCAATGTCTGTAAATGTTAATAAATGAGCATGAATGTCCATACATTTACCATATCATCACTGTCCTTAGACCCCTCTGCATCGGCAAGATACACTCTGTAGATCCGGGACTCCTGTCTACTAGCCTCAGACCACTCTTGTCTCAGTGTACATGCAGGGATTGATTTTCACACATGCTGGAACTGTCACGGGGTGGGATGATGGAGGACTCAAATGCAGGAATGCAAAAAATAATGATTTAATAAAATAAAAGTCCAGGTGAAAACTAAACTCAAAATCCAAGAATACAGAACCAGGAACAAAGACAGAACTTGACACGATGAAACAGGACATTGACATAACAATGGACCAGCAACATGTGGAGAGGGGCACAGGGTAAATATAGACAGGGACACAGGTGAGACACATCAGGGCGGGGCAGACAATCAAGGGAAACAGCACAGAAGTCAAACTCAAAACCAAACCACAGAGAAACAATGTCAAAATAAAAGCCACACCATGACTGGAACATTACTCTAGTGGGACTGTGTTAAATCAGTTGATCTAAAATCAGTGAGTACGCATGCCAACACTAATATACTACTATTGTGAGAGTCTAAAGGGCTGTTTCCACGGGCCCGACTCTACTCGCCTCAACTCGACTCGGCACGACTCGACTCGGTTTGAGAGCGTTTCCATCGGCCCTGTGTATCTATGGCAACGTGTTACCTAAGGGGTAGTGATGCGCGGGTCAGCCCGAAAGCCGCGGTCAACCCGCAGTTTCGGGCGGGTTGGATGCCTCAAAAATATGAGTCATGTCGGGTGCGGGTGGGTCGGGTCATAAAGCTCCTGAATCCCTATATATAATTATATATATAATTAAGTTTAACAGGGAGGCTGTTAAACCAAAAAAATCACAAACACCCGTAAGATCGCCACCTTCCTGACTCCTGCTTAAAAAACCCTCAAAATGCTCCAGCCATAGCTCCAGCCCGAAGAGAGATGTGTGATCCACACAGAGGCGCGTATAGACTGATGACGCTGTGGGCATCCCATCCTAGTTTTTACCAGTTTTTATCTTGGCCTACTCAAATTTGTTCCTCGCCTCTCAAGTCATTTGCCTTTTGTATTAAAAGACATAATTTAAATATTGTTATTTCTATACACATACTATTGCTAAAATGTTGCGTTTTAATGTTTTTAGAAAATGTAACCGCCTGAGCGTCATCAGGTTCGTTGCTTCAAATATAGTTCTGTTTATTGGCTGAACAATTTTGTCCTATAAGCTGCATGATCATATCAAACATCGCAAAACCCATGCGCGAAGCTCATTCGCCGAGAACAACCAGCTATTCCTCCTCTTAAAGATTAACATTCACAACGGAGTAGCCTTTTTAATTTTAGTTTTAAGAAAGGTAGAGGAGCCAGAGGCCCGGGCCCGTAGGTCCCAGAGGAGGAGAGCGCGGTCAGGCCTGGCTCGCCTCGCACTGATGAGGTAAACTCCAGGCCTGTGTGAGACACACTGTGGGCCTCATGTATGAAACTGCGTACGGCCAAATCAGGGTAAATGAGGCGTACGTATTTATCAATCTGGACGTTTATCAATCTGGACAATACGCAAAAAATATACGCCAGGTCTGGAGCTGGTGTAAATCTGTACGCTGATGAGAGCCACCGCTGCATAATATATATGAATTCATTCATTCATTCAATCTATATTTATTCACTTCTACAATTCAAGAGAGATTTTTATAATGTATCAAAACATTTTTGCAAATTTGTTCAAAACGCGGCTGGATATTGTATATTTATTTTTAGTCTTTTTGGCCGGCTTGCCTGCTGACCTGTCGCAAAGACGGGGCGGGAAACAGGCGATTTCTGCATAATTCTTGGCGTGACTTTCATAAATACGTTCGTTTTCAGTTGCGGCATTTCTGAACAGCCGCAGCTGCGTACGCTCAGATCTGGGCGGATCTCACACGTTCATAAATCCGACGTTGGATCTTGCGTAAATGGAATATACACCCAAAATGTACACCTTTTTCTACGCAAGTTTCCTAAATGAGGGCCTGTGTGTTTGTGTGTGTGTGTGCTTGAGTGCGTGTGCGTGCGTTTGAACCATATTCTTTGAAACCTCAATTCCCTATATATATATATATATAAAACCCCTTGTACAGTAGTTTGCGAGCGAATTTGCCGCATACTGTTCTAAGCAGGTGCGTAATTACTTTAATATTTACAGTCTATTGTAATTACACAGGCTACAGATGTTACGCGTGCTTAGCCTATATTAATATTCTGTATTCTGATTGAGTGAATATTCCCTTTTCCTCATTGTGGTGGTTTGCGGAGGAGAGAGCAGAGAGAAGTTTGGCAGGGGAGGAGCCGTGTGGAGTTAAAACATGGTTTACAGCTAATTAATTGAAAGCATCTTCATTATGAATGTTATATTTATGTATTTATTATAAATGTTAGAGATGGCAGAGAAAAGGCGTCTGCTTTTTGCTGAGTGGGACACACCAGCGTTCGCCGACGTTGCTGGGGTTACAGTATCTGCTCGGCCCGACTAGAGCCAGGTCTAAAGCCGTTACCAAAAAAGTAACGGGTCACGGCTAAAGCGAGCCGGTGGAAACGTCCGCAAACCGGGGAGAGTCGAGTCGAGTAGAGTCGGGCCCGTGGAAACGGCCCTTAATATACTCACATAAAGTGTATCTGATCTGTTTAAATCTTCTCCCCTTATGAGTTGCAATTCACCTTAAACATGAGGGTGTGTTTTTTCTAACACCCTCTACACATCTAACAAACAGTTGTGCATTATTCTCCAAAGTGTCTTCATGTTTGGATATATATTTCCTGGCTGTAGCTTTGAATATGGAGGGTCTGGATGGGCCTTAACACTGACTTCCCTTGTGGTTTTTTCCACAGCTCACCTGCATGTCCTTCTACCTGTCAGACGCTTCTGACGCCACAAACTTCTCCCAGATCCCCCACGACGTGCTTCTCTACTACAAGTAAGTGTCTGCTGCTCTGCATCAACACTCTGCATCAACACATTAGATGTGTTTCCCATGTGTTGGCTAGCCGTGTTTGTAAACAACAGCTACAGCAAGCCAGAGCACTGCACTGTAAAACGCCAGGTGTGTGACATTGAACTTCTTACCATCGGTGTGCAGCCATACTATCTGCTGCGGGAGTTTGGGCATGTTATTGTTTTATGAGTCTTAGGGTGTATTCAGTTTAAACACCCTGTGCTCCACTTTAAACGGTCCAGGATTTGTTTGGAACTCTCCGAACCTTATATGCAGGTCTGAATACACACAAACGAATCCTGGTCCAGACCGCTTCCAAACAAATTCTGGTCGAAGTCGATTCAGGTCTGATGACATCCGGTGTCGATCCGACACAACTCCAAGATACGTGCGCATTTTTTGGGCTTAACAAGCCCACTGGTGCACAGGCAACCCTTGGTGAGGCGCTTGATAGGAACATAGAATACAGACACTGTCGAGGCCCTCCGAGATTGCTTTGAAAGCTCTGCGACCCCCATGGGCAAGACATTAATGGCATGATGGAGTGCATCACGGGATACATAAACTTCTGCTTCAAGAACACTTCGGTGCCCCGGAAGCTGCGGCGTTTTTCCTGCAACAAGCCGTGGATTAATTTCCACATAAAGGCTCTGCTGAAGAAAAGAAGCGCGCTTTTTGAGTCGTACAGAGATATCTGAGAACATCAGTCAGGGAGGCTAAAGCTCGATATAGGGGCAAAATGGAAGAGCAGCTAAGCAGACGGAACATCAAAGGTGTTTGGGACAATCTGAAGGCCAGCTCAGGATTCAAACCAAAGCCTGTTCGGCAGGTGGGGGACAGACAATGGGTTAACGACTTGAAAACTTTTTTACCTGTGGTTCAATCAACAACCCACCCCACCCCCTGCTCTGCTGCTGCCCACCAAACACTCATTAACACCATGGCCCTCGCCTCTCAGCTCTCTCCCACCACCAGCCCGCAGCCCCCACCCCCACCCCCACCCCTGTCATTGACTGCTGCACAGGTCAGAATGGAACTGCTTAAAATTAAGCCAGGGAAGGCCTGCGGACCAGACAACATCAGCTGTAGGCTCCTTCGCTTCGCGAAGACGTCAGGCTGAGGTCGGTACCACAGCTCTGGAAAACGTCCGGTTTTGGGTACCAGTGCCCAAGACACCACGGGCCAAAGACCTTTGACATCCCACTGCATGAAGACACTGGAAAGACTGGTCCTGGGACATGTCCGCTCCACTCTGACCTCAGCGATGGACCCGCTGCAGTTTGCGTACCAGCCGGGCATCGGAGTTGAGGACGCTATCATCTCCCTTCTCCATCGCTCCCTGTCCCACCTGGAGAAACCCGGCTCCACTGTGAGGATTCTGTTCTTCGACTTCTCCAGCGCCTTCAACACCATCCAGCCAAGGCTTCTCAGGGACAAGCTGGAGACAGCTGGAGTGGACTACGACCTGTCTGAGTGGATCCTGGACTACCTCACAGACAGACCAGGGACTGAGAGAACCAGGGATTTTGTGTCTGAGGTCCTGACCTGCAGTGTGGGGGCCCCCCAGGGGACTGTCCTCGCGCCGTTCCTCTTCACCCTCTACACTGCGGATGGTTGTGTCCTACAGAAGTTCTCTGACGACTCTGCCATCATCGGACTCAGCTCCGAGGACAATGACGCAGAGTACAGAGAAGTAATACAGAACTTTGTGGACTGGTGTCAGTGGAACCACCTCCTCATCAACGCGGGGAAGACCAAGGAGATGGTGGTGGATTTCCGCAGACGTCACTCTGCCGCTCCAGCTCCAGTGAACATCCAGGGAAAGGACATCGAGAGAGTGGACTCTTATAAGTACCTGGGTGTTCATCTGAACCACAAACTGGACTGGACTCAGAACACAGACGCCCTCTTCACGAAGGGCCAGAGCTGACTCTACCTGCTGAGGAGGCTCAGGTCTTTTGGAGTGCAGGGGCCACTCCTGAAGACCTTTTATGACTCTGTGGTGGCATCAGCCATCTTGTACGGTGTGGTCTGCTGGAACAGCAGCATCACAGAAAGGGACAGGAAGAAGCTGGACAAGGTCATCAGGAAGTCCAGCTCTCTCCTGGGCTGTTCCCTGGACACAGTGCAGCAGGTGGGGGACAGGAGGGTCCTGGACAAACTAACATCTATGCTGGACCATGACTGTCACCCCCTGCAGGACACTGTCTGCTCTAGAGAGCAGCTTCAGTGAGAGACTTATTCATCCTCAATGTGTGAAGGAGAGGTTCCGCAGGTCTTTCCTTCCTGCTGCTGTCAGACTGTACAACAAACAATAAGGACTAATGAACACTGCCAACTTGATCCCTCATGTCATGCATCGTTGCAATATCCTTAACTTATATCAAAATGTGCAATAACCACATGTCACTGTCACTTTACTGAGTCACTGACTTTATACTTGCCCCTTAATTTGCCAAATGTAAAACTTTTACACTTCTTTTTATTATTATTATTTTAAAGATATAGATTTTATACTTGTTATTGATGCTCATTTGGAACAAGTGTGAACGGTGGGTTTACAGATTACAGGTTCTGTAATCTCTCGTGTAGAGAACGGTGAGTGAAGTCAGTGAGGAGATCAATATTGCGGGATGTAAATGGTGATGTGGGTGGTGGAGATACTACTGTATGCATCTTGGCTGTACTCAAAGCCAGTGTTCCTCCCTGTCCACAGCTACTCCATTGTGCCCCAGTCCAGCTGCAGGAGCTACTTTATGGAGCTGGGAGAGGCCGACTTCTCCGTCTTCTCCACGGCTCTGAGCTACAAGAAGACAGAGCTCTTCACTAACTACAAGAGCTGCCTGGTAACCCTCACGCACACACGCACATGCATTTCCTGTGTGATCCCAACCTGACCTACCACAGAGTGAGAATAACCTCAGCTTCAGAAATGTGATCCACTGACTCCCATATTTAGTCCTGACTCGGGCGCATTCTGCTCTCCACCAGGGAATTAACGGCAGCAGTCTGACCCAGGAGCAGGTCTCTGTGATGGGAAACATGTGCTGCACACTGGACGCCTCGTACATCCAGGACTCTCACCCGTCCATAGTGGAGAAGCTGCAGAAGTGCCAGTCCCTCACTGAGGAGCAGTCCGCCGCCGCCTACAGCCTGCTGAAGGATGGGAGCACTGCATACGGGTCAGAGCTCCACACACTCAGGGCATTAATAAGAGAACGTTCCGTTCAATTAAATTTGTTTTTGTAAAGCACTAGATCACAACAGTAGTTATCTCGAAGGACTCTACAAAACAGTAAAATTTGGTAACACAGATCAGAGAATAATAAGTAAGTTAGTAATCTTTATTTATATACCGCCTTTCTCAGACCAGAGTCACAAAGCGGTTTACAATTGTTATTTTTGGGCATTTGTCTCTCACTCCACACAGAGATGGGAGCAAGGTCGCCAGTACAGGGGGCGCGTGCCAGACCTATTGTACATGTTTTTAGTGGTAGGGGAAACCGGAGTACCAGGAGGAAACCTATGCAGACATGGGGAGAACATGCAAACTCTACTCAGAACAGTCCTGTTCCGACCGGGATTTGAACTCAGGACCTTCTTGCTGAGAGGCGAAAGTGCAATCCAGCTTCAGAATGCAAGTGATCCAGAGCTCATTTACTGTATTTGGGAGGGAAAAGGTGGGTAGCTTGCTTAGTCCGATTTGGTTTGTTTGAGCAGCGGTTAGCGACAGCCGCGGTGGGTGGGACCGGACATGTTGTTGAGCTGCATGATTTTCACACCTCATTCGGGATCCATTTGAGATTGTTTATCGGAAGCTTTCTTGATGTGGTGACGGTACTATAAACTCATTGTTCCATAATAAATTTTATTCACAGCATCATGGTTGAAGACACAGTAACCTTCTGTTGGAAACAGATGGTTATTACTGTATCAAAATGTATTCGTGCACAAAGAAGTTATAAATCACTTAAAGCATAAATCAAAAATCACACAGGGCATTAAAAACAAACATTAAGACCACATGGAATATTAAAAACATAATCAAAATTGCACAGGTAGTTAAATCTTGGTAGAAATCTTTAGATTGCCCCCCCCCCCCCCCCCACTAAAAATGATGTGTCCACAAGAGCTCCATCCACGTGGAACCTGCAGACGCTGAAGGACCTGGAATGGCTGCCTCTGACCCTGCCAGTCGGCTTCTTTCACAACTATGACAAGGTGAGCTGCCTCCTCTCGCCGTGTCCACAGACTAAAACACTTTAGTAATTTCAAAACCATCAATTATGTAGAATTGTAAATTTGTTTGTAACGTTTTCCCCCTGTTCCTGAATATAATTATTCTAAAGAAATTGATAAAAAAAATGTCTCACATGCTTTTTATACTTTCAACACTGAACATTGTAAAAGTGTTTTGGTGACCTTGGCCTGTAAAATGCTAAAATATATTTTTCCCCTGTGAATAGAAAACCCTGAGGGGCTACATCAAGTATGTGCGCAAACTGAAGAGAAATGTCCAGCTGTCCAGAAAGGAACTGAAGAGCGTGGAGAGAACCATCATAGAGTCTTTGAGGAGCCGCAGCAAGCGCTCAACAGGTACAATGCTTTTGTTCTATTTAGTGAATGACCCCACCCATAATTATACCTGTTTCAAAACGTTTCTGCCCCCTTTTGTGTAGCAGATATCTTTTGTTGTAAGAAAAAAATATCCTCATTTGTAAATGTAAATGTTGTCTTGTCAAAAAGGTTACATAAGCCATAATGCTGAATGGGTGAGGGGGGTGCATGTTTATCAGCCCCTTTTCAAAACATTTGAAATTTAATACAGGTGAAACTCAGATAATTAGAATACAGTAAAAAACTTTGATGAGAATTGTGTCTATCTGAAGATTAGACTCTGTTATCAGCTAATGGTTCCAAACACAGCAGAGGGCGCCTGAGACTCTAAATGGTTTCAGTCTGGTTTAGGGAAATTCATCATCATGATGAATCATCATCATCATCATCAGCATGAATACAGCTGACCTGACACCTGCAGAAAACCCTCATTGAAACCCTCCATAAGAATAGAACGTGCATCCATTTCTTTTCTTCCTCTTTCTGATCTGGGGGGTGACAATCAGCTGCCACCCAGTTCAGAGAACACCAGCCCCTCACTGATCCTCCTGCAGGTGGCAAGTCCACAGGAGGATGACTTCTCTGTGAGTGACGGTACAGCCTTGATCTCTCAGCAGGGGCTTCCGGCAAAGTGGGGTTAAGTGTGTTGCCCGACAACATAACCATAGCACACATCAGTAGGAGTTGGTGGAGAAGGTCTCATGGGCTCAACCCACAACCTTCAGGCTCAAAGGCCAATGAAGAGAACGTCTCAAAGGTTAATAGCAAAAGCAGCTGGATGATGTTAAAGCACTGAAAGCACATTCATTAGTAAGTTTACAGTAAGAAAAAGCCTCAGGGATGAGGCCGGAGTCAGAGCATCAAAAGCACCACACACAGCCGGATCATGGACATGGGCGACAAATTTCCGGCTTCTCTTGTTAAGCAGCTCCTGAACTAATGTATTTGACGTACAACATGATCTGTTGCTCAGTGATCCAAAGTTCTCCATTCTGATTTAAAAAAAGGTTGCATCTCAATTGGAAACCAAGGTGTCTCAAAGTCTGGAGGAAGAATGGAGAAGCACACAATCAAGATGCTTGATAGAGTTTCCCCTGTACGTACTGTATGTACATATTTGTGTTGCACTTCTGATTTCCTTTTATTTCTTCAGACTGCTCAGAGGGGCAGATCACTCAGGTGAAAATCAGTGACGAGGCCTTCCCCTTGGATTACTCAGATGTGCAACAGTTCAACAGCTGCCTGAGCGCCGCCACAGTGAGGGACAACCTGGAAGCCATCACCTCCAAAGTGGACGACAATGACTACCTCCGGGTAGTCCTGGAGCGCCTGCGTGAGGTCAGTATGGCGATACACTCTAAATACATTTTCGGACTGTAAGTTGGACTTGTTTCAGGATATTGACTGTATGCTTTGTGGTCCCATGGGTAGGTGTATCCCAGCAGTGTCCCAGAGGACCAGGTGCAGGCCTTGGGCCCGGCCTCTCGAGTCGCTACGGAGCAGGACATCAGCCACTGGACCATCACTCAGCTGGACACGCTGTCTGCTCTCATGGACAAGGCCGAAGGAGCATGGGAGTCTAGCCTGGTCAGTCCGAAAACACAACACACAACCAGTGTTCCCTCTGATCTGCGCATTTGCGTAATTGTGCAGTGATTTTGGCGTCTCATCGCACAGAAAACTCTGACCTTCTCACAAAATAAAAATCCAGCGTCCTGTGCCACCAGCACAAACAGGCCGCAGATTTCTACTGGACCACTGTGGATCTGTGTGCGCTCATTCTCTGACTAGAAAAAGTCAGAGCCGAAAGCGCTCTGTCTGTGACGATTATGTACTGTCCGCAAGTGAAGCGCCCAACACAGAAGTCTGAAGATGCGTTTGATCCAGAAAAGGGGTAGGACCAACCCTGCACACCGTGAACCGCAATTGCGAACTCGGTCTTGACGTGGACTTATGGATTGTTGTCTGACGAGCACTACACCAGCTGCTGCAGTGTGTGTGTAGCCTGACGAGGGTTGTGGGCTCACATTCGGTTGACTAAACTTAGTTACCAGCAACGGCAGGGTTTTTAAACCCAAAATAAAATAGTAAACGCCCTAAGGCACGCAGGTAAGTTCATACAAGGAGGCATGTTCCATCAGTGAGCACATTTATTAAATATATTTTCTCTCGCTCTCTTTTTAAGTGTCACAAGTAAAGTAGTCTGTCAGAGTCATACAACTAATTCACAGTACATGATGACAATTGTCCATGTGTCTACTCGTAGTGAAATAAAAGACAAGAAAACTAAGGCAGAAAAGAAAGGCGAGATGGCAGCAGGGGTCACGTCCAGATCTTGCATCCTGCCTGGAAATAAAATATTAGAAAACGGCAGGAACATGATCCGCTTTCCAGGGCAACAACTCGCGCTAACCTACCCTCTGGAACACTATCATTGTGCACGGTCAGTAGGCCGTTGTGCACAGCATCCTGGGTCCAGCCTGAGCCCACACCTGGACCCACAGAAAAAGGGCAGGCAGCTGAGCCAGTGGCAAATGAACGCGACCCATTACGGCACACCCTAGGCCACAGAAAAGCGATTCGATTAATACAAAGACGTGAGATTATTAAAAAGGCTGAAGGACGCTACCTGTACTGTCAGGACGGTGGACACGGGAGGCGGAAGTCTGCCCCGCGGAGACAGAGGCGCACTGAGGTGGCCACATCACCACATGTGCATGGAGCTACACACAAACACACACACACACACACTTAACGTGTACGCACACCTGCAGGGAGATGAACAGGATTTTCCTGCTTACGTCCCTCTCTTTGCCCAAAGTACTTCCATCACTTTGATGTGGTTTCGTTGTTAGCACTTTTCTCTTCACTGATATTAAAGTAATAGTCGGAAACTCTAAATGAATTACAAATTTTAAGAATTGTATTAAATTGACTTCCTGTGCTTAAATTATGATATAGAACAAGTCGTAAACAATTGTATTATATATGACGGGTAAGTCCCGCCTTCCCTAATCTTAGCTACGTATTTATGCAATTCACAATCTTTATAAATATTGAACCGAAGCATTGTTGGTTAAAGCTGAAGTAACTTAAATAAATGGGATTGCAACAGGTGTATCAAAATTTTAATAGTTTTCTAGATCTTTTATAGTTTTATAGTTTTTTTTTCTATTTCTGTGTTTTTATCATCCACATTTACACCTGAAGCTGCACATCCAGATCCGTTCTTCCCTTGAATGCCGTTATATATGAACAAATATGTTGAGATTATTAGTTGTCTCATGGTCTGGCACTTGTAGACTAGGCCTCTCCTGTCTTGTACACTTTTGCCCGTGTAAAACAGATGGTTGATGTACGCAGGCGAAGGCGGTGATCGACAAGTACCTCTCTGCACATGGGACCAGTCTGGGCAGCGCAGAGCTCAACGCCATCAAAGGAGACAACCTGTGTGCTCTGGATCCTGAGGTCCTGAAAAACATCTCCTCTCAGAGCTTCAAGTGAGTCCACAGCCAACGCAGATCCTAATTCTTCACCACGTGCAACATCCAGCCCGTAGACTGTGTATATATGGACAACGCTAACCCGCTTGCTCAATGAAGCCAAATAGGGTTAATAAGTGCATTGGGTTTGCTCTAATAGCGTATGTTCAAATCGGCTTCTTCCACATTCGGTAAACACTATGGGTGACGTCAGTGTTCATGAAGACTGTATATACTGATACTAATTTATGGTCTATGCTCCAGCCCCTGATGTGGTTTGTCTGTTGCTGCAGGGACACTGAGGCCTTGAGCGTGTCCGTCTGCTCCAAAGTGAAGAAGCAGGCATTGTTCAGTGTGGCTCTGAGGGCCTTCAGCAACTCCAGCACCACTTCCAGCCCCACCTCCAGGTCCAGCTCCAGCGAGTCAGTGAGCAGCTACCAGCTCCTCCAGCCCTACTTAGGTACCGCTCACACAAATCTGTGAAGCATTGTTAACTACGTGAACCAGACCTGGTCCAGTTGAAGTGAACATCTGTATGATATGTGTTTGCGTGGCCTGCAGGGGGCGCTGATGAGACGTATGTGAGGAACCTAGTCACCTCGAATGTAAACATGGACCTGTCGACCTTCACCTCTCTGGACCCCCAAGTCATACAGGTGCATGAGCTTACACTTCAGCATCTTTAAAGGTACTCTGTAATTTTTAAGTTGCTCCAAATGAAAAAAAAACATGTCATCTAAAAACAAATGTGACTTTTTAAAGAATATTTACCTCCACCATGTTTTTAAATTGTTTTCATAGGCTTAGAATTTGACCTATCCATGTCAATGCGCCATCTTGAAATACATTGTTTGATAAGGGACAAAAAGGATGTGAGAATCGCGTTTTCGTTTCACAGGTGTTTCTAATATTGTTGCTTTCACTGTGTCTTCACAAGTTTGAAGAAGGAACCATGGAGGACCACAGCTATATAAAAGAATGACCCAAACAAAAATCTATTAGAAAAAGAATTGTGCAAAAATCTAGAAACTCGTGTGATAGAGATTTGAGGTTATTGGTAAAAAAGGTGATGGAGTTTAGAAGCATAAATGAAAGTGTTATGGCCCCGTGATTGAGGAGAGAGCACGTAGTTGCAGTAAAGAACACAAGGGATCTTTTGTATAAAAACAATAATTTATTTTTCCAAAATAAAAGGTTAAAAAAAGTCTCCTTTAAAAAAAGTGCGGATTAAAATGGGCCCAATGAGTTGCTGGTCAGCCCAGTTTCTTTCAGCGTTCCCAGGTCCTGCAGGCATAAACAGATCAGCGGGGAGGAGAGGAAGCCAAGCAGCAAACCATACACACATGCACCAACAGAAATACGAGCACCGCTGCTTTCACGCACTTACCAGCGAGGCCGCGTTGTTACATTCGGCCGCCGTTTGGATTAGGCCTCACGGTGCTCAACCCGATAGATCGCGTCTCCTGTGGTGCCGCGGACCCTGGAGGCAGAGCACATCCACACAGAAAAGCGCCAATACACCCCAACGAGTCCCCTCGCCAAAGGCTACTTCACGAACACCACTACTCAATGCGTTCAGGAACTTAAACGCGAAGGCAGATCGGCGATGACTGTGGTCCAGGTCACGTATCCGGTGCTGTGCTGTCCCGTGTTCTGCTCCCCTCTGTATCACTGCATCCACTTTTCTGCTCCCAGTCCGCCCTTATGTCTCTCCTGCCCGCTAAGTCGCAGATGCGCTGATTAATCTTGGAGCACAGGCATTGGCTGAGGATCATGTGTGGCTCGGGGCAGCAAGGCATCACATTGAGAGTAAATAAAACACTCATGATAAAATCAAATAAAACCATTCAACAAATAAAACCATGCAATAAAAGTCCACACTAAAAATATGATAAAACATGCCTGCTTACACCCGCATCATAACAGCATACGTGTCAACATCGCAAACCACAGCACCAAAAGGCAGAGTTAAACCAACAGGGGGCACATTGCTGTTGTTTATATACACAGCAGACTCACACGTGAACAATAGAGATCTCTCATGTGACGTCACGATGCCTCGAACTATTAAATATGTTCAAAATGTTTGCCGTTTTTGGCTGCAGCAAAAGGAGAGACAGGGAAAATAAGTTGTGTTACCGACTGCCAGCCGTCCTTATGATCTGATCTGATTCATGAATTTAGGTTGAGTATATATTTGGGTCACTAACTGCTGAAGTTTGAAATTCTCTGTTCAGTTTTCATGTAGTTCGAGAGAGTTCTAGTTTTGAACGTCCAGTTATAGATAGCTAGCAGGGCTGTTACTCGCCGAGGTTGTCCTCCAGTATGGCTGCCGTGGCTTCTAGTCACGTGACCGTAGGATCCCTCTATACGTTACTTTCTTCACACTGACAGTAACGAGAACGAGGCAGAATCTGCAAAACGGGTCCCGGAATGTTCTGACCTGTTCCGAGCAACTACTGTGTACAAGTTTCAACTAAATGTATTCAGGGACAAGCCTCCAATAAAACACACAGAATCCCCACAAAACGATCACCAGCATGAGTGAATGTTCTGTTTTCTTACCGTGATGCAGATAGGGCGCTGTGGCTAATGCTATTATAATCTGAGCTTTTAGCCATGTCCTGCCTCTGTGATCATTGTAGTTTTAAGCTCTATTATGCTTCTATTCTCTTCACACTGCATTTGTAAAACTAATATATTATAATAGATCCATGGTAAAACTCAGTAGATCCTCTGTGTAGCAGTTGCCGCTTCAGAACGCGGTTTTGTTTACATGTTGCCTCCACGCTACTGTCAAGTGCCCGAGACGTTTGGAGAGATCCGGTCATTTAACAAACTAAAGGATTCTTTTTTTGGCATTCCGAAGGCTTCTGTAGTACCTTGGACTGCAATATGATATCCCAACGCTAGATTTGAGTAAAAACTCTACCTTATTACCTGCCAGCCCATTTCAGAACATCCATCCATCCATCCATTTTCTTCCCCTTAATCCATTTCTGGGTGGGGGGGGCTGGCAGTCAGAGCTGCACCCAGTACACTTAGCACCAGTCCCTCACTGATCCTCCTGCAGGTGGTGAGTCCACAGGAGCTGAGATCTTCCAGTGGGGGCTTCAGGCAAAGTGAGGTTAAGTGTCTTGCCCAAGGACACAACGACAGCAGCTATCAGTGGGAGTTCTGAAGTAGGTCTCGTGGTGGATTTTAACCTACGACCTTCAGGCCCAAAGGCCAATGCTCTACCAACTGAGCTACTGTCGCCCCCATTTCAGAACAGGTACTCCCATATTGCCAGCAATTTCTGATGATTTTTATTGATTTTTCAAGACCCACAGGTTTTTGTACACTAGGACCATCTGAAATCCAACCAGATTCTGAAAGAATGGACTGTCTACTTTCATCAGAAAAAAGAATGTTGTTTTAAGCTTGTTTTGTTTCCCTGTAATCCCCAGTCGAGTAGAGGAAAGTTGTACTGAAATCCCCCGTCTCTGTCAAAAAGCTGAGAAAGAGTGCATCCTGTTTTCAAAACATCCAGAGGCAGCGCTGGTGCCACCTGCTGGCTCGATGAAATATGCTCTAAAGCTTATCCCCATACATATTAGATATAATAGACATCTGGGAACATGAAAATAGAGAAAACCGTATTTGACGTTTTAAGACGTCAATGGCAGACAAGCGTGCAATAAATTCTCACAAGATCTTTACACAGAGAAATATGGGCCCTTTGAAAACTATCATGCATGTAACCAAAGGAGTATGGCTAAATACAACTATATAAACAGAACATTTAACAAAAACAAAATACATTAAATACAATAAACAATAATGCATAGGTTCATTCTTGGCGTAGAGGCATTCTTGTATTTGTCAGTTCACATTAGATGAAAGAAATATGTTCCATCATTTTATTATCAAGTTTGAGTCCTTTAACAGAAAGGAAAGACATCGGGACTGCAGACGAGGCGGCCACCCCTCACGCTGTCGTTACTTCTGGAGCCTGAAATGCAAATTTTTATTATACACAAAAATATGTACATATATTAATGTAATTGTGTCAAAAGTGCACATTTTTACTACAAAATATGTATACCTAGCCCTAAATCTCAATAGCAGCGATCCCTGAGGTCTAGTTCACAGATCAGAAAATAAAACACCAAAAATGCAATGATTAAAAAAAAAAAACATGCTTGGATATTAAGTTTATTAACATGTTCTGGATCATCATCACTGTCCTTAGACCCTCCTGAATCGGCAAGGAACAACTAAAGAAACCAAGTGGGGAAAAAGATCTTGGGAAGGGCCACATTGAGAAAGGGATTTTCTCCCATGCACCGAAGGGCTATCCAGGACTCAGGCTGTAGAAAGAGGATCGAGACCATGTGTAGCGGGACTGAGGCGGATGCCAGGCGGGGAGGGCGGTGCAGCAGGAGTCCAGGCCAAGGGAAAGTCTATAGGTGGAGATGAAAGAGGCCAAATTCAGGGGCTCCATCATATCAAACTTGGCCAAAATGTTATACGAGGAGATTTTTTTTTATGTCTGAAATGTATGGAGAGAGAAAAGGTTTGGCATCCCAATCAAGAAAGTCAACATACCCATGCCTTATGTTGTATCATATTGTCGCAATGAGAAACTTTTTGTTTCCAGAATAATCTGACTCCAAATTCCTGCCCATAAAGTTTGTCAATTCTAATCATCTTTTTCCTGGATAAGCCAAGCCTCACTCTGTCCATTGTTGCTCTGCTCTGCTAACACTGACCTCTTCTATGTGTCTCTTCCTCAGAGCCTGAGTGTGAGTGACGTGCGGAGCCTGCTGGGGTCCAACCTGAACGACCTTAAGTCCCACGAGAATGTGACTGTAGTGGAGGACTGGACCAGAGCACAACTCCAGTCTGAGCTGGACATGCTGGGCATCGGGCTGACAGGGGGTCGCACTACCACAGCCACAACTGCTGCTACAGGAGGCACGACTGCTGCTACAGGAGGCACGACTGCTGCTACAGGAGGCACGACTGCTGCTACAGGAGGCACGACTGCTGCTACAGGAGGAACCACAGCTGCTACAGGAGGCACGACTGCTGCTACAGGAGGCACGACTGCTGCTACAGGAGGCACGACTGCTGCTACAGGAGGCACGACTGCTGCTACAGGAGGAACCACAGCTGCCCCAGGAGGAACCACAGCTGCTCCAGGGGCCACAACGACAGGTCAGTTTTTGACCCGACCTCGTTCCAGCTTGTCTGATATTAGGGATTCATTGTTTTGTTATCATGTTTTTACTAATTAAAAACATGATGATATTGATTGACAAGTCTGATTATGTAGCAGCTGGTTAGCAGCTAATGTCGATTTACTGTCATTTTGGCAAAAATGGAAGCTAAAATAGATTTGGAGGTAACTAAGAAGTGAAAGACAGTAGTAGATCGATATAACACTAAGTGGGGTTATATCGAGGGCGGTTTTCTTAGATACGGACCGAATCAACCTAAAGACCTAAATATACTTGGTGGGTACATATAAAAAAAAATTAAGCTGTTTTGTGAAGATAGCCAGTATATAAACACACTTCTACATTCTTTTTAAAGCAACTCTTCAATAAGCAGGCCCTTTTTAAATTGTATTTTTAAAATACTGGGAGACCGTAGGCACTTTACAGCCCACTGTGGCACCTGGTGTTCCCAAACTGTCAAAAACATTTTAGTGAGTTTATTATTTTTTTTCATTACTTGTGCAGATTTATGGATTTGACATGTTTTGTTGTTCGGGAGCTGTGCGTGTTTAAAACATAATAATAAAGTAAAGCAGGAATATTAACATAACACTGAGTCCTTGTGTTTTCCAGCCAAACCGAGCGGCGGAGTGGCCCTCAGCGCCCCCTGTGGACAGTGCCTGGTACTGCTGTTGCTCTGCTCTCTGTACCTGCTCAGCTAGCCTTTGATTGTTCTTTTATATTTATTGCAACTGCCTACTGTAAAGGACACATATTATGCAAGTCATCCCCTGTCCCTTTCTGTCAAAATGCTCAATAATAAAATAGGTTACGGTCATTGGTCCATAGGATATCAGGTTAACAAATGTCTTCAATGACCCACCAGCATTCTTTAAATCAGTGTGCCTTAAATGTGATGTTTAGAATGCAATACCCTTGTTAAATAGTATATTATACATATATATACAGTAATTCAGAGTATACTGTGTCAGGGAATGTTTAAACATGTTTTATGTGCAATGATTATAGTTTACTTTGATTACCGCACCCCTCCCCCAACATTTGATTATGAATGTAATCTGTAAGTGTATAAACGTCTTAACAGGTGATGTATGAGAACTAGAAGAAGAAGAGCACTACATATACCTTTGATCCAGTATCTTAATAAATCTTGTTGTAAAAAATGTTTTCATCGCCTGTTCTTTGCACAAGGGGGCGCTGTGTGTCTGTTCCTATAACCCTAGAGGCAAGATGATGACTGTGACCAATCTGCATGAGCTGTGTTTGTAGTTTGACAGCACAATGGAGAGAACAGAAAGCACTTTGGGGTATAAATGAACCAGTCTGAGCTTTAAACCCAACATATCAGGGGTCATTAGGTCAGGGTTCATTACTCGTGCTATTCCAGCATGATTAAACACTTACACCTGGCAGACGTTTAGTGTGGTATAAAATTATATTTATTAACAAAAGGGTTTGTTCCACCAGTGACCTCAGTCCTGCCTTCACACACGCAGCTCTGGACTCTTCTGTCTTCACACACACACAACTGGCTCTGGACTCCTCTGTCTTCACACACACAGCTCTGGACTCCTCTGTCTTCACACTCTCGACTCTGGACTCCTCTGCCTTTACACACACAGCTCTGGACTCCTGTCTTCACACACACAACTGGCTCTAGACTCCTGTCTTCACACTCTCGACTCTGGACTCCTCTGTCTTCACACTCTCGACTCTGGACTCCTCTGCCTTCACACACAGCTCTGGACTCCTGTCTTCACACACACAACTGGCTCTAGACTCCTCTGTCTTCACACTCTCGACTCTGGACTCCTCTGTCTTCACACACACAGCTCTGGACTCCTCTGTCTTCACACTCTCGACTCTGGACTCCTCTGCCTTCACACTCTCGACTCTGGACTCCTCTGCCTTCACACTCTCGACTCTGGACTCCTCTGCCTTCACACTCTCGACTCTGGACTCCTCTGCCTTCACACACACAGCTCTGGACTCCTCTGTCTTCACACTCTCGACTCTGGACTCCTCTGTCTTCACACTCTCGACTCTGGACTCCTCTGCCTTCACACACACAGCTCTGGACTCCTCTGTCTTCACACTCTCGACTCTGGACTCCTCTGTCTTCATACTCTCGACTCTGGACTCCTCTGTCTTCACACACACAGCTCTGGACTCCTCTGTCTTCACACACAACTGGCTCTGGACTCCTCTGTCTTCACACACACAGCTCTGGATCTGATCTGAAAAGTAAAACAAGATCACACAAAAACTGGTGTCACAATAAGAAAATAACACATTTAAATCATTCTGTGCATTCACTTCTTTTGTCTTACCTTTGATTTGTCAGTTGTAGAAACAATGTTGGGAAGTCTGGATCCAAAGGATCATTCTTAAAGGGATAGAGTAGGACTTTCTACTCCTGAACCTTCAGGACTTTAGGTTGAGGATGAGGTCGACTCTTCACCTTTTTGTGAAGATTTTTCTGTAACACCCATTTTTGTGAAAGGTTCATGTGGACCAGTTGAGAGCCTATGTGTTTTTTATATGCTCACCTACCTCATACAGCTGTGCATTAATCTGGTCCGCTTTTTTTGATTATATTGTTGAAATGCCTTCACCTGTGTATTCATGCGCCCTGAGGAAAGCAAGTTGTTGAGACTCGTTGGTAAGTTTAACATCATAGAAGCCTTGCTCACATAAAGGATTTACCGTCGGAGTGTCTTGGAGTTTTTCTATGCTTGTGTTTCAAGCAGAGTTCTTTTTGCAAAAAAGAATTAACCCACAACCTCCAAAGAGCACCTGGCTGGCTTCAATTTCACATTTCCATGCAGCACTTCCAATACAATATTTTTTGTTGCTTCCTTCACCTGTTTACAAACACTCACATGGCTAGTAACTCTGTTTCCCTACCTTTTTGAGCCGTGGCACACTTGGTCATTGAAAGCAATCACATGGCACACCACCATCTGAAACTGATAAAAAACATTTAAACTCTGCAGCCTTTAGTAACAAGGCAAAGTCTATCTCATCAAAGTGTAGAAAATCAAACAAGCACAAACATTGATTTAATATTCTTACATTATTATTTTTTTCAAATTATTTGGACCGATAAGGTGATAATGATCATTTCAAAAGGTACACCAAACCACCTCTCACGGCACACCAAGGTGCCACAGCGCACTGGTTGAAAACACTGAAAACTCGCACTGCTTTAACTAAAAAATATGTGCCAATCATTTTCAATTCGCTATCCTCATTGTTCTCACTCCCAGTTCTTTGCTTTCTCACCATTCTCATATCTCTATCAAAAGGACACAAATGCAAAGTAGTGGGACGAGGGTCACATGAAACAATCCAAATGATGATTTACCTTTAGTTGACATGAAAGCGTGGCCTAAGCCTCCTCCTCCGCTCCGTCTCTCCACTGTCTGCACTCATATACTCCACCTCACTGGAAAAGAACGACACATGAATTGACTGAATTTTATCGTTTGTTCAAGTTGAAATTTATGCAATACCTGCCCTGCAAATTGTTTTAATGTGTCTTTCAATCTAGAAAGGAAAAAAAAGAAGTGAGTCCTAAAAGAAATGTTCTAATAACTAAAATACTCAATACTTACCGTTTTGTCCATAGTCCCAAAGGACAAAGATGGGGGAATTAACTGTGAATGAAACGCATGCACCACATACAGTACGGGCATTCTACACTAAGACAATGGGTCTCAATTCTTTTTTGTACCCCTAAAACACAACGGTTGTTATCGCGGAGGACTCAACAAAATTTTTGATTCACCAACAAAGATCAGAGAATCAAACAGATAAAACACAGAAAATGCAATGACAAAAAAACCACATAGAGCCAATGGTCCATAATGGGCAGATGAGCGTTGTCCATAAGACAGGAGTCCATAAATGTTGTTGAATGTCCAATGTCCTGGATCATCCCTGCTGTCCTTAGAGCCTCCTGAACCTTTCTTTTTTGGCATGTGGACTGACGGTTTTTATTAGTGCCGTCTGCTCTGACGTCTTTCATTATTCGTATGGTCTTCTTTGTCATGCCTTTGACCTTGAGACATCTGGATCATTGCTAAAACCAGCACCTTTGGATGTGGCTCATTGTGCTTCACAGTACATTCAGTCAGGAAAAAAAGAATACTTCATGTGACTAAACCAGGATATGCTCAGCAAATGGTAAATTTAGTATTTTAGCCAAAAAATACACAACCCCCAAAGGTGCTTTTGTGGCATCATGTCTGGCATCCATCTTGTTGACATCTGGTCAGGCAGGCTTGTGGCAATTGCTTTGACATTTCCTATAGAATCTGGTATGGCATTTTTAGAGACAAGCAGAGATCACAAAGTCCCCATACAACTAATGCGTGGGGTATTTGGTTTAACCCACACACAATGGAAGATGCCACATTTGCCATATGCCACAAATGACACATGCCGGAAAGAGGCCACACAGATGCCCAAAATAAAAGACTACAAACTTGTTGCTGAAAACTAGAGCCATTCCTGGCATCTGGTCTGATCCGTTGGCCGTTTACAACACAAGAAAAATCAAAGCAACAAAACTAAGCAACTAATGAAGGGATCAGACAGGGATCCAGCTATTAAACACATATTTTTGTTTTTGTTATTTAATTTTGTTTAAGGGATCAAACAGCGATCCAGTTTTAATACTTTTTTGTTTGTTTTTTGTTCATGGGATCCAGCGGGGATCCAATCATTTGAAACATGAGTTACCTTAAAATCAGACATACTCAAAGCTGTAAACCACATGTTAGCATAAGGGATCAACCAGGATCCAGTTATTTACAACACAACAATCATAACATGTATTTTAGGGGATCAACCAGGATCCAGTTATTTACAACACAACAATCATAACATGTATTTTAGGGGATCAACCAGGATCCAGTTATTTACAACACAACAATCATAACATGTATTTCAGGGGATCAACCAGGATCCAGTTATTTACAACACAACAATCATAACATGTATTTTAGGGGATCAACCAGGATCCAGTTATTTACAACACAACAATCATAACATGTATTTTAGGGGATCAACCAGAATCCAGTTATTTACAACACAACAATCATAACATGTATTTTAGGGGATCAACCAGGATCCAGTTAAGTTTTTAAGGGATCAAACAGGGATCCAACTATTTACAAAAGAACAATACAATCTATTTTTTTAACGGATCAAACCAGGATCCAGCTATTTACAAGAAACAAAAAATGAAAAACACTCACCTGGAACCTTACCTGTTTAAGGCCTCAACATACTCACAGTTTGACGCTGGGGGAAAAGCTGTAGTAAGCAGTGCTAATGGTCTCCTGGAGCACAGGAATAGAGGAGGGGGGCACCTCAGGGGGAGTCACCAGCAGGAAGAACCTCGGGAACATCCACAGACCCACAAACACTGGAATTTCCATGGGCAGAAGCAGCTGCACAGATAAGCATCAGGTCACACACACATATCGGACCTAGAAGTTGGCTTGAACAATAAGTTATTCAACAACCCACTTGTCTGGTTTTGTATTCCTGTCTCTACACAAAAGCTGAGTGTAAATCTGTTTGATCCAGATTCAGGGAAATTAATAATTGGATGAATCATTTCAGGCCAACTGTTGATGGCGCAAAAACAACAATGTATTTTGATCAAAGTTGTAACATAGTTAAGCACTAAATAAAGAATATGTGGCATAATGCATGTTTTTCAATAACAGCAAGGTAAACAGGGGTTATATGGAACAGGTGTGCACCGTGAGGCTTACCTGCAGAGGAGTCAGGGCTCTCCCAGAGGTGGAGGGTCCAGGACTTACCTGAGCCGGTGCGGTCCCAGAGGTGGAGGGCTGTGGCCTGTCCTCTCTCTGCAGCACAAGCCTCTTCATAAACACATACGTACATAGTGACAGAGAAAAGAGCAGATGTGAACAGGCCTACCTCAGTGGACGAGGGAGGAGGAAAGTTGGATCTCGCTGGACCACTGCTCCGGGCTCTCTTCCTGGTCCCAGGGGCAGCCGCCGGAGACCTCTTCCTGCCGTCCTTCTGTCGGATAGAAAAAGATCAGCTTTTAGAACATCAACACATCAGTTTAAAGACAAGGATAAAAGGTCACTTCTAACTTTTTGGTTTATCAATATCAATATTAAGTTTGATTTATTAAGGACAATGTGCGGTTGCATTAAAACGATGGCTGTACCAGATTTAGCACCTGGTACAGCTACTTTCCACCTGTAGTCCTTGACAATGCAATAATATAACTTGCAGATCAATATACAATTCATTAAAAAGTGCAAGTTACTAACTTACATATAAACATACAGGTCAATAAAAGTGAAAGTTACAGGGAAAGGTCCAGGTGCAACAGATTTAAAGTAGTCATGTGACCAATTCTGGTGAATTAGAACAAATGTTCATGAATGTACTCCGTCCCTGTGTATACATAAATGTCTCATTTGATTAATTATTTTGTCAACTTTTTCAAAGTGCTTGTCTGTGTGTTCGCGTATGCAGTATCAGTGCAAATGAGTAAATTAGCAAGGTTATATTTCTAGAGGGTACATTTGTAATCCGTGTGGAAAGTCATAAAAGGCAATGATCCAATACATTTACTTTACATTTAGGAATAAGTATTACTTAATTAAGCATTAAGTAATTCAGTATAAAATTACTATTTTTTACAAAGTACTGGAATACTATGCAAAATACATTTTAGGTCATGAATTCAGTTGCTTGCAACCAGATGTGGTTGTTTTCATGAAATAATAATCTTTAAAATGAGGTATAACAGGCCATGGTAGCTCATGCTAAGCTGCACATTCTTTGGATATTGACTTGGATCAACTTTTTTCATGAACTTAACCATGTCAAGCATCAGGCCATAAAATATGGATCAGAAAAGATCTCATCAGTGTGTGTAAAAGAGAATACTTGCCTGGGCCATGCGGGGGGAAAAGCTGTGATAAGCAGTGATGATGGTCTCCTGGAGCATGGGGATCGAAGAGGGGGGCACCTCAGGAGGAGTTGCCAGCAGGAAGAACCTCGGGAACATCCACAGGCCCACAAACACGGGAAGCTCCATGGTCAGAAGCAGCTGCACAGAAAAACACCAAAGTCTAAAGAAGGAGCTCAAAGTCCAGGGCGCCAACCCTACCACCAAACTGTCTGTAGTGTCTGTATGTGAGTTTGCTTTTGAGTATGCTTCTGAATTTAAAGTCAGCAGTGGACTATTTGTAAAAGTTTCACTGTAGGCCACAGTCAGCACTGAATGCTTTTCACATACCGACTCAAAGCGGGGGACATCGCCCTTGTGCTGCCACAGGGGGGCCATGGGAGTCAGACGCCAGCCTGGAGGCTGTAACACCACATACATGTTACAGGACACATGTTACACATGAAGCACAGAGCACTGCTGTAGCTAAACACACCCCAAGCTCTGTGTCCAGGTGCTCAAAGGAGGTGGGCAGAAGGCTGCTGCTTGCAGAGAGCTGCTGGACACACAACACAACACATAAATACATATTCATTTCACATAAATACATATTAGTTTCAACAATAGTTAATCAATGGCTGATCCTTTGGGCACAGCGAGGCTCGCCTGCAGAGGCGTCAGGGCTGTCCCAGAGCTGGAGGGGTTCAGGACTTACCTGAGCCGGGCGGTCCCAGAGGTGGAGGGCTTCCTCTTCCTGTTGTCCTTCTGTCGAACACATTAGTTCGATGCAAAGATCAAATCCAAGGCTTTGGTTGATTTATTGTCAAATCAATATGAATTTTAGGTTGACCATATTTGAACATTGTTCCAGGTTCCATTGTTACAAATGTAAAATAGCCTTAAGACTGATTCTGGAGCATTTACACAAATGTCAAATGAATGTACACTTTCCCTGGCAAATAAATATATCACATGTTGAAGGATGTGGTTCAGTAAATTATTGTACCTCACCAGGCTGCAATGAGGCATTGATTCATCACAACACATTAAGGTTTTTCAATTTTAACTAATACACTCTTGTTGTCAAGTGAAAAGTGCTAAAGTAAATGACAACATCACTAAGAAGACTTCATGGATAAAACACAGCATGTGACTTATGTAAAGGGAAAACATCAATAACAAATTGTGAGATTAAACAAAAGACGTGTAGTTCCACGTACGAGTACTTGATTAAGATGGTTTGATGACAACAAAACACCTCACTGTTATAATTTACACTAACACGAGAAAGGTTCACAACCGCTTGTTAAATTAGATCAGAATCTTACTCATAATTTTTGCTTAATTTCTGACAACAATGCGTCTAACTTGTTTGTGCTATGTGACATGCAACCAGTACAATGTTTAACACTTGCACTAATTCACAAATTAAACGTCAAGTCGATTATATGAAGCGGTAAACAAGCTTAGGAGTGCATTGAAAAGACATAGACATTAGTACCCAGGCCATAAGGAGTTTGCAGATGACGAAGCTGTGCGGAGTTCACGGGCTACACAAAAACAGGGACAATTATCTGTCAGGTTGATGCAGAAAGGTGTTAGCTTCAGGAACAGAACAGTCTTTTTCTCTCGAAGTTTTAGCGAAATGACACCAATCCCTGCGAGTTTGAATCAAAACAGTAATATATCTGCAACCATGGCAACCAGGGAGGCACCTGCGTAACGTTACGTGCTGCGCTCGAACGGACGTCACCATTGACTTTGCATTGAAAGCATAGACTGTAAATATTACCTTTTGAAAGTCGCCGCAATGCATGATCCGGTCTGAACGCATAGACGCCCCATAGACTCTTTTTCAAGATATTAAGTAAAGCAAATAATTGTACGAACATTTGGCTCACAGTTTTAAGACATAAAAGGAAATGAATCAAATACAAGCAACCTACTGCCTCCACTGACTTTAATGAGTACATCCCTTCCTGCAGTGAAGCAGATAAATATCAGATTGAGACCGTTCTGAGCCATGGACTTTGTGACTACATCATTATTGTGAAAAACATTGGACACAAGCAGAGACAGTGTAGACACCCCTCAGAACAAGAGGTAGAAAACATTGTTTTGCATGATAATTGGTGGGGGTCATTACTCATTATGCTAATGTTATTTGTAGAAGTCGTAGGTATGATGTTTTTGAACAAATCAGACAGCATGTCTTCCTTCCAAAAAGTCACCAAAAAGCAGAGTTGCGTTTTTAACAAAATTACAATTGTAACAATGCATCGGTTTTATATAGCGCTTTTTTGGACACTCAAAGACTCTTTACATGTTATTATTCATTCACTCCCTACACAGTGGTGATGAACTACTACTGTAGCCACAGCTGCCCTGGGGCACACTGACAGAAGCGAGGCAACCAGTATGCGCCATCGGCCCCTCCGACCACCACCAACCATTCACACACACCACACTCATTTCACCAGAAACAATACTACCACAATTACAATGACCATTTTCAGTCAACTTTAGAAAAATAATAAATATTAAAATAATAATCAATGATAGTTAGTATGTCAGGTGCTGGAACACATGGGGGCGCTTTCAGGTAAGTTGTGTGTGACAAAAAAAGCAAAAATGTTTTTCCTGTCTATGTGAGGCCCCTGGAATCCAGCCCCTTTGTTGAAGGTGGCACAGTCTGGGGATGTGGTGCTACCATGAATGTACTGTATTTTCCTCATGTATATCACTAAATATTATTTCTTATTTCACAAAGAGGTTCTAATGTATGTTACGACATAATAATGACAGACAAAAATGTGTGACACACTTTTATTAGGACATAATCATTTTAAAGCATCAAAAATGAGATACAGAAATGAAAAAGTGATCAAAATAAATCACATGGTATTTCTGGGTGCATCGTAAATGTCTGCTAATAATTCATTTAGATTGTAATCTTCACTTTCTAACATATGTGTATCAATGAACATCAAACGATAAAAACACAGAAGTTACCAAGGGGCATATTCACCATGCTCTGCACCATGAGACATTTTCATTTGTCAAATAAGCATAATGTAACTTAAATTTGATCCATATATTTCACATTCTAAAACCAAATGTTGTGAAGATCATGCTTTAAGGGCCAAAGTGCACACAGATAATGCGTGGTATTTGTCGTCTGATCACAGTAGCCCCTCGCCGCTCTCACAGGCGCTTGTAGACCCCCAGTGGACTCCTGCACGTGGGGCAGGAGTGCTTGGCGTTCTTCAGTCGGTCCACACAGAAGGGGATGAGGCAGCAGCCCAGGACGCAGCTGAGAAACACACCGTCTCATTATTGCTTCATCCGTTTGATGTGTTTGAATTTTTTTTTTCCAACCCCTATTTACCCTAGCCTTTACCAAATGGTTGAGATGCAGTTTGGTGTTAAAAGTCCCTAAAACCAAGTGAAAGTGAGGCCCCAAAGCAGTAGATTTCAGGTCCAAGCTTCATGGAATAATAGTGACTCAAAAAGTGATATACCAAATGGTTGAGGAAACTGATACTGAAATATCTTTTCATGTTTACAACCACAAATGTGAATGTTTTGAACACAACAAAATGCCATGCCCTTGCCTTCGCTACACAACCCACGAATAATCTGCTCCTAGGGTGATTACAGGTGTTCTGTGTTGGTGTGTTGGTTGGCACGGTGGAGAGAGTTTGAATCCCAGTCGGAGCAGGACCTTTCTGAATGGAGTTTACATGTTCTCCCTGTGGCATGTGCAGCGATGGGAGCAAGGTTGCACAACAGGAGGTTTGGGGACCTTGCTCCCATCACTGTGTGGAGTGAGAGACAAATGCCCACAACAATTGTAAAGTGCTTTGTGGGGCTCTGGCAAAAAAAACCACAAAGCCCATGGAACCCCAAGAGAGGTGGGCCATTACTCCAAAATAAAAGCAATTATTAGTCGAATTAACAAAAAACAACAACAAATGAGTCTTGAAATAAAGCATTCAAAAATAAATATGACTTCTGAAGTTTGCTAGAGTCACATGGATAACAAGAGGAAGGAGGTGCCCCTTAGGGAAAGACAGAACAGAAGGGAGTCCAGAACTTGTGCAAGTCTAACTTTTCAGTTTTTATATATTTTTTAACAAATCATGTCACAGCTGTCAGTTACTTTGCGGTATACAATATCCAACGCTACAGGGTGGGAATTTAGACTTATACATCAATGTCTGTCCTGTTCTATATCCTCACCGTGAAAAAGTGAAGAACCAGTCTACCTTGTGAACCATGGCCTCAAATGTGTGCCTGCGTGTGCGTGTGCGTGTGCGTGTGCGTGTGAAGCGGAGAGACGGCTCACCCGCAGAAGAACAGTCCTCCACAGAACAGATAGGTGAGCAGGCCCGCAGTGTAGTCCACTTTCGACAGGACCATCTGCTGACAGCGCGGACACAGCAGCTGCACAGGGCCGTCACAGGGGGGCGCTGTGGGGACTGAGCACAGTACAGGGTTATGCTTCACAACAATACATAAGAGCTGTTAACACATGGTGTAAAAGCTGAGCTACCAAACTTTTTCACCACAATAAAATGAACTGTAAAACTGAATCCATGTCACCATGTTTGGTTCTATCACTAGTTTCCACATGCTGTGTTTCTGGCCACTGGACTCAGATCTTTAGATCAGCTTTTTCAGACAGAAAAGTTTAAAAGAAAGGACCTCACTCACTCACGCCAATCAGCAGTTCTGCAGCAAGAACTCTGACTTTTGGAATTGCATTCCAATGTGGTTTTACTGCAAATGGCACATAAATGAATCTGAATCATCTTAGCTCTCAGCCCAAGAGTCATATGCCCTTTCAAGATGGAGACAGTATGTTATGGTCTGAGTTTTACATTTAACTTACAACTTGATCTATTGAAACATGTGGAAACTGTATAATTTATGTTAAAAAGTACCATAGCGTTAATGTCTATTTTAACAGAAGTTATTCAGGAGCACAACATTACTCAGGCACATTTGGCATTGTTAAAAGTGTCTCACCTGTGCTAAATTCAACCCAAATTATATCTATATCTATTGTATTTTCCGGACTATAAGCCACAGGATCATAACCATTCCATGTTGTAATATTGAAAGAAAAATAAAAGACTTATTTCTGGTCGTCGAGGAGATGAGATGGAGTCAGTGTAGTCTCTTAATTCTCAACATCCACAGTGGGCACGGTGGCTGAGTGGATAGCACTCTCGCCCCTCAGCAAGACAGTCCTGGGTTCGAATCCCTGTTGGACCAGGGCCTTTCTGAGTGGAGTTTGCATGTTCTCCCCGTGTCTGCGTAGGTTTCCTCTGGGTTCTCTGGTGTCCCCTACCACTAAAAATGTGTACAATAGGTCTGGCATGTGCCTCCTGTCCTGGCCCTGCTCCCATCTCTGTGTGGAGTGAGAGACAAGTGCCCAAAAATAACAATTGTAAACCGCTTTGTGACTCTGGTCTGTGAAAGGCGGTATATAAATAAAGATTACTTACTAACCTACAAGTAAAGTAAACACTAGACTGTTAGAAGCATAGTACATCCATGGTTAGAACTCACAAATTGAACGAATGCATCCAGTGGTTTTTGTTCCAGAAAACGGTCCTTTACATTAAGTTAACAATTTGTGGGTGGAATGCCAGTCCTCTCCTGAGTGGACGACACGAGAGAACCAACATAATGTTATGTCGGTTTCACAAACTCACTTTACTGCACTGCTCAATGTATATTGTATATTGTGTGCACCGAGTGCGCTTGTATATGGTAATATTTGAAATCATTTTAGTTTTATATTTTTAATATTTTGGAAAATGTTAATTATGCCTTATTCTTTCTTACTTTTGACTTGTTTGCACCGAGAGCCAAAGCAATTTATTCGTCTGTGATTTCCTGTTACTTACATGGCAAAAAAAGGATTATGATTATATAATATATATTATAATTTTTCAGATGTCATTCTCCTTATCAATATCCTCAAATTATGTCTCGGTTTCATAACCGCATGTATTTACATAAAGGTACATAAATAAAAGTAATTTCACTGAAGTAAAAGTAGTGGTTTTGCACAGACCTCACACACACAGCACTGAAGTGTCTGACTGTGAAATGGACTCACCTACGACCACTGCTGCACTGCTGGCCATCCTGCCTGTGAAGCAACACAACGTCACACACAACACAATGTCACAGATACACAACACAACGTCACACAAACGCAACCCAATGTCATACACATACGCAATACAAACAACATGACACACACCTACTCATCACAAAAAACACCACACAAGTATAAAAAACGTCACAGTCATATACAGAACCCTGTGCCAAACGCGTGCACAACACAACGTCACACGCACGTACACAACACAATGTGAATGTATCAGGGATTCTGGATGCAGCTTAAATGCATTTTAATTCAAGGATTATGTTTTGTGTTAATCATGCAATCACTCATAATCCAACATAAATAAATTAATCCTTAATGAATATAGACTTTTGAATTTTGAGAACAATCATGCTACTGTACATGTTAGCAGCATGTAAGTAAGTCCTCTTTATTTGTATCACACCTTTCAGAGACCAGAGTCACAAAGTGCTTTACAATTATTGTGAGTATTTGTCTCTCCCTCCACACAGTGATGGGAGCAGGGTCGCCTACAGGAGGCAAGAGTCAGATCTGTTGAACATGTTTTTAGTGATAGGAGAAACTGGAGCACCTGGAGGAAACCTACACATGTGACGGTTCTTTACAGGTTAGCAGCATGAGGATGTGGGCTAAAAGTGACAATTAAAGTGACAGTGCACACGTACAAGAATTTCAAGAAGAATTCAAGAATTTATTTGCCATTTGTAGTAAAAGCACATTGGGAAAACTGTGCAAGACTACCCCAGTGTGCACCAGATACACGCATACACAAAACAGTATCACAAAGACTTAGACGACACATTAGATGCACAACACATGGTCACACACACTTACACAACACAGAATCACACACACAATGTCATACACAACACAAAATTACTTACACAACACAACATCACACACACAACAAGAGCCTGGAACTCCTGACTCACTGCAGCATGAGCTCAAAGAGGACCGAAAGCAGATGATTAGGAGGAATACTCACAGGTCTGGACCAAGTCTGTGAGGTCCTCAGGTCTGGTCTGGACCGAGTCTGTGAGAGTCTGGACCAAGTCTGTGAGAGTCTGGACCAAGTCTGTGAGAGTCTGGAGCAAGTCTGTCCTCAGAGTGTGAAGTCCACCCTCCCTCCCTTCCTCTCTCCTCCCTCCCCTCCTCTCTCCTCCCTCCCTCTCTCACCTCCGCTCTCATCCCTCCCCTCTCTCTCCTCCTCTCTCCTCACATCCTCTCTGTCCTCACTCTTTTCCCCTCTTTCTTCCCTCCTTTCTCACCTCTGTCCTCACCTCTCTTCCTCCTCTCCTCTCCTCTCTCCCTGACCTCCTCTCTATTCATCTTTGGATTGGGTCTATTGTGTGTTGATTGTTCATTCAATTAATGACAGATGTTACATTCATTCATGACAACCCTGTATCACAACCCCTCCTGAAGTGGCTGAAGCAACATGTTTATGCATCACTTCTCATTCTATAGATTTGCTCTTTAAACACAGCGGCGTTTAACTAGAAAATAACTTTTATGTAAAAGACAGATGTCCAAATATTGATAAAGTATTGATACGCTTTAAAAAATAAGAAAAAAGAAAAAAGAGATAATTCCAGATTTGCGCTCCAGTAACTGTATAACATTTTTCTTGTTTCAAAAAGGAGCTACTTCTTATATTGAAGAAAGATTTAACACCTGTAGGGAGATCTCAAAGATCTAGAGTCCATTAATTGTTAGATTATATGAAAAGTATATTAGTTGGGTCACGGTATCCCACCATATATATTTTTTGCAGGTCCGTTTATGTTTTACTTATTTTTTTTTAGGAGTTTCACAGAATTCCTGAGCAGTAAGACGGATAGGGAACCACAAGAAAGTAATATGATATATGCAGAGATTTCATATTTAAGATAGTACCAATTGTCTAGATACTTTACTCTTGATATATTGTGGTTTCCAGCTCATCTGAGGATCAATAATCAATAATCACTTCTAAAAATCTTGTCTTTTACACCCACTTTATTTCAATATTATCCCAGTACAATTCTAAACCATCTATTCTAAAATTATTTTTTCCTCAACGAATAATAACTTGAAGTCAAACCATTTTTAGTCCATTTGGTTTCAACATGTTGAATGATGATGTTTTCTTATACTTCTTTCTTTTGTCCTGTGAGGGGGTGTTGTAAATGTACTATACAAAAAACTGATTCATTTCCTACCCTGAACAAAACAAATCAGTATCATCTGCAAAAATCACCAACTAACTAGCATTGTTAGTTGGTGATTTTTGCCAACTAACAATGCTAATTGTTTAGGCTCTTTTGGGGTCCAAAAGAGATCCCTGGGCACCCACAAAATAAGGTTTCTAGTTTGGCATTTGTCTCATTAATTTGGACAACCCCTCCCGTCCCTTGCCCCTCTCCCTCCTCCATCTACTCCTCTCTCCGTGGTCCTCCCTCCCCTTTCCTCCCTTCTCTTCACGTCACATCGGCCCATCTCCAAACCATCTGCAGAACAACAGAGCTTGTGAGATGCATTAAAGCTGAGGTACCGAATTTCTTGTCTCATAAATAACACATGAAGAGGCAAGTGCAATCATGGAAAAAAATCCATCTAAAGGTTTCTTAAAAAAAGATAGAAAACCACTTTAATATCCAAAATTGCAAAAAAATTCCCCACAGTGCCAGGTTACAGCAGCATGTCTCACTGGGAACTTGATGCTGCATGTCCTTCTGGATCAAATGCAGGCTTTTTCCTCATACTTTACAAAAAGATTTTGGAAAATCTGTTGTAATTCTCGCTTGTAAACACCTTTTATGGATGCAACTTCCTTGTGCTTATCCAATAGGGAAAGCAAAGGAAGGTTTCTCACCCATCATCTGTACTTCTTAGCAGGTTTTCCCTACGTTTCGTCCTCAATCCTAAGGACTTCTTCAGAAGTTAGGATTGAGGACGAAACGTCGGGAAAACCTGCTAAGAAGTACAGATGATGGGTGAGAAAGCTTCCTTTGCTTTGACTAATCCCTGTACGACTGAAGGCTTACACAAACTTATCGTTATCCAATAGGGAGAAATAAAGTGAATAAATATAAAGGACCTTACTCTGAGTTTGAAGTGAAATGACCAAGTTCAGTTTGGAGGCCAAACAGGCTCAAGCTTATCTCTTTGCGATGAAAATTGACTACAATACAATACAATTTATTCTTGTATAGCCCTAAATCAAATAAAGGACTTGTAGTAGATGTGTTTCTTGCAGTTTTTGTGCTGAGGTGAGGGGTTTGAAAGGTGCTACATTGCAGTGAGTGGATGTGCATGAGGAGAATGTTCTCACACAAAGAGCTCACAGAGGGCAATGAGCAGCACATGACTCTGCTGATGCTGATTCAATCAGAGCTGAATGCAGCACTCAGCGGCCCCGTGCGAGAGCCCTCTGTGCGGGTGGCTGTGGAGGGTGTTGGGAGGGCCATGGAAGCTGTTGGGCAGGGTGTGCAAACGAGTACGAAGTACGACACATAAAGGCTGTAAGGGCAACGGGATGTTCAGGGGTCTCAATCCTGTAACCCAGGAGCATGCCACACCCTTCTAAGTAGCTCCTCAAAGGACTTACCACTCACATTGTCATTCCCAGCACAACCAATACATACTAACTAAAAGTACTGTTGATAGTGACAGTAATAAACAGTAAAAATGAGCCACCACTTTTGTCTTTTGAATCTGAAAAAACGGATTCGCCCATGCGTTAGCCCCATTCATTTAACAAGTGCATTCAAAAGTTCACAGCGGCTAAACTAGACTGGTCAAAAAAAACGTCCCTCGATCAGCACTGACACACATCCAGAACTTAACTTGGGCCAAGAGCAAACTTTTGGACCATCCTTTTAAGATCTTTGAGAGGAAAGAAGGTAGCATATAAAAGCATTAGGTAATTCTCTTTCCAAGTCCACCCCCACCGACTAGGAGTGAGATTGCAGGTGTAGCCCATCTAAAAATGTCTCCAATTTAGTATTTGTAATAATTCCAAATTCATTAATTTATGCAATTGCAATAAGTAATTTTAGTAGTTAATTGACTGTTAAGTTATTTAAATATGTGGTACTTATTTGCACTAGTGGTCTTATCAATTTTACGTAAATATGAATGGGGGGCTAGATTACAAATGTAGGTCAACCACGCCCACCTGCAGCTATCGAGTGTTGACAGGTGCGTTTATGTTGTTGTGAGCCGGCGTGCCTCAAATGTGATTCTGAACCGTGGACAATAAACGTTGCAAACAAACTATTTTGTATTGATTTGGTCATTTAAGAGTGCTACACAAGCACATCAGCGCTCATGCTCATGGACCTTGAGCTGGGACCCACCACACACACCACACCTAGACCAGATCTCACCCTTATATCCACTCCTTCCCCTTCCGGAGTAGCTCTCTGCCATTTTAGTCCTGTGACAGAAGCTCTCCAGTTAAAAAGGTTAGAGACCCCTGATCTATTTAATAATTTATATTTCAAATGCTGGGCGATCAAAATAATAGTTTGTTACAGCCGGACTCACAGCTCCAGGGACAGAAAGATCGGAAAACACACACACACACACACACACGCAACCCAGAGGACTCCAGTGGACAAAAGTGTTTTTAATCAGTACAAATATTCACCTTCACATTTAGAAAAGACCTGAAAACTTTAAATGAACTTCACACTTGTACAAAAATAGATTCTCCTTTTAGAACAGTCCAAGGGTTTGTCGCAGAAGACTCATGCGAAACGGAGAGAATAGCCCCCAGTTTGGAACGTGTGGAGGGGAGTGGGACGGGGCTGCACGGCTTTGGCACGGGATCAGGACCGGACCGGACCTGGTTTGGATCAGGATCAAGACCTGACGCAGGACCCAGACCCACTGCTAAAGGAGACCTTTGTTCCTCATTAGACATGCAGTGGTTTTAGCTACATCCACACCAACATCAGGAGCTATCCCCCAGCCCTTCTGTGGAAATCCTCCTTTTTTTCAAACTATGACATCATGGACAGAACTCTTTCCTGCCTTTTAAAACAAAAAAATGTCCTCCAAATATAATATGAGTTCTATTTTCTATAGATTCCAAATTCTAAAACATGAAATGCCAAAGTAGATCCTGGTCTAGTTCTAATATACTTTGAAATAGATCAGTGACATAACGAAGCCCTTGAAAAACATGCACATTGAACTTTGGAAGATCTGAGATGAAAAGTTGAGAATAATAAATTAACTAAGTGTGAGCTGAATGGCTGGCAAAGGTCCAATCTTCTCTCAGTGCTAGTTAGTTAGTTTATGTCAATGAAATCCGATAGACTGCCTGCACTGAGTTAGATTCGTGAGGAAAGAAAAAAAGATCGAAAATTCCAGTAAAAAAAATATTTCGCCGTTTGATACAAAGTTGTGCAATTTTCTTTAACTTTCACAAACCTCTTTCCTGACTAGTGCATCATATAATTGAGTAAAAATAATATATAATTTAAAACAATGTAGTTTTCCACTCTCATTTTCTATTTTCCTCTACTGTCACAGAAGACAATACGTGCTTCTGTTGGCTTGAGTGCACATTCCCAGCTTGGACAAGATTCTATACGTTATACCATGAGGTTTCCCTTAAAGAAATAGGCCACTGTTTTTACATACTGACATATGTTCTTACCTTACCTTAGACTTACCTCACACAGCGCCGCAAATGGCGAAGTGGCATGCTCTCTGCCAAAACAATTTCCAAGTGGTAACTTTTGTTACTTACGTGGCAATAAAAATGATTCTGATTCTGACTCTGACTAGTTGATATGTACCTGTCTGGTCTTTGTCCGTGCGCTCTGTCATGCAAACGGAGCACAAACGCAGCCTCTTCCACAGACTGTATAGTACCAAATCAGCTCCCCTTTAGAAGCTACCAAACTCTTCCACGTGTTCCCTATTTAAATACAGTTACGTGACGTGTTACTCTACAAAGTACAGTAACACAGAAATTTAACATGTCGATTTTCTCAGCGGATAAAAAGGGGTACTATATTGTGAGGAGTAAAAATACGAGGAGCACTACGTCCGCGCACTAACTCCTAAAGATGTACTACAAGTCACGCTGCTTCTATTGACGGAAGTGAGCGGGAGAGAAGTCTTTAGGAGTTAGTGCGCGGACGTAGTGCTCCTCGTATAATTACGCCTCACAATATAGTACCCCTTTTTATCCGCTGAGAAAATCGACATGTTACATTTCTGTGTTACTATACTTTCTAGTGTAACACGTCACGTAACTGTATTTAAATAGGGAACACGTGGAAGAGTTTGGTAGCTTCTAAAGGGGAGCTGATTTGGTACTATACAGTCTGTGGAAGAGGCTGCGTTTGTGCTCCGTTTGCATGACAAAGCGCACGGACAAAGACCAGACAGGTACATATCAACTAGTCTAAGGTAAGGTAAGAACATATGTCAGTATGTAAAAACGGTGGCCTATTCCTTTAACTTGAATATGTCCCCTACTAAACTAATAATTCATCAATGCATTTTCATCAGCCAGTAGAGAAAACACACATATTCCACATTAATTTCTTTCTTTCTATCCCTCTCTCTCGCTCTGTGCCGCCTTCAATAAATAGAGCAGTCCAAACTGAAATAAAACCTATCAAAAGTCAAAGCTTTCCCAGGGCCTGGAGTTCGTTGGAACGTTTTCCATGACTGTGTGAACTCCTCTTCAGCCTGTACCGTGACTGGACCCAGTGGACGGGACAGGCCTGCTGGTGCGATCGGTGCTGACCCGAGCCTGACCAGAGTGTGCATGCAGCAGAGAGCCTGCTCCAGCCTCAGTGTTCAGTCTGTGCTGCTGCCTGCTGAGGCGGCTGGGCTCTGGGGGCTCCTGGAGGTTCCCTGCTCTGGGGAGTGCAGAGAGTCCACAGACCGCAAGACAAACCGCAGCAGGTTGGGCAGAGTCAGGGGCTGCTCCACGGGGAACTTGACGCTCTGGTGTTTCCTGAAAGAGACATCAGCGGAACACTGTATGACCTTCAAACAAAAGTTGAAACACCCACACCCAGGCAGTCATTGTTTTGAGCGTTTTCTAAGATTAGACAGAGGACTGAGGCACTCAAAAGATGAAAAATCTTTAAAAGCCTTTATTACACATGGCAAAAGAGGTTAAAATTAAGCCTACGTGTTTCAGCCTTCTGGTTCTATTCAGGGCATACTGAAGGCTGAATTCTCCCATGTCCGCAGCGCACACACAGACACACACACACGTTACCCTGCTGCACTTTGCATCAGAGCAATGTGGACAAGTGTGAGATGCCTTTCCCTAAACAACGAGATCCGTACTCGAGTTGTTAGCGCTACAGTAGCAGAGTGTAAACAGGAAGGGAAACGGAAACTTAACTCAGACAACGAGTTGAAGTTAGTATTAGCGCCACCAGCTGGACTGAGCGTTGTACTACAGCACGGTTGCAAGTAGAAGCTCTTGTGACCGCGGGCCGTGCTTCACACCCCTGTAGCGACGATTCGGGCCACTTGGCCTAGTTAGTTTGTAAAACCTATGTGACCGTGCCCTTAAATGTCACTCAATGTTAGCGGTTGTGTGTAGCTTTCTTTGGTGATGGGCAAATGAAATGGGGGCAAATTGCTTCAAAGAGATTTGTTGAAGTATTGGCCTCTGCTGCTTCGCTTTGGTTCAAGCTTTTCAGAGCAATCATCTCTCTAAGACACTCCCTCCCTCTGCTGTGATTTGAGGGCAAAGAGCCCAGTTGTTTAAAGAAGCAACTATTGTCATGTCCACACGTAGCCGGGTATTTTTAAAACCAAATATTTCCCCCCCCGTTTATAAAATAATTTGCATCCACACATAACCGAACATTTGCGTTTTCAATCACATTCTTAACATTCCATACATGTGCGTCTCTGACGTCCTGCGTTGGGGGAAAACACAGAAGTGGGCGGAGCTTTGATGCTGACGCCGGTACTTCTGTAGCAGCACTTTTACAGTCACAAAAGAAACTCAAGATGTAGACTTATGTTTACAAGCACTGACCCTCGTCCTCAGTCCTGGTTTAGTCCTGGTTTAGTCCTGGTTTAGTCCTGGTTTAGTCCTGGTTTAGTCCTGGTTTAGTCCTGGTTTAGTCCTGGTTTAGTCCTGGTTTAGTCCTGGTTTAGTCCTGGTTTAGTCCTGGTTTAGTCCTGGTTTAGTCCTGGTTTAGTGCTGCTCTCTGACGTGGAGAACCGCTACGTTTTGTTTGTTGTTGTTTTGGAGCATACTGTCCATCCATCCATCCATTTTCTACCCTTTAATCCATTTCTGGGTCAGGGGGGTGGCAATCAGAGATGCCACCCAAGTCTCATAGCACCAGCCCCTCACTGACCCTCTGCAGGTGGTGAGTCCACAGGAGGACGGCTGCTCTCTGACTGTGAGCATAGCCTTGATCTTTCAGTGGGGGCTTTGGGCAAAGTTGGGTTAAGTGTCTTGCCCAAGGACACAACGACAGCAGTCATCAGTGAGAGTCGGTGGAGAAGGTGTAGAGGTGGGAAATGAACCCACGACCTTCAGGCCTGAAGGCCAATGCTCTACCAACTGAGCTACTGTCGCCCCAATAGCATACTGTGACGTGTGAAAACGCAAAACTCTGGTTATCTCTGTCTATACGCAAATGCATACATACGCAAATGCAACAGAGTTTTCAAAAATCTCCAGTTTTTATATATCATATAGATATTCGTTTATGATGCGTTGTCATGTGGATGACAGGTGCAAACGAAGCAAAATTTCTGCGGTTTAGCAGATACCCAGCTACGTGTGGACGGGGTCTATGATTACATTTGTCCACCAGATGTCTGTGTCAGTCTGATACAGTTTTGAATCTGATAGAATCTCTTTCGTGAAGCATTGGGGCTTTTCATGCCAATCACCCCATCACAACATATCTTCTGATTATGATTAGAAGTCTCCATTCCCCAGTTCTCAATAGAGTGTATTTTCTCTGACAGCTTGGAGTCTTTTGTGGTAGTTGAATGAGGTTATTATTTCTCCCTCTTTTCAAATCAGTGTGCCTATACTCTCAATGAGATTCCCCCGTACAGTAGGTGGGTGATAATGAGTACATTTATTACCTTGGGTTTGATAAGTCAAGAAAAAAGATGGGCAGGAAGTAGAGGAGGAGGAGAAGTGGGACAAGGTCAGAAACGTGTGGAAGAAATGATTATCACAACAAAATCATAAGCCGTAGTCTGACCTGTATCTGGGGAACAGCAGGACGGTGGGCACTCGGTCCACCATGAACTCCCAGGGGAGGTCATTCAGGGCCACGTTCACCCTGCGGACACACACGTGTTACATACATATGGCGTCACAAGCAACAGTGAGTACGTATAACGCACTAGTGAAACCGGATATTTTTCTAAGCCCAATTTAATACTCAAGAGAAGAGGACTCATGTAAACCAGAGTGCTGTGATTGAGGTGTGAAAAAACAACCAGTTTGGCGTAACTGGGCGGAACAATTTTTTAACCTTGTTCATGATGCATGTAAAGTAGATGATTTTAGCGAGACAAAGCCAGCAGGCGCATTTAAGAGCACAGGGAAAATCCACATTAGGATATGCATGCATTCGGGCGCTTATAGGGGTCCGTCATTGCTTGCTGTCGATCAAATGCATGTTTGTGGCTGGTCAAAAAGGGGGATTCATGCAGGCAATTGTAGAAATTCAGTTTTCTGTCATGCACCCTGCAATCACAATAAACTATATTGTTTAAGTTTTTACTGTTTCGTTGTTCATGTTCATATCTCAATAGCGATCCATTAACTATGATTCACCATTCGTGCCTTACCACCCAGTAAAATAGTGGTAAGAGTGTGGGCACTGTGCAGTACCGTACCTGGCCACAGTGATGGTGGTGTTCCCCTGCAGCAGTCGGGCTAGCTGAACGAAGATGTGGTGAAGCACGGAACAGAAGCCACACCACTGAGTGTAGTAGAGCAGCAGCACGTCCTGGGAAAAGTTTTATTTCTGTAATTTCTTTCTGTTATGTCATGGTATGCGAAGTAACAGGTCAAACCATTCTTAATTTTGAAGTGTGATTATTAAAGTGATAGCCTGGAACTCTAATTGTATTAAATTGACCTCCTGGCCTTAAATTTTAAATAATAATAATAATATTACGGATAAGTCCCGCCTTCCCTCATCTTAGCCATAGCTCAAAATGTACGATGCCGTCCACTTAAACCAATCAAGTGATGCCAAGTCCTGTCAATCATCACCCCCATGGTCGTATATTAAAAAATGCAAGTAAGAAATCTTTATTTATATACCGCCTTTCACAGACCAGAGTCACAAAGCGGTTTACAATTGTTATTTATGGGCATTTGTCTCTCACTCCACACAGAGATGGGAGCAGGGTCGCCAGTACAGGAGGCGCATGCCAGACCTATTGTACATGTTTATAGTAGTAGAGGAAACCTACGCAGACACTGGGAGAACACTAATCAGAAAGGCCCTGTTCCAACCGGGATTCGAACCCAGGACCTTCTTGCTGAGAAGCAAGAGTGCTATCCACTCAGCCACCGTGCCGCCCGACAAACAAAGAATTGGTCTTGGCCCATTGACCTAGCGCGTGCATGCATCCTTTCAAAACCAATCAGAAAGGAAGGGGGAGGGAGCTTGGGTCGTTATTTTTATTTTTTCAAATTATGTACCCCTCTCTTTTTTCTGACATAGTCCAGTCTATCACTTTAAGGCTTACAACTTGAAAAAAACAAAACAAATTCAAAATCTCACTTCATTAATATGTTTTTATGTAATAATCTCAACAGAGAAAACAAGATACTGAACAAGGCTGTGACAATTCAAAGTCTCAGGCGCCCTCTGCAGGCCGTTGGATCAAGCATCAGCTCATCAGTGGCACTCTCACAATATTCTTGGGAGATTTTGAATTTGGGTTTTTAAACTGTAAGCCATAATAATAAAAACAATTCAAACAAAGAGACTCTTGTCTCAGTATACATGCAGACTCAGACCACTCTTGTCTCAGTATACATGCAGACTCAGACCACTCTTGTCTCAGTATAGGTACCTGTTGGACATTAAGAACAGTGCGTCTGAAGGAGGCACAGGTCACATCGGTGATCAGGGTTGCAGAGGACCCGCTCTCCTGCTGTCCTGTTAAATGCCTGCGCAGGGGGCTGTATGGGGTGCTGAAGTTCATGATGAAGCTCTCTGCATTAGAACACACAACATGTGAGGAGCCCTCCAATCATCAATGACCTGATTCAATCTTCTTTTATATAAATATACAAGATGTAATTTTAAGAAGGAGATCTGAAAGTGTATGCTATGGAGTTGGGCTCTTCAAGCCTGTGTCACAGGTCATTCTCAGGACTAAAGTGTGGGTGTTGCCACCATAATACCTGCAGATGACTTGAATCATTCAGTATTGATACCCGTTGACTGTAAATTTCTCCTACTTGTGAGATAAAAAGAATATCTTATTGATACTTGATCAGATCACTATGCGAAATATATACAGTATGATGCTAAACCAGGACACCTACATAGTACAACTTTATTACCATAAATATATTAATGGCACTGAATATTTCTCTTATGGAAATTAGCTTTTATTATATATTGTAATAGAAGAGATAGCTAAATGGTAAGGCTATTATTTTTAATCCATTTTGTCGCATAGAAAGAGCTCAAGTAGCAAGTGCGCTACTTGGGTGCCTAATGAGCTAAAACAGGGGTGTCAAACTGGTTCCAGAAAGGGCCAATCTGGCTGCGGGTTTCAGCTCAAGTGAGTCCAGTTTTCACCTGAAGATTTGAGGAAATGGGTGGCGTCTGATGTGCTTCTGCTTGGGTTGGAATTTAAACTTTTAGCCACACTGGCCCTTTGAGAATCGGTTTGACACCCCTGGGCTAAACATGTAGTATATGTCATAGACTAGTAGAAACAGTAGTTCTTGCGTACCCAGGTCCTGTGTGAGGGTTGTGAAGCTGCTGGGCTGTAGAACATAGTGCTGCTCGTCCTTCAGGTCCACGATGGAAGCAAACGCAGGGGCCCCGGTGTGCTGAAGGGCCGTGTTGTGGTTGTGCGTTGCCCCCAGCCTCAGTGCCAGGGGCCAGTTGAGCTTGGCGTCAAGGAGGTAGAAGCGTAGGGTCCTGTTGGCAAGGCAGCGCAGTCCGGTGATACCCGCGTCACCCTGTCACACAACACGGTTATACTTTCACCCGTAACTGTAGCCTAATAAGAAATACACCAGGACATACCGCTGTGGAAGCGGGGCCTGGGTTGGCAGGGGCTCTGAGTGGTATGGTGTGGCAGCAAGCGGTGTAGTGATGATGGTAGGCGCTCAGGACACAGCTGCAGGAGACACAGGGGTAGAGGGGGACAGGAGGGACAGGACAGCCTGACGCCCCCACTGGCTCTCGACACAGCTCGCACACGGCGCTGAAGCGGGGCACAGGCAGAGAGTGGCAGCAGGGGGCGCGCGCACATGAGTGGTAGCGCACTGCCAGGGATTCTACCTGAGGAACGCACAAGAGCAGACTGTTGTTAAAAATCAAGACTCCTATTTAGTTACAAACACTCATGTACTTCCTTATTCAAAGATATGCGTGTCACGTTGCAATAAAATACATTTGCATTTCCAACCCCCACAGGGGCAGATTGATAATCAACGCTAAACATGATGATGATGATGATAACAATATATCAGTATCAGATTTATATTTTCAGACAAACAAAAACATTAGAAGTCTTGTTGTTAGTGCGTATGGATGTTTGAGGGAATGCAGTTTTTGTGTGTGTGTGTATGTGTTCGTTGTAATTTTTGTTATTAACCGTTTTTTTGGTGTATGTTCTGTATAAGTTGTATATGTTTTTTGTAATAAAAAAAACGTCTCTTGAACGGCCTGTGCAAATGTATCCATCCTGTGCTTCACAGTGGGTATGGTGTTCTTGGGATGCAGCTCAGTATTCTTCCTCTTCAAAATGACAGTTCTTACCCGAAAACTTCTATTTGTTCTCATCTAACATTTGATATTCGACTAGGGCTCCAAGGGAATTGCACAGCGAGCACACTGTGAAGCTTGGGGTGGAAACATGTTTTGGTGCTGCCGATTTGCCAAAGGACTAGAACGACAGATCTGTATTAAGAAAAGGATGAATGAGGCCATGCATCATCAGATTTTGGACAAATATCAGTGACAGCGTTGAAGATTAAACTGATGGAAGGTGGATGGTTGTGTTCTCAGCAGAGTATCACCTCAATGCTAAACATAGAGGCGCTAACATGGAAGTTAGAACAAATACAAAGACCAGGCCCCACTCCAGAGGTTAAGGATCAGGGGAATTAAGTACACTTCTGAAAAAAAAAAAAAAAAAAACAACGGCCTGGCTGGCTCGCTGGATTGGAGACCACTTTGAGTAGTAGAAAATATAAGACCCTAAAAGTACAATTTTGGAATATGCTATAACTACAAAAGTTGCACTGGTCTGTTGGATTTTGTTGGACAAAAAGAAAACACATGTTGTTGCTTAAAGTGATAGTCTGTAACTCTAAAATAATAAAAAAAAATAGGAAATGCGTTAAATAGACCTCCTGGTCTTAAATGTTGATACAAAATAAGTCATTTTATTAATTCTAATATTACGGGCAAGTCCCGCCTTCCCTTCTCTTAGCTATCGCTCAGAATCCACGGTGCCGTTGAGGTTAACCAATCGAGTGATGCCAAGGGCTGTCAATCATTGGCGCTGATGCTCGTAGGTGCTCATGCTCAGTTGTTTGTTTTCGCGGAGCCTCCGAATCAAGCCTCTATTAGGCTCTGGAACTACATGAAAACTGAACAAAGAATTCTGAACATCTGCGCTGAGTTACCCATTTATATCCTGAACCTAAATCCATAATCATTTATATACTGAACCTATATCTATAATCATTTCTAAATCATGTGCAATGTGCAACACTGCAACTTCAGGATGTCACAGAACAATGTCACTTTACCTCATGTCACTTTACTTATATACTTTTTCATCCTGCACTATTTAACTGTACAGTATATAACTGCACTACCACATATATATTTCTTAACTAGCTGTAGATGCTGAAAAAGCTTCAATACCAGTCATGTTAGTTAAGAAACATAGCTACTAATTTGTATATATTGTATATATTGTGTGTGCTCCCTGTGTGCTCTTACTACTGTCCTAAATGTGCGATGCAACATCAAAATTTCCCCACTGTGGGACGAATAAAGGAATTCTTATCTCATCTTATATACTGAACCTATATCCATAATCAGATCCTCTGCAGATGTGTCCTATAATGTTCACTCAACGTTAATAGCTACTTCCGGGTTTGCCGCGATCGCTTTTTTTGTGCATTAAAACATTATTTTTTTCATTAAAACGTTAAGAAATAATTCTGAAAACCTCCGTGCATGTGTATGGAGGACCGTGGCTGCCAAAACAATAAATATATACAGAAAATAAAATAAATTTTAAAAAGATAACATTTGCAAAGAAATGCATGCAATTATGAGAATAAGTGCATTTATTTCTGTATTTATAAATTTATTTATTTCTGTATTTATTTTTATATTTATTTATTTATTTCTCTATGTATTTATTTATTTTTCTATTCATTTATTTATTTCTCTATTTCTGTATTTATTTCTCTATTTATTTCTGTATTTATTTCCGTATTTCTCTTAATGATATGCAAGTCATGGGGTGGGCCGGGATGCCTCTGCTGTAAGCTCATTGGTTAATCTTTTTCCTTGCTCCACAGCTTTTCCAGCATAGGCGGTCATGTTGAGATCACTGTGTTCTTTTCAGACTATTAACATGAAAAGAAGTAAGAGAACAGGTCAAATTCCAAAAATATTAGGGCGCTTTGGGGTGCTCACAAATACCACTGCTCTACAATCAGTGGTGTAGCCTACGCGATACGCAGGTATACGCCGTATAACCACGAGAAGCCACTACAAATTGGGCAAAGATAGGCTACGTATCACTCATTTGCGCAGTGTTACTTTTGCACTTTCTGCCCGATTAAAGACCAGCGCAAACTCCACAACAAGTAACTATTTCCTCCCATGACACCGAGAGAGGGGACCAGTGGCATTTCATCCCTCTCTCTCTTTCTCAGGCACAGTTCCCTCTAACTGCGCTCGTGCGCAATTGCGCACGGCTCCCGTGTTGTCTGGGCACAAAATAAAACATAGCTGATATGATAGAGGAGTATTAACGATCATCCTCCGCTCTGAGAGTCCACGATGTCGGCCTCTTTATGCTCATTTCCCTGTCCGGCTCGTGAGAGGCTTTTGGCAAAGGCAGTGACAGGTGCTCGTGTGTATTTTACTACAAAGCGCTGAAGTCCGCCGAAAAACCCCGCGTTCGAAGTGTGTGTTTTACACTCAGACACTGGAGCTTTCAGTGAAGGCTGAGAGAGACTGAAAAGTGGACGCGGCCACAGCACTGACCGAGCCATATTCATGGTACAAAGGGTGGCGCGAGTGTGGAGGGGAGTGTGGTGATCTCAACATGACCGCCTATGCTGGACAAGCTATGGAGCAAGGAAAAAGATTAACCAATGAGCTTTCAGCAGAGGCATCCCAGCCCACCCCATGACTTGCATATCATAAAGAGAAATACGGAAATAAATACGGAAATAAATACAGAAATAAAAAAATAAATGCAAAAATAAATAAAGATAAATAAATAAATGAATAGAAAAATAAATAAAATACAGAAAGAGAAATAAATGTATAAATGCAGAAATAAATGTATGAATAAATACAAAAATAAATATATAAATAAATAAATAAATATATAAATAAATAAATACAGAAATAAATGCACCTATTCTCATAATTGCATGCATTTCTTTGCAAATTGTATCTTTTTTAAATGTATTTATTTTTTATTTATTTATTTCTGTATACATTTATTGTTTTGGCAGCCACAGTCCGCCATACATGTGTATTAATAATGTATATGTATATGCCTTGCCTTGCCTAGGTGTAGACCAATCAGCCGGAAAGGGGAGGGAGCTTGTGTCGTTTTTTTCAAATCAAGTACCTCTCTGTCTCTTTGACAAACTCCAGACAATCACTTTAAGCTTATGTAACCAGTCATGGTATACTAAAAAAAATACGTGATAACAAGAAATAGATTATCTTTAAACCCCCTATTTTTGACAAGTTAATCTTTTCCCCAATGGTGAAAAGCCAACACACCTATTTTTGACATGCCATTTTAAAACATGTGTAGGAAAGCCTTTATCACTGACCTGTAGCTGCAGGGCACTGGGCTCTGCCTCTAGGGGGTCATGAGGCAGGAACAGCAGCAGGGCGGGTCCCTTACGGAGCTCCACCTCTAGGAGGCGGGACTTGGTGCCAGGTGGCTGCAGCCATTGGACAACAGTGTGGTAGTGCTGATATACCCAAGCGCAGATCGCATGTGAGGTGAAGTTGAGCTCAGCACGAGGAAACACCTGCACCACACACACCCAAGCGCAAACACACGCAAACAGCCAAACGCAAACACACACAGACACAAAATACCAAAATTATTCAAGTCGCACTGTGTGGTCTAAAGCAGCGTTTCCCAACTCCTCCGTGATGAGATAACCTACAGCTGTGTGCATAGATGCAGACGCAGTCATAGTTCTGTTGCATGTGCCAGGCAATTTTTTTATTTTCATTTTAGTTTATTTCAAAGGGGACAATGCAATTTAATAAAACACATGATTCAACATTAGTTTAAAAAGCTAGAATTAGCCAAGGAGGCTATTTTTCATCTGTAGTCCCCTGGCCGTGATGTTAAAAACATGATGATGCACACATGATGCATGATTCGAACTTGGAAAAAAGTTGTCAGGCTCAGGTTCGGACTGAGCCCGACCTACACTTGCCGTGCAGGCCTATGAACGTTCATGCACGCCACACTCAACCGTGGATGGGAAACAAACAGAAGTAGATGCATGTTATGTACTCTGGTAAGACCCCTTGTCATGCCAGTTCAGACATCTTGACGAGTAAGCAGGGCTCACCAGGGACGTGTTAAAGCTCCGGTGCAAGTAGACGGCGCCTTCCTGTGGCAATGGGAGCTCCTGTGCCACTTGTCTGCTGGTCACCACACCAAAACGCACTGCACCCCTGAAATCTGACAACAGGTACAATCGTGAGGCACTCCTTCGTACATGGATCATGACCTCATCACCCAGGGTGAGGTCCATGGAATATTCAAAACACATGTAAACAGAAGCAAAAAGAGTTTAACACATGTTTGTTTCATGTGTGCTCAGAGAGGACAAGCAGAGACATTTGCAGACTCCCTCACAAGACGATCCACAATATAAGGCTCACAATACAGCATTATTACAATTGATAAATTAATCCGGCTCTGACTCAGGGCTGTTTTGGACTGGGTGTGGTCTTTGTCCAGGTCTAGACTGGGCCCAGGTCCAGTCAGGGTCTGGTTTTGTTCTTGTTCTGAGTCTTTGTCTAGTTACTGTCCATGTCTTAGTCCGCATTTGAGTCCCAGTCTACAACTGTAGATTGAGCCAGTCTGAATTTAACTGGAATTTTCTCCACATTGTCTGTGTCCTGGCCCCTAAACTCACCCCTATGGAGGGCCTGCAGCGCAGACCACACATAGGTCAGGAACCCTGGGGGCTGGGGGGACGTGTTGAATTGGAAGAAGCCCACCACTCGAGGCTGAGGACACATGCAGGTGAGCTCTAACAGGCAAAACCATTGTTATTGTTCATTGTGTCTGATATCTAGGACCAATGCTGAGATTACGATGACATATTCAATGTCCTATATGATTTAACCAAATCATTTTGTTTGGGTAAAAGTACAACAAAAGGTGTACATATGAAGCCATTACGTCCAACACAGAATTTTTTGCACGGAGTTCTAATCTATAGTACCAGCATTTGTTAGAGAAAATGTGAAATACAAATGAAGTAGTTTTTATCTTTTCTCTTAAGTTATAACAGTCAGACCAAAGTTATGCAACACATTTTGACAGTTTAGATAAATGATGAAAAAGAAGAGGCGTCTCATTAGGAATCTCAAAAATTCAAGTGCTGTTGTGCTTTTCTTTAGTCCCTTAGTTGTTTGCAAAGAAGTTTAATAAATGCAGTCTTTGCCATTTGGTAATCGCGACCATGAACATTTCTATTTTGATTTAATTGCAATGAATGGTGACAACATTTATGGTGATGTATTCCTAAATTCATGAACATTCATCTTGTACTGTAGACTTGTTTCAGTCTGCAGTGTCGTACCTCATGGTGAGACAGGAAGTCTCGGAGAGCGGCCACAGAGGGCAGATAAGTGAAGGGCCTCAGCACCTTGAGGATGAAGCTCTCCACATATGGGGCCTCCAAGGGCCCCTTGTACTCGATTGGACCAAACCTGGAACAAAACATCAATACGCTTAAAGTTCCCAAATAACGCTTTAAACATTACAGTTTTATATGGCCTTCATACACATGCCTAGTTTTTTCATAGATTCCTTCAAACTTCCGTTAGAGAGAAATCTTTCTTTCATTTTTGAGGGTCCACATCTATGACAAACAACATCGATTGCGCGGATGACGCACAATCAATATTAAAATTGTTATAAAATAATGTCAAAACAGGGAAAACGATATATAATAAATATGGTGTTTTTTTGCCCAAAATAATAATAATAATAAAAATACCAAGTTGATTGACAAATCTAAACAGCAAATCAGCGCTCACAGTCTCTGCTGAGTCCAGCGCTTTGCCCCGCGTCTGCCACATGGAGCTATACCGCTTTTCTGCTATTGTCAGCGACTAAAAGAGTTGGGATCATGTAAACTTGGAGACATTTTTTTTTGGTGTAAATATGTGACGCTATTAGGTCAGAAGTCGCAGAATGTGCCAAATGAGGCTGGACTTTTTTTCCTTGAGGGATCTGCCTCTAAGCAATAAATATCTATAATAATATATAGCTTTATAAGTTGAGTGTTTTATTGCATTTCCTGTGTTCAAGCCGTTTGATTCTCTGATCTGTGTCAGCAAAACAGCAAGTCTTTAAAGACCTCTAAGATAACTACAGTCGTAATTTCGGGATATTCAAAAATAAATGGAATTTAATTAGAAAAACCATATATCTGATTGAGCAAAAAGGGAGTGGGATCTCGTTACAAATATGCCGCACCATGCGAGATTCAGATCAATATCTCACCTCCTGTAGAAGAGCTGCAAGCTGGGGTAATGATACAGCCTCCTCTGCTTCCGGCAACGGCCCTGGCTCCACCAGCAGTTCACAGCCACAAACTGCACCTGCGGTGGACAGGGATGAGAAAGAAGGGCATCAAAGAGGAGGGGTTAGGAGGTGGGGTCAGAGTGGAAAGGGTCAAGAGGAGGAGGTGAAGGAGAAAGGGCTATGTTTACTCACAAGTCGCTGCGCTTGTGGTGGCCCTTGTGACGTCACCTGACATGACCAACGCAAGACCGCAAGGACCCCTTGCGCTACCACCGGGGAACCCTTCATGTGGTTGTGGTGTGGGATAACAGTATACACAGGCCTTGACGTCAGCGGTTACTACACCCAAGCTATTTACCAGGGGTGTAAAACCCTAGTGTGTAGTGTGGGTGGCCGGTGTGGCTGCAGGTTTTAGTTTATACTTGAGTAGGAGCACACCTGACTCCCTTTGAGGACCGGTTTGTCCACCCCTGGTATAGACTATGCTAAACGTTCAAACTCAGGCCTTCTTCAGACCCAAAGCACTGGAACCAGTGAGACCAGTCTCTCACACCAACTTGTGAGCACTTTGTGGCAATTAGGGCATCTAATGTCAAAAACATGGCCAGGGCCTCTGTCATCTTCATTTAATGTGTCGTTTAAGCTCTTTTCAAATCAGCGACTGTATCTTGTGTCAGATACTTGAGCCTAGTGTATACTATATAAGGTCTTATATATTTAGCTTTTCCTCATTTTTCACTGTCCATCCTAAGCATATTTGTGAAAATAATTTGGGTGATACACCATACAACACTCAAAACTTGTCAGCAGCCATTTCGTGCATAGAGTTGATGTCACCTCATGTGAAACGCTTGGATCGGTGATATCTTGCCCATCTCCCCCCACCCGCTCAGTGACATAGCCTCATGCTAAGTCCAAGGTAAACAAGTGCAGTTTGTCTAGTTTAGTCTAGTTTCAAGGTAGTTCTGTCACAGTCTAGGCAGAGTGTCACACACAGAAAAACAACGCGGATTTCAGAGACCAATCCCCATAAAATAAATTCAGGCCTCATTCTTCGGGCCAATATATTCTTTAGGCCAAATGCTATAGTCACCTATTTACATCCTTAAAACACATTTTCTTCAAGTTGACATGATGCCAACTCAAAAAGCACAGTCTATGGGTGGTAGACCATACTAATATATACGGTCATGGACCAGACGCTGAACTACGTGCGCTGATCATAGACTGCGTTGATTGGCTGGTTCAGTTTCTCCAAGCTGTCAATCACCTCCTGGAGGCGGGCTTTTGAAGACACGATTTGTTCCACGTAACTATTTGAATCGAGCCGTTTTTTTGTGCATTTCAAGAATGAAAAAGAAAGATTGCTCTGTAACTAATGCTTGAGGGAATCAATGAAAAAACTACTCTGGGCATGTGTATGAAGACCAAATAGCACTGTAATCATGTTTAAAGCAGAGAAAAGTCAGAAAGCGTAATATGGGACCTTTATGTTAAATAACATAAGGCTTTTAGATTGTTATCTTGAAATCATCCAAGTGTGCTTGTCTGAAAATAGAAGAATATAATTTCTAAAAAATATTTGAGTAAGTACATTAGTATCAAATTAGCATTTGCCTTATACACAGTCCTTACATTCTGTCCCCATTTTCAGACTGAATCAAACATGTAGCCGTTTAAACACACATGAGATCAACGCACTGCATCATCCTTGTGTAAAAGCGGTACCTGTTTGGAAAGCTTGTGGGCCACGAGCTGCAGCTCCTGACGTGCTGCCATGGAGTGTGCGCACCACGGAGCGTAGAGGAAGAGAAGCGACACCTCAGCCACGCTCCTCAGACGCTCCACCTGCTCAACACACTCACAGTCAGCTTACACAAAACATGCAGTCAGCTCTATGCATATTGATCTGGGATCTCTAGGTCCGCCACAATACCATATGATTGGTCCGAAACTTTACAAGTATATATGATATTCATATTCCTTAGTTTATGGAGACCTTTTGTGCATGTTGCCTTCGGGGGCTGCACGATATACATCAGACAAATATTGTCATCCTTAATATCGTCAGCGCAATATCCATATCGAAAAGATGTCCGAAAAAGTGTATACATTTATGTCTGCATTTCTTGTACGCACACTGTGACTAATCTGCGACCTAGTGGCACCACACGCTAGATGAAGAGACAATTGCAGACTAATGCAGAGGGGAATATGTTCCCAAAAGACCTCTTTACCTTTACGAGTATATAAAAAACCTCCGGGCAAAGTGGAAATTTTTGAAAACTCCGTTTATGCATTTGCGTGTAGACAGAGATAACCGGAGTTTTGCGTTTTCGCACGTCACAGTATGCTCCCTAAACAACAGCAAACAAAACGTGCGACCTCTGATCATTGAAGAAGCATGGATCTTAGTGCCTTAAAATCCTCCACATCAGAGAGCAGCAAAGTGATCACAGGGACTCGTGCTCGAAAACAACCAAAACAGGAGTTAAACCAGGATTAAACCAGGGCTGAGGACGGGGCTCAGTGCTTGTAAACATATGTCTTTACCTTGAGTTTCTTCTATGACTGTAAAAGTGCCGCTATAGAAGTACCAGCGGCAGCATCAAAGCCCCACTTCTGTCTTTTTCCTCCAACGCAAGACGTCAGAGGACTGAGGACTGAACGCAGATGTTCGGTTATGTGTGGATGCAAATTGTTTTATAAACGGAGGGGGGGAAATATTTGGTTATAAAAATACCCGGCTACGTGTGGACATGGCCTCTAGAGCCTAGTTTATACTCGCGTGGCGCGGAGCTTACGGAGGTGACGTGACGTCACTTGCGCAACGCGTTGGTCACCGCAAGGCCCTTACGTCGCCTGCCCTGCAGCATCGAAATTTTCTAACTACGTAAGGGTCGCCGCAAGGAATCTCCGCTGTGATTGGTCCGTGTGTGTGTTTTGGAAGGAAGCATGAAGCGGCTGCAGCAGGAGCATGGACGAGGCACTATGGAGCAGAGAGCTTTGTGCTTCGAAGGAAAAGCAGTTTGGGCTCAGAGCCTGATATACAGGAGACTGTGGACTATCTAACATATATATAACTTATAAACTGTGCAGTCGTTTGTTTTGCACTGTTCCTGTCTTGTTTGAATCGTAGCTGCGTTTGTTGCTTTCCTCCTGCACTCGTAAATTGTTCATGTTTGTCTCAGATATTTACCACTATTATTGTTTTGCTGTTTGTGCTGAAAACTATTTAATAATAACTATGTTTCCAACAAGAACTGTGTCTTTATTCACATCATCACAGTTGAAATTACTTATAAAATAATGAATCCATAAAACTATCACATAAACCTACAGTAGAAACACGTGTAATGAGCTCAAACACCTTTGTTTGCTATTGTTGTTCTGAAGAGGACAAAGTAGCAGCGTAAATGGGACCGCTCCTGTGTGATCGCCCTCATGTGGTTTGTTGTGGGATTACAAAATTCTCCTCAAAACTCCGTAAGGGGAACGCGCCAGTATAACATAGATTGTGCTTACGTAGGTCCACCGCAACCGCTAACGTAAGCCACGCCGCGCAAGTATACACTAGGCTTTAAGACTACAAAGTGACAGGTGTGGTTACAAAATGCAAGCCACACCTGTCACTGCACTGCAGTTTCCAGTGATTTTGCCACTGCTTATCCTGATGAGCACCTGACAGTTTAGATCCACTGCAGCACTCATCTCTCTTGAGCCACAGAAACAAGTTATTTGCATGTTATTATTTGCAAGTTATAGCAAATAGTGGAGTAGGAAAGATGTGTGATACATGGCGCACAATACACAATGCCTGCCTATTGCAATCGCTTTATTCAATCAATAAAGCGGTGCCCAACAAAGACAAAACCAAACTGGAGAATTGTGTTGATGTCCCAATAATTTAAGGAAAAGAAGTGTCAACAACATTGTGTTGATTACTGCTGTCCACTCACCTGGTCAATCTGCCCCAGATACAGGTCCAGCACTGGGGCCTCTGGGGAGAAGAAACGCACAGGGGGCCTAGCCGGGGCCACTACGTTCTTAGCACGACTGCGCACACACAAGAGGGGCATCAAGACGGTATGAAGCTCATACATTCAGTGTTATAGTTTATAGTGTGAAGTGACAGTCCTCCTGCAGCTGTGTTACGATGCACTGAGGAACATTCAAGGCGGGCTCTTCCAGATTCATTTAGTGACACTTCCCCACACTATGGGGGACACTGGTCAAAGGAATAGGTTGTAATGATGTGACATCACAACAATTCAAAAGAGGCTATAGTTTTACATTGTGTTGGATGGCACCTGAAGTCTTCCTCGGAAATGGTCTAATTTCTCAGTAATTCCTACATAATATCCAAAAACATATGCATGATATTGGCCAATATAAATGACTTTCACACATAAAAATAATAATAATAATATGGCGTATTTGTGATTCTAATCACTATAAAATAATAATAATATTAATCTGGGAAAACATTAACATTCTCTCGAAATTATTTTTTTTCAATGTTTTTTCCCGTCGAACTCACCTGCCCGAAATACTGCAATAGAACTCTGCCATACTTGCAAGATAAGGTTGAACTCATATAGTAGTTTCTTGAAAAGGAATTTAAGGATTCAATGAGAGAGTGAATGGATGGTGTTGATCGGGGGCTGATGGTCCAGTGTGTTTGGCGACTCGCTTCTGTCATCACCGTGTGTGGAATGATTGGAATAATATCTGGACTCTGAACATTGTAAAGCGCTTTGGGTGACCTTGGTCTGTAAAATGCGCTATATAAATACACATTACTTACTTATTTACTTACTTTTCATCATGAACTGTTCATTAGGAGAAAAATACCTATTTTCATAAACTACATCAACAAAGTAAACAATATTTTTTTGAAACCACTCCAAACAAGCCATCTTTTTAATGATTATTCACTCATTACTCCACTTATGAAACTTCAAAAGAAAGTAGAAGCTTTACTTTTAGCTGTGTGCATGTAAGATAACCATGACGTGTCCTGCAGACTCAACACTTATCCCTATAGTCTGTCTGAGTACACTGGCGATGTGGACATTACACTATAACTAAACACTAAGGAGAATGTTTACATGGTGAACGCCTTAGGTCATGGCCTCAGTCTATGGTCCTTACCCGCATGTGAACTTGACAGCCAGGACCATCAGCACACCGAGCAGCACGGCCCCGCATAGGAGCGCTGGTCTTCGGGCCATCAGGATCAGCAGCTGCCGCCGAAGAGCCTGTCGCAGCCGGCGTAGCAGCAGCATTACCTACCGCCTCCTCCAGTTCACCGAGCACTCCATTAAAGAAGGCCAGGGGAGGGACGGTGCCAGCCCAGTGACAGATCGCTTCCAGCCCGGGTGGGACATGTGTTTGTGTGGGGGAGATCCGGGGAGATCCAGCCTTTCTTCCCCACGTCGGCTTTACACTTCCGCATTGGTGACGCGCACCCACGTAGGGAGTGTGGTGCAAGTAACATCTACATTATAAACGAAAAATTAACATAATTTGACAAGCTGCAATTGTGTTTGTAAATGCATTTGGTTGAATGGGGAAGGAGAACCATTACGTGGGATTTTGGGGTTATTTACTTCAGAAAAGTGATGTATTTTTTACTTTAGGGGCAGTATGTAAAAAAATCTGGCCAAAAGTGGTACTGCAACCTCCCCTCTCAGGTTGCCAGATGTGCAGACGAATCCAGCAGGGACCATAATATCTGAATAGACAATAGACAGTTTTGTCAACAACAAATCTACAACCAACTCATGTCATCATGTCATTTTATTCCCCTTTATTATTCCATTTCTGGGTCGGAGACCAAATAAAGGATCTCTTAAGACTTGGGTGGCAATCAGAGCTGCCACCCAAGTCTCATTGCACCAGTCCCTCGCTGATCTTCCTGCAGGTGGTGAGTCCACAGGATAATGGCTTCTCTGTCATCGACGAGATGCCCTTGGTCTTTCAGCAGGGGCTTCAGGCAATGTGGGGTTGCCCAGGGACACAACGACAGCAGACATCAATGGGAGCAGGTGACATGGGTCGTGGTCCGAAGATCGGTGCTCTACCAACTGAGCTACTGTCGCCCCTCTACAACCAACCCCTTTTTCACAAAGGCCTCGATGGAAATCCTCATTTTATTCCTTGTATTGTTATTGATGATCACATTGGCCACATGTTACTTTACCAGTGAGATAAAGTCGACTCTGAGTTCTGGCAATCCGCATTACGGACTTTCTGATTGGTGAAACGTTGGAGGGCGGGACATCGAAATGAAAAGTTACATATTGTTCACGTGTGAGTCTGTTGTGTACAAACTACACAATGTGCCACCTGTTGTGTTAACGCTGTCTTTGTGCGTGTGGTTTGCGATGTTGACATTTTGCTGCTATGACACCGGACTTTTGCATAATTATTTTTCAAAAAGATCGTTGTTGGGGTTGTTCTTTTACATAACTGTGGTCCTCCATGGTTCTTTTATATAACTGCTGTCTTCCATGGTTCCTTCTTCTTGTGAAGGCACGGTGAAGGTAACGATATCAGTAGCTCATGTGAAACAAAAACGCGATTCTTGCATTATTTGTGTCCCTTATCCACCCCTGTATTTCAAGATGGCGCATTGACATGGAGAGCACTCCTCTCTCATGGACATTTATAAGTTAAATTCTAAGCCTATGAAAACAATTTAAAAAACATGGCGGAGGTAAATATTCCTAAAAAGGTCACATTGTTTCTTTTGTAGCCCCAGTGTGTTTGGTGTCTCACTTCCGTCATCGCAGAAAATGGAGAAAAATCTGAATTCTCAACAATTATAAAGCGCTTTGGGTCACCTTGGTCTGTAAAATGAGATATTGCTTACTACTGACTTACTTTTAATGCATATTGTACATAATGTTGTGACTTTACTGTTGATAAGTTAGAAAGCCTGGTAAGTTAAATATTTAGTGACAAAACATTCAGACAGAAATTCAATGATCTACAACTTGAGTATCCAGACAAATACCCCACCGGACCTGTTATCATAATAGATCCATGAACCGGACCTGCCCGTCACAGTTTATTTGAATTGTGCATTTTTAGCACAGGATCATTCCGCCCCTTCTCAAAGAAACATAGGCGGGCCGCCGCATGTACTCTGAGGGTGAATGAGATTAAGAGAGATTAAGAGATCCTTTATTTGTCCCGCAGTGAGGACATTTCAGTGTTGCATCACAGATTATAGAACAATAGGAATGAGGAGCACACAGCACAAGGTAAGTGAACAATAGCTATACTAATTAAAATAAAACAAAGTCTCTAACTCTAGCATCAAATAACAAGTATAACATCTCTATCTTGAACATGATAATAAAAAGAATAAGTATAACATTTTTACATTTGGCAAAATAAGTGTGTGTGGTGCAATAAAAACCACAGATGTGTGGTGCACATGAGTGTTTTAATGCACATTAAAAACCTTTGTGCGTCATGAGAGTTTGTCAGTTTTGGCAGGTCAGACTAGCGTTTAAGAGCAAGGTGTCATGGGATCTATTCATTAATACAGTAATTGTTGGTTGATGTCTTGTTGAATTGTGTTTAAGTCTGTGGTAAATATTTTAGAAGAAAAGTTGCTATACTGCATTTTTGCTTCGTTGAACTGGTCTAATGGGATTGAAGGCTATTGTATTTATCTCTTTGACTTTTTCTCACACACATACACTGATAACTCTGTGATTTGAACTTCATACTCATATTGATGGTGTTTTATTAAAAACCCCATCAAGAGGATGCTAACAGATGTCCTGTAAGAAGTCAATTAGTCAAACATTTAAATGTATGCTGGATAACCATGCTAGTTTGCTATAATAATATAATATATATATATATATATATACACATATACATATGCATACATACACACATACATACATACATACATACATACATACATACATACATACATACACATATACATATGCATACATGCACACACACACATACATTATGTATGTATGTATGTATGTATGTATGTATGTGTGTGTGTGTATGTATGATACATACACACACACACACAGGACAGTCCTCCTCACTGGAGCGCAGTGCTGTGTAGATCCATCATCATTACCATCATCAGACCTAGAGGGCGCAATTCAGCCAGAGTCTCACTCCGTAGAAGAGGAAGACCGCCCTGCTTTACGGTCCGTGTGTGTGGACTGGCCATAAAGCGTCCGATCCAGACCCAGTCTTGGCCTAGACCCAGGCCACCCGTAGACCCAGTCCAGCGCGATCCCACCATGGAAGCCTTCAGCCGGACTGGGGGCTCTACTCTGTACGAGGTGGGTCTCCTGGAGCTGCTTCTGCCCTGCACAAGCAGCCACATCGTTTTTTCATCTACGATGTTATGTGACAACTCCTGCTTCATAGTCATCCTTTCTCTCCACGCTCTTTCTGTGTGCACTTAAACATCATATTATCCGTGCGCGTCGGGTTGCGACGCTCCGTCAGATGCGTCGCGTTCGTTAAAGGCCCACCTTGTAACTTTTCCTCCTCCCACAGTTTCCATGCAGATGTTATTGCATTGGCTGGAATGTTCCACTCTTATGTCATTGCGTGTCTGCCCTGTATTTAGGGTGAGGGTTTATTCACCAAAACAATATGGTGTTTTCGTGTATGTGTATATCCAAAATGTGCCAAAACATGCTTCTAACGTCTTGTTTAAGCTGTGAGACTCTCATCAATGTCAGTATAAGTCCAGATATGCAGCAATTTACCCAGTTTTGAATTAATTCCTGTTACCATACTTTATTTTATTTAATAGTAAGTAAGTAAGTAAGTAAGTTTTTATTTATATACCGCCTTTTCACTGCAGATCTGAGTCTCAAAGCGGTTTACAATTGTTAATTTTTGGGCATTTGTCTCTCACTCCACACAGAGATGGGAGCGGGGTCGCCAGTACAGGAGGCGCATGCCTGAACTATTGGACATATTTTTAGTGGTAGGGGAAACCGGAGTACCCGGAGGAAACCTACGCAGACACGGGGAGAACATGCAAACTCCACTCAGAAAGGCCGTGGTCCGACTGGGATTCGAACCCAGGACCTTCTTGCTGAGAGGCGAGAGTGCTATCCACTCAGCCACCGTGCCGCCCATTATTACATCCATCCCATCCATTATTACAACATGTCACCATATATCTCAGCTCCTGGTGTTTATTTTTTCACACATCATTCCTTACTCTTAAAACATACCCTGTTTCTATAGTGAGCGAGCAGCCCTAATGCCTCCCTGTGTAACATTTCAGACAAAGAAATAAAAGGACCTCACTGATGTGATTGCACTGCCTGGAATGTTCCACTGTTGGGCTTTTCACTTTTATATAGATCGTCATGGAAACAGCAGTTGGCGTGCTCATAACAATCTCACCCAAAGTGAAATCAGTGGAATATTATGTTTTTATGCTGGAATTTCAGGGACGACTGACGTAATGGATTGGAAATTGTTCAAAATAATTAAAAGGAAATATGGGCCGAGAGCTCTTTTTTTACTTTTCTGTATGAACAACCTGATCTGAAGACGAGACGGAGGCCAAAAATAAATCCATGCAAAACCAAGTGAGAGAAAACTGTTGGTGTCCAGAAGGAGAGAGGAATTAGTAGATTTTTTACATAGTTTGTTTTTGCAGTTAAAAAGTACCCTCGCTTTTATAAACAATATACAGTTAGGTAGCAGTTTTGTGACATAGTTAAAGGTTTAAATCATGTTCCGTGTTCCTCCCCAAAAACAGACCGGGAGTTGTTTTTCCCACTCTTAACACTAGGTGGCAGGGTGCTGATGTAATCCCTACTGTTTGTTTGTTTGTTTCTCGGTCAGTTTGTGAGAGGTAACTCAAAGTTCCGGCTGGATTTTTACCAAAAGTTTTTATTAAGACTCTGAATAGGATTACTGATATGTTTATATGCTCCAAATCACAAACTGGATCTAGGATTTTTTTATGGAATTTATGTTTTCTTTAAGACATTTTTTTCACGATCGCTGTAAAGTAAGTAGATGTATCGACCTCCGGTGTTTAGACCCCTTAGGCCTAGGGTCATATTATTATTTTATTATTATCAGAGAGTGTAAACGATCAGAATATAAGAGTAATGCTTGTGTGCCTTATGAACCCTAGTTATTTGAATGAAAGTGATTGTTAAACTAATGGTTATTAAAGAACATCGCAACTGCATCAATATTCGTCTGGAGCTTTATTTACAGATTTTGAATTTAAGTCACTTCTATAGATATGTATTCACTCGGGTGATAAATTTTTCAGCTCACATGTTCTGGGCATTAAAAATACCTTCTGCATAGAGTTCTTTGTCCTCGCCATATACATAGTCTGTTTATTGAAATATATTGTACTTCCACCTTAATCGTGGCATGGTGATGGAGATGCTATTGTTTTGCCTGTAATGTTTGATACAATTACATTAAATTGGGCTGTCTCCATGGAAACGAGCCAGACACTCCACCAAAAGTGTATATTTTTAGCATGATTATATATTTTTTCACCTGACTGCGGAACATTTCAGACAAAAGCATCACAAGACGAGCGCTAGAGGTAAATTGAAGGCCAGGCAATTGTCCTGTTACCATGGAGATGTTATGGCTGTGGCTGAATTGTTCCACATAATGGTATAGAGATGGCGCCTCTTTCTATCATGTGTTTTCTGGCAATAAACATCCTCTATATTGAACAAATTCTCAATGGATATAAACAGCAAGTGTATCCATCCATTGAGACTCTGCTCTATTGGTTTAGTGTCACGCTACTTGTTGCCAGTTTTTCTAGATCCCCTGAAATGGCTCAATTGGCTAAACATAAAACAAGTTTTCTGTTAAAAAAAAGCTCATGTGTTTGCAGGAACCGGAGCTCTCGTGTCAACTCTCTGTCTCGTTAGACCCACAGCTGTTTCGGCCCATCGATGAAGACTCTGTAAGCACCTTTTTTCTTTTATTTTGAAGTGCATATGAATGGTAAGTCAACACTTTATAGGACTGCCTGAATGTCATTGAAATCACAGTTGTTATTACCAAAGTCTGCATTATATGAATACTTGAAAACCAATACAACCTTTTTCCATCTGGAGAAGAAAGCAAATGACTAAAGAGCCTGATTGTGTTTCTGGACTATGTTTGCCTGGGACTGATGATACGATATGTAATATGTTGTCTTTCATTTGTAATTATAGCTTCCAAGTATTGAGTGCAAAGGCAAACCACCTCCTCAAGTTGAAGAGCGCCCTCACACTGAATGTGTGTACTGAGAAGTGATGGACGAGTCTCCTAAAAAAGTTATTGATTATGTCTTGTTCACACCAGGGGGAAAAGTGTGGAGTCGGGTTTCCATGCAATGGTACTGAGACTTCTTTACTGGCGGCGAGCGAGTCACATGGGACTCACATATGCGGCAAAGCTGCTCGTGCACTTGTCTCTTGTCCTCTAGGTAGAATGTTGTGCCAATTCAAGATTCAAAATTATTCTTTTTGTTTGAAAATTGGGTTCCTCACATGCATCTGTCCCAAGCTACTACTGACTACTACTGACTTCTAGCTCACCTTTAAAAAAATAAATAAAATTAAATAAAATTACAGCCAGTAGAATTATTATAACAGAGGAAGTCGACCTCTACAAAGATGGTAATTTTTTTTTAACAATCTCTAGACGGTGAGGACTGGGGTTATTGTTTGGTTGTGATTGTGCCCTATTCCCCCAGGTGGCGCTGTTCAGAAGTTTTGCTAAAGTCTCAGAGCTTCAAGCCCAAACCTTGTTCATGTTAACTTTAATAATTGACTCAATACCGTCAAACAATCAACCCAAATGAAATTGCAAATGTTATGAAAAGTCCCTTTAAACTATGGAATTAATTTGATCTCTTTATTCAAAATGCTTTGCTATATTGGGTGGATGGAAACTTTGTGAATGTTGTTGGTAGTATATCTGCTTTGTTCAAACTCGTCTGATAGAATACCATCAGTGGCCTTTTCTGGACTGGTTTGGACACCTCTTGTTTAAGTTAACATTTAGGTCTAACTTAGGTTTAACTTATGCTGCCCTTGTGAATGTTTGCACATGCTGGGCATGGGCTGAAGCCAGCAATGCTATCCGGCTCTTATACTATAAGCACTTGTTATCCACCATGGGAACACGCTATTAAAGCACAAGTGTACTTCTTGGGACAGGGCTTTAGACTTGTATTCTGTCTGATTATACAGAGCCATCCCATATTCATCTCAATATCAACTTGTTTCTGTTATTATTAAAATGCATATCAAGTGTAAGTAAAATATTTACCAAGGAGACAACACTTGAATGTTCCTTCAAAATGCCCTGGCTGTGGGAAGGCTGATTTACTGTGAACTCCCATGACTTTGAACTGCATTTGGTTTAATGAAAACGAATCATCAAATTAACCCCTTAGAACCAAGACATACTAATATTTTGATATTTCCAAGCATTTGGAAAGCAGCATTCAGTGACCAAATTTAGTAATGTAGCATGCTCTTCTTTGTGTCCTTTATATAGATTAGGTAATGTGTTATACCAAAAAGTCATACTTCTTTTGCAATGACCTTTGAACTTTATGTTGCATATTTGTAACCGTGGGTCCAACCCCAATCCCATTGTGCCATTTGCAATCGTAGAACTGATACCCGACAATTTGTTTTGGATTTGTATATTTCTTCTCAGTCATTATTGTTATCTCCTTTTAAGTATCCATCTCTGTCTGTTGCAGATGTCCCCAGTGGGCCCCTGCGTGTCTCCAGAACCAGTGTTCATCAGAGAGCCGGTGTTTCCTAGAGAGCCTGCATACACCATTAAACCACAGTACATCAGACCAGCAACGTTTGCCACGAGACCACCATTCAACAGACAACCACCGTTTGCCATGAGCCCACAATTCACTCACGACCCAACATTCCCCACAAGAAAAGAGTTAAGCAGAGAACCCCAGTTAACCACCAAAGAGTGCGTCACAGAACTGGAGAGCACCGTAAAAAAAGAGTACATTACAGAAGCAGAGTGCGCCATAAAGCAGGAGTATCTCGCAGAACCAGAGTTCACTTCAGAACCAGAGCACAAGGCAAATCTCCCCGCTGCCATCAGCCCGCTGGAGGAGACGCACCCAGACCACGGTAAGTGCTTCTGTCTGCTCTTTACATTGAACTTAGATCGACTATGAAACATTTTCTCCTTGTAAAAACCCTCCATTATGTAACAATCATCTTCAAAAACACTGTTAACTGTGTAACATCAATATAAACATTTCAAAAACCCATTTTCCTTTAACCTCATTCATTTCACCAACGCTGTGCCCAGGACCACTTAATAGGGTTGCAACGGTTTGAAAAAAATCACGGTTCGGTTCGTACCTCGGGTTCAGAGGCCACGGTTCGGTTCATTTTTCAAAAAAAAAAGTTTTGTCTTTTTAATAAACATGGCTCATGTGGACTCTGCACCTGCAGGAGGATCAGTGAGGGGCTGGTGCTCTGTGTACCGGGTGCAGCTCTGTCTGCCACCCCCCTGACATAGAAATGGATTAAGGGGAAGAAAATGGATCCATCCAATTATGTCTTTTTAACATAATTAATGAAAAACAACCCAAAGTGCAACATACGATGGCACTATATGAGGATATTTACCCTCATATATTAAACCACCTTCCTGATTCTCCGAGGAGGCGGTCCATTCTGGGCCCAGTCCAGCCTCATTCACTGCATTTATTTAATTTTTGGCATTATCAGTTGTGACTGGGATATTAGTGCTGGACCTTCGTCCTCCATTCCTCCGCTGCTTGTGTCAGAACCTGCGCTGTGTGGATGTGTGACTGTCGTAGAGGGGGCGTGTCTGCAGAACCGGACTTCTCATCTCCCAGTCTGCGGTGATGAAGTGAGCGGTTATCGTAACATAGCTCTCCGTTCCGCTCATGGATCTATTATAGGTTCCGCGGGACGTCCAAGCGTCAGTTGTGAGCGCAACTGCGGATGCGCGGGAGAGTTGACTTTAGTCCGGTCTGACTGTGCATAAAGGGGCTGCGGCAAATCAAACCGCGGATTACGTCTGTACCGAACCGAAGACGTTGATCCGAACGGATCATGGATCAGTGATGAACCGTTGCACCTCTACCACTTAATGTTACAAAAATGACATTACAATTACAATTTATTCTTATATCCCTAAATCACAACAGCAGTCATCTTAGAGTCATCTCATTTTACAGACCAGGTTTTTAGAAGTGATTTAAAAGAGGATACTGACGGTGCTAGCCTTATCTCCTCGGGCAGGTTGTTCCAAAGTTGAGGAGCTCCGACAGAGAAGGCTCTGTCACCTTTTGTCTGGAGCCTCAACCTTGGAACAGTCAACAGGGACCTGCCCGAGGATCTAAACCAGGGGTCTCCAACCTTTTTTCACCAAGAGAGCTACTTTACCCAGGACAATAAAGGCAGTGAGCGACTCCTTTAAGTGGCCCTGGGAAAAATGTGGTGCTATATTGGTGTGAACGAGCCTGATATTGGGTACAGTCAATATTTATCATTGCATATTTGTTTCTAGTGACAAAGTATGTGCATTTACAATAATAAATAGATATAGAATAGATAATGAATAATACAACCTGTAATATTAAGTATATCATTTGATTTGTTCATTTCTAAATCTTTTGGCGAGCTACTTGTAAGGGGGTGGAGAGCTACTGGTGGCTCCCAAGCTACAGGTTGGAGACCCCTGACCTAAAGGTGGCTCGCAGGGGGTTAAAAGTTCGTACATTTAGCTGGGTGCCAGACCTAAACAAGATTTAGGTCTTGTTTAGGTCTGGCACCCAGGCTGCTGCGTTCTGCATGTTTCAGTCAACGTTTGGAAACGACTTTGATATACTCCTCATGTTTAATAAATAACTAAAGCTGAAGCTGCTTTGGACCAGGACTGAGCCTACGGGACATAACCAAGGAGGTTTAAAAGGTGTGTGATTTATTGACTCCCTTTACTTGTAGAAAACTCAATTAATAATCTTCCAAAACTTTGACAGGTTTTTAAGGTGTTCTGTGGTATTGTTGACAAAGTGGTTAGATTTTGAAGAGCCGTAGTACAAATCTTTCGCAAACTCCTCAAAGCCAGCTAGTTGTTACCATTTCCAGTTGTCTACGTCATGTAATTTCATTTGCATCATCTTATGCCAATCAATATCCGAGAAAAGCCTTGCTGACAAATACTGCGTTTGGTAAGTAAATGCGGTTTGCTGAGTTTGGTGCTTCTGGGGGTGGCTATAACACAGTTGTCACTATTGCAAACACAATAGCTGGAGTATATTTTGTGGTGTGTATTTGATAGAAGTAAATTGATTTAGAGAAGACCTTGCTTTTTGCCTGGTGCACTGCAAAAAATGGTAAAATATTAGGTTTTCATTGCCTGAATCTTCATTTGAGTTCATTCTGTCTTAAAAGAAGATGTGCTAATGGGACAAGCAAAACAGTTTTTGAAATAAGACTAAATTTAGATTTTTTCTTAGTTATATATGTATATTAATTGTATATAAAAAAAACCTTTTCTCTAAAACTTGGTGCTCCATGATCTTTTCAATAAACATTGCGGGCAGAGCAATTTTCTTTATTTGTTAAGTGTTTTGAACATTTCTTCAATTCAAAACTAAACCACACTTTCAGTTAGATCACTCCATCCTGATTTTAGATGTTAATATGGCAGATTGTAATGTTTGACCATATATTTGTTTCTCCAAAGGCTTCAGTACAGGGGATGAAGAGGAGGAGGGAGAGCGGGGGGAGGAGGAGCTGGTCCCTGAAGATGCCAGCACCCCTCTCTCATCCTCCTCTCGAAGGGAACCCCCAAAGTACTGCTGCGACGAGTGTGGGCGTCACTTCCCCAGCGGCGGTGGACTGAAGCGGCACTCGCGGACACACACTGGGGAACGACCCTTTGTGTGCACCATCTGTGGCCGCGGCTTCAACCAGATTGGGAACCTCAAAACACACTACAAAGTCCACCTGGGTGAGGGCCTTTTGGGTTTGTATTCACCCTACAACATCTTGGTAGGAAGCATTTCATGCCATCTTGAAAGGTTTAAAGAGAATAAATGTCTTACAAAGTCACAAAAAGTACAACGGTTGAATAGTTTGTGAATTTTGACCAATATCCCTGACACACCTCTTCCTCAAGGCACTGCCATATGTAGCCCCCAGAGGGTAAGGAGAGGGCGTGGAGAGGGAATGGTGAGGGTATGGAGGAGGCTACGCAGAGGTCTTTGTCTTCACAAAACATATTTTTAGCACACTTTAACTGGTGCAGTGGCAGAGACTGCAAGGGCTGTGACTGGTCCAGGAAAGGGCAGTCAAGGGAGGAAGGGAAATCCATATGTGCCTCTTCTCAATGGCTTCGAGAGAAAAAGCATGCCCAAAACTGATGTTTGTCAGGTATTAGAAAATATTAGTGATGGGCATGTGAAGCCCTGAGGCGACCCTTGCCAAGCCTCTGAGCTAGCTCAGTCTAGGTTGTAACATCTAATAGACAAATATAATCACTGCAGCCACTGAATAGGTGTTGTTAATTCACTTCCAAAAGTGGTTTACATCGATATACATTTACATAAACGAAGGGTTTACGAACAAGGTGACGTCACAAAGGGTGACTAACAGTTTTTCAACAGTTGTCAGTTTCAGTCGTTGAATGATTTTAAATAAAAGTAATAAATAAACACAGAAAGAAAAAGATACTATTCAAATCATGAATAAAGTTTTCTCAACAATCATTATTTGGTGCAAAATTGTCCATATCGCTTCACTATTGGTTGTGCACACATTGAATCCTCTCCGAATGTCTCTTTAGGTAAGAAAGGCTCTTTAGACTACGGCAGCGTGAGCGCCATTATGAACATGTCTGCGCTCCCAAAGCCGCCCCCTCCTCCCCGTCGCGCTCCCTCCACCTTTGAAGAGGAGATCTTCTTCTGCCGCCGCTGCTCCATCGAATTTGAGGAGAAGAGCCAGCTGGAGGCGCACATGCGCATCCACATCAAGCCCAAGCCCTATTCGTGCCCAGACTGCGGCAAGAAGTTCATCACAGAGAAGTATGTGGCAGTGCACCGCAGAATCCACACCGGGGAGCGGCCCTACCAGTGCTCCCAGTGCGAACACGCCTTCACCACCATGAACAATCTGAAGACACATATGACACTGCACACCGGAGAGAGGCCCTTCAGGTACGCCAACCAGAACTCTCGAGCTGGTGATAGAGCCTGATCATACAATAAGCATCTACATACTACATTTAAACAACTCCAAACGTTTCATTGTAGAACTGACATGCAGCTGATTCTCGTGTCCATGTGGCCCATCTGCAAACCTCATAGTTATTTAAATGAAGGGGAATCAATATTTCAATGAATGTTTGCAATGTCTTGATTACTTCAATGGAATGTTATACCTCATATTAATTCAACAAAAACATCTTCTCGCAATACCTTCTTTTTTTGGTTCAATACAAGCAAAAATCCAAATCAAAAATTTAATCTAACAATTTAATGAAACAAAATGACCTGAAAGTATGTCCCATATTGTAAAGGCTTAAAACAAAAAGCAGCAGATGTTTAAGATTGGCTTACACACTACACAATCACGAAGATGAGATTGTATATCTTCAGGTTCCCCTCTGCTTCTCTGTATTAAAGGAGCTTGCACTCGTATGTTGTTCCAAATCATATAAACCTCACCATATGCATTCATGCTCCCAAATTGCCTTCCTGTCAAAAATAATTGCCCACCGGGATTAGCTAAAAAGTATAGTGCAAATTCCTTAGAGAGCAGAATTAATTATCAAAAGACATGCACACTTTTACTATGTTAGGCAACCCAACTGGATGCAGATTGGTTAATGCCACAAATTTTTGACCCTGGCAATACATGATGCTGAATAATGATTCAATAAAACTCCAGTCCTCCAAATGTCGTCTTTGGACTGGAAGCAACTCAAGCAACGCAGGCCTTCTCTGCTGGCCTGATTATGTTTAGGCCAGCAGAGAAGGCCGTGCGGGTCTTGAGGATCAGCAACTCTTTGGAAACACTCGCAACCAACAATGTTAAAGTGCTATGTTGTTCTTGCGTTGAAAGATTTTGGGGATAATGTTTGTTCAGACAGAAACGCGCGTGTGTTTATTGATGTAGTGTACTAGGCAGCGGCTGTTGGCCTCAATGCCTTAACATCCTGTACGTTTGCTCTCCCAGCTGCTCGTTCTGCAACAAGAGCTTCCGCGTCAAGACCCATCTGAACAAGCATTACGAGGTGCACCTGAAGACGCGGCCCTACATCTGCTCCGTGTGTGGGAAGAGCTACACACGCGCAGAGGGCCTCACCGAGCACTTCCGCCTCCACACAGGGGAGCGGCCCTACGTCTGCTCTGAGTGCGGCAAGAGCTTCAGCTACCGCCAGGGCCTCCTGCAGCACAACCGCACACATGCAGGCAAGCGCATGGGCCCGACGCGCCAGCTAGGCCGCCCCAAGGAGCAACCCAACCCGGAGTAGAGGCCAGGTGGAACCGCGCCCACGCACCACTCATGCCCGTCCCGCTTGGCTCTGCTTGGCTTTACATAGCACTGCTTGATTGGGCTGGTAGCCTAGCTCCTCCCAGTATAGGGGAGGAGCTGAATACATGTGCTGGAATTCCAAACAATTATTTTGAGTTGGGGATTTTAAAAATGAAAGTGTAAAAATGACAGAGAAATGCCAAAAAACTCCAAATGCCAAATATATTTATGACGTTTTATTTTCTATCTTGAAGGTATATTTGAATATACCTTGTCACATTTAAACAATATGTACATCAGGTCATCAGATGATTTCCGATCTTTGTCTTGTTCCCTGTTGATGAACATCCCTGATATGTTCAAAATGTATGTAAAGAGAACACATGCCCAGAATATATTTAGCCCCAAAATATATTAATTCCTGATTGTAAAAGTGTTGTAGATAGGATCATATTTAAGTGACACACAGTATATACTCGCACACCTCCAATAGTTCTGTTTCTATTCAGCTGCTATGGTCCAGGGAGTATCCTGAAACCACTCCACATGGACTGCCATAGAGCCGGGCCGAGCAGAGCAGAGCCGGGCTGGGCTGGGCTGGGCGGGGTACGGGGGGCGAGGCATTTCACATAGAACAGACTGTAGAACAGTCTTGTAAAGTACTGTTCCAAAAAGACTAACTCTGTACAGAAAGATATTCACAGTTGTCTTTTCTTGTACTATACCTTTAAGTGAGTATGGTTTTAATGTCACTATGTTTAATCACATTTTATGGAAACCTGTCACGTTCACGGTACGATGTATTGACAGAAGCCTTGGCATCCTGCTCGGGATGTCCCACTCTGCTGTCTCGCTCCAGCTCCATGTTTATCACAGAAGTGCGAGTGCGCCCGGCGTTAAACTCTTTGTGATAGCTCTACAGTGTTGATCATTCGGCCTTTTCCAAAGTAAATTTGAATTCATAGTGTGACAATGTTTCGGCATATGTTATTGACATACTGCTGACAAACACTGCTGTCATTATATGATGTACAGTGCCTTATGGAGGTATTCATACAGCTTGAACTTCTGCACATTTTATCATGTCACAATTATAAATATTTTACTTTGGATGTAACACAACTGCGTAAAGAAAACAAAACTATACATGATTTCTGTCCACTCTGCCCTGTCCCTGCTGAAGAAAAGCAGCCCCATAACATGCTTCCACCCCCATATTTGACTCTGGGATGGTGCACTGATTTTTTTTATTTTGGCATTTTAATTCTGAACTCATCTGACCACAGCACGTTCTTTCAGATGTTGAATGTGTCCCATGCTTTGCCTCTTGCTGAGAGTAGAGTAAAAAATGCTGTATGAATACTTGTACAAATCCCACTTTTCACTTATCTAATTTATAAATCACAGCTGTCAATTACTTGTTTGTGAGCTTTCAGTGAAATTCAAAAAATTTTGGTTGTACCTAAAACATGAAAAAATAAGCAAAAGTTCAAGGTGTATTATTACTTTTGAGAGGAAAGGTTTTGTTTACAGAGAATCTACCAACTTGAAAACTTGAGTCACATTTGAAAAGCACTAAATGGTGACGACAAGACTCATTTCCGAATTCCGTATGAAGTTTCCAAGAAACTTTCCCGTGGAAGTAACTGCACTTATTATGCAGCCAAAGAATAAATAAACAATTTAAATGTATTTTCTTTGCTAAGGAGATTGAAATAACGCACTGTTTGCGATTTGCAAATTGATAATGCTAAAATCCCACAAATCAGTCTTTTGCAGACAAATGTGAGCCAACAATTGTTTATTTTAATTTTATTTTTGTATTAAATCTTCTAAAAACACATTTCACTATATAATGTGGCTGGCACAGTAATTCTTAGAAAGATATTTTATGTCTCAACTCAAATCTGTGCCAATATGTTCTGTCACATTTGATATCCAAGCTGCACCATCAAAGTCCTGGCGCCCCATATTGGGAAACACAGCCTTTACAGTGTGGAACATCCCAAGCAGAGCCCTAAAATGATCAGGTGAAAGGGAGCACCAGGTTGACCCCAGTCTAGCTGATGTCTTCAGAGGTCACTTCTGGTGTGGGTGTTTGTGTGTGTGTGTGTATGTGCGTGCGCGTGTGAGTGTGTGTTATGAGTAACCTCTCTGCTCACTTAAACCCTGTGCCTTGTTCATGTGTGTGAAGAAAGTCCACCGGTGTTGTCTATTATTTATAAACACATAAAGTAATTTCCCTTTTATCCAGTCTGTGTGTGCTGCACTTTTGTGGCTTTCTCAAACTTCTTGCAAAAGCCTGTTTTGCATGTTTATCCTGGAAGCAGCTGCAGACTATACAGGTTATTGTGGACAGTCTGTGGTCCTTGGGAGTGCACTCTGGTCACAATAACATTATTAAGATACATATTTTTTTCGATTTCTACTTCATGAGAATCAAAACTTTTGAGTCACAGTCTTCCCCCTCCCCCCAATTATTTTCATGTTTAGTTTTTTTTAAGAACAAGAAAGGAAACAAAATAATCAGTCTCACACAAGAAAGTAAAACGCCGTCAGGACTGGCAAAATAACTTTTCTTTTTGTTGTACAATAGATTCACATTTATGTCTAAATTTTGCTTAAATCCGCTGTTTGTTTGGTTAATCCTATGACTTTTAATGATAAGGACCAAAGAGTTTTATTCTTATGAAAAACCAGAAAGACCTTTAGGCTTCACAGTTGCACTGGCTTCTCCTTTTTATAGATTTCTGTTTATTTTTGTTTTACCTTTTTATCTGGCGTCAAACAAAAAAAACTAAAGGGCCACGACACATAAGTAGCAGAAATATTTATAGCTGGGGTACCTGACTTTTTTCAACACTCATATTTTTTTCCAACAGAAAATCTTGTAAAAGTAAATTGTTATGAAAATCTCTCTATTTCACGCTTTGGACTGAGGGCTGGTGGCCTGAATTGGGGTCCTCTCTTGTTCACCTTTCCCTGAAAAAGTTGATGTGACGTTGGGCAATAATCCATGCACGTGAAAAATATGTTTTAGATACAGTTTTTATTTCAATTACATTTTTGTGGTTTGAAAGTGAGGTACCGCAGCTTTAACCATGAAATGGACCTATTCACATTTTACCTATTATCCAAAACATTTCTAAAACTTTCTCAGGGCCTCAAAATTGAAAGGTTATTGACTTAGAAGGCGATAACTTAATACTCACTTGTATTGAATATGATGAGGAGAAAGCAGAATATTCTATTAATTCACTCTTTCAAGGATTTTTGAATAACAGAACGTAAATCCTTGGATAAATATGAGTGTGCTTAAGCTCCCACCCAGTGGTAAAAGATGGAAAGGACATGATTCTGCTATATTTTGGATCTAAAACTAACATGGTACAGAGTAATGGAAGTTCACAGTTGCAAAAAAGTGAGAAATGGAAAAATATTTACATTACATTTACATATTACATCATTATTCTTTGCCTTTTTTTAAAACTGCATGGTGTAGTTTGAAAAGAGTACATTTAGACAGAAGGGGCAGGGATGCCTACAAACTCATGTGTGTAGGGCCTAGATTTTGGCCTTGTCAGTAGTAATAGCTCTTTAATAATAACATTTTTTGGTATTAACTTGAGTTTCAGAAGGTCACTTTCATACATGGCGCACATCTTAAAACTCATTTTGATGCCACTTGAAACAACTCTTCAGCAAGATGAAGGTACATTCTATTGGTTTATTCATAAATTGTTTCTCAGCAGAAATCACACATCACATGACAGAAATGGGAACACTCGACAAGATCAGCAAACGTCAAACAAGGTAAATGTATATTTTTCAAGTGATAAATAAATTATGGTAAGGTATATAGGAGGATTTTCTACTTCTGGGTGGATCATCAAGATAATTGTCAATAATTCTGGTGATACATGCTCGACAAATAAGACCTGTTTTGTTCAAAAAAAGGAGAGGGTGGTTCTTTCCTAAAATTTGGGAAAATCCTCCTATATACTTTTTGACACAAGACCATGTAAGATTTCAAAATGTAGCCGTATTTGCACTTGGAGACTAGCCGACAGTAGCTCAGTTGGTAGAGCATTGGCCTCTGAGCCAGAGGGTTGAGGGTTCGAGCCTGACTTTCACCATCGACTCCCACTGTTGTCATTGTGTGCAGTCACTTAGACACTTAGCCTCTGGGAAAAGCAGGTGCCACAGTGGGGCGGCTGTAAAGTGCCAAACTGCCGTTGTGTCCTTAGGCAAGACATTTCACCCGCATTGCCTAGAATTAGTTGTGTGTGTGTGGGTGTGGTGGGCCGATGGCACATACTGGTTGCCTCGCTTCTGTCAGTGTGCCCCAGGGCAGCTGTGGCTACAGCAGTAGTTTATCACCACCGTGTAGGGAGTGAAAGAATAATGACATGTAAAGAGTCTTTGAGTGTCCAAAAAAGCGCTATATAAAACTGATACATTAATATTATTAGCCCGAAGACTGCCCTAAAGTAAAATTCACCTATGTAACGTTTTTCAGAAATGTTATAAAAATCGATATTTCCCTCCAATCATATTTAGGCAAACGATTTTGCCCAGTAACATTTAGCAGCAGTAACCGGCTGTGACCAGCCGAGGGCAGCAGCTCCCGTACCCGTGGTGTGCGCGCCGAAGAAGCCCGCTGTGCTTCCGCTTATTTTCTCTTTCACACAAACATGTCCAGGTAAACTCTTTTATCTCACTTATTATAACACTAAACCGTCTTTCGCCCTTATTTGGTCAAGGCGGATACTGTTTTTGTCAAGCTAATCCGACATGACTATGCACATGACGAGCTGCTGGGGGACTGCTGGACCATCACTCCTGTTACCCCCAAAGAAAAGCAGGCGTTTAACGAGAGGACGTGTTGTTTTTGATGGAGGGCAGAGGCTGATGTCTGTAACTCTGTCTAACTCTAACTCTGTCTGACTCTATCTGACTCCGTGGGACATGATTGTGTGGGAAGGAATGCAGCAAGTCTTTAGAGTCTGGCTAATGTTGAGCCTTCTCCTGCTTTGTTGTCAATGACATCTACAAACTTGTCATGAGAACATATATGAAGCTTAATCTGTCCGCTTTGTCCCTTAAACTTGATCTTGAGAACATTTTAGAATCCTTTTAGAATGTGGATGAAGGTAGACAGTCATTCTACGAAAGTGGTGCCATTTGTCCATGAAATTGTATTATGTGCACCCAGAGAAGGGTGCTCCATATGTAAAGAGGCCGATATTTTACGTTTTAGAAATGTTTTGACTTTTCTGGCCGATGTGCTGGCATGGAATGTTATAACTAATATTTTCTAACTTTTCTCTGGAAACAAGCACATGAATTTTACTCTAAACAATGATCCTATAATCTAACAGTGTTCTATGTTTACCTTTGCTCCAGTCCCGTTTCATTTAGGCTGGGGAGAATTTGCCTTAAAAAAAAAAAAAAAATCACATTTTCATCTAAAATTGTTGTTTTCGAGTCGGTCTGTGCTTTTCACTCTATCAATTACGCTGAAACAAGCCTAATGATCTTTATGTTTCAAAGTTGTAGTGCAGTAATTTTCTTACAGTAAATAGAAAAGGCCCAAGAACTTTTATTCTATGACTAAAATACTGAACTTGTTTGCAAATGGTTATATTTATTACTTGGGGACAATCTATTCCCATTTTATTAAACCTATTTCACTGGGGCTCTATATAAATCACACACTGGGGGTTAAGTGTGTGGAGCTAATTTGCATCTTTTGATCACTGCCACATTCAGCCTGAACCATTGGCGAGGGCGAATGTCTCCCTCTAGCCTCATGGCAGACACAGGGAGAACATGCAAACAAAATAAGGGGTGGTATCAAACCCTCAACCTTCTTGCTGTGAAGCACAAGTACTAACCGCTGTCACTTGTACTATTTCACTGTTGTGACAATTTTAGTGTGAAAAATCCCATTCATCCATCTCATCCATTTGACCCTCTGGTCCATGTCACTGAGGTGCACGTTGGAGCACGTTCCCACACTGTGACACTGCACTTTCTTAAATCTGGGATAGAGAGGGGTCGGCACTAGATCATATACAGAAGTGGAAGTAACAATCCTACTTTCGAATTTGTTTTGTTTTTTACTCCCCTGTCTGAGTAAGATGGTCAAGGTTAGGGTTAAGGGTAGGTTGGTGTTATTCTATGGGAATGGCTGGTTAAGTTTAGGCATGCATGGGTTATATGCACAGAGAGGTTTGACGTCATTTCCTGTAAACAAAGAACGGCTTGTTTACTTCCTGTCTACGCTATCGCTAAGGCATTGTGGTGAGTTATAGTGACGTTTTTTATTAATTAGATTGATACATTCAGCTGTGAGACTCACGCAAAAGTGTCACTGTGCTTTCTCTCTGAGGTAGAGCTTTGACTGTGGCCACTCAGAGAGATTAGTTAACTTTATAAAAGCACAATGACAGCACAATCAAAAAGCACTGCTGTGTCCCAAAAATGCCCAGTATTCTCACAGTTTAATTCCTATTTGAGCATTATTTAGGAATTGTGTGTAAACATCTGGTGAACTCCAGAGAAACTCAATATTTGTTGGTTATATTTACTTCTGCTTCCGTCCCGATTCCGTATATGATCTAGTGCTGACCAATAGAGAGGGCATGTCCCATGACTGCGTCGGGTAGATTCTTCCCTTAGTGCTTCTGTCCATACTGCAGGGGAAATGTTGGGGCAAATATGTAAATGTGCGGCAAATACGTTTTTTGATATTGCATCAAAAAAGCAGGATATGAACAATGGACCAAAAAATTCTGTAACTCTAAATGAATTACAAGTTTCAAGAATTTTATTAAATTGACCTCCTGGCCTTAAATGTTGTTATAAAATAAGTCATTTTATTAATTCTTATATTACGGGTAAGGCCTGCCTTCCATTCTCTTAGCTATAGCTCAAAATCCACGATGCCGTCCAGTTTAACCAATCAAGTGATGCCAAGGGCTGTCAATCATCGGTGCTCATGCTCGTAGCTGCGCGGATGCTCAGATGTTTGTTTTCACGGAGCCTCCGAATCAAGCCTCCATTAGGCTCTGGAACTACATGAAAACTGAACAAAGAATTCTGAAAATCCACGCTGAGTTACCCATTTGTATACTGAACCTATATCCATAATCAGATCCTCTGCAGGTGTGTCTTATAATGTTCAAGGAATGATAATAGCTACTTCCGGGTTTACCGCGATCGCTTTTTTTCTGCATTAAAAAAATATTTTTGTCATGAAAATGTTAACAAATAATTCTGAAAACCTCTGTGCATGTGTATTAATAATGTATATATACAGTGGGGCAAAAAAGTATTTAGTCAGCCACCACTGTAATGTGTTCTCCGATGAGTTGATCAGTTGTTACAGAAGCGTAGGCGTAGACCAATCAGAAAGGAAGGGGGAGGCACCTTGGGTCGTTTTTTTTCAAATCATGTTGGATCCATGCTTTTTTCTGACAAACTCCAGACAATCACTTTAAGGGTTTCTCTACATGAAGCGCGTTCTTGAGCCCCGCTATGACATACCCAGCCGTTTACCAAAAAGAAAACCCTGGTGTTGTATGAGCAAACCAATACAGAAGTACGGTCACGCAACAAACGTTTCAATGTCTTGGACTCTGCAGTCACTGCTTTGCTTTGCGTATCAACTGTTGGTGTGTCGGAGTGTTAGGCGTCCAGTTTCAATGACGGGCTGTGGTTTCTCCTTGGTTGGACAGCTTTAAACAATAGCATAGACTGTAGTGAATAGACGCTAACTTGCTACAGTATAAATGAATTGGCAATTTTGGCGACTTTGGCGACTTTGATGGCATCTGCAGGTGGAAAACAGATTCATGGTTTGGGAAACATTTTTATCTTATTCAGCCTAACAATGTATCGTCTCATCAAATGATTTTTACAATTAAGTGTTTTCTTTTATTTATCATCTATGTTTCATTGTGAAATTGTTCTGAGCAATCAAGTATTCAGAAGCTGTAATGGTTAAATTTGTCCACTAGATATCAGTGTCACAAGCTAGTCTGAGCTCAGAGGCTCAGACACATTTGAAACAATCTGGCAAAGAAAGCCTCAGTGTGTTACGGGGCTTCATGTGCCCATCACTACGGATAATGCATCAAATATGACTCAAGTTATGGAGCTAACCGGCTACCAGCATGTACAATGTAGCCTAGCTTCTGGCCAAGATTAGAAGGATTTCAAATTACTTTCACAGAAAGTAATTGAAATTTTTTGCTGAAAAGGGCGTTGCCTGGAGGACCAGGGGACAAAAAAGGGGGCTTAGAGTTGGGCGTGGTCAGGGCTGTGATTGACAGCTCGCTTGTCAATGCTCTACCAACTGAGCTTCTGTCGCCCAGAAATTCTCATTCCACCATTCTTTACACACTAAGATAACTGTATATCTAGGCACTTGAACATAAGCCACAGAATTCTCAGCAGTAGTGATATTTATGCAGTTTATGAGTTAAAAAAGTTGATTTGGTGTTTTTTAAATTGAAACAAAAATTGCTTGATTTTCTAACACGATTTTCTAGCACTAAAATCAAAATAAGAGTTTCCTGGAGGGGCAACACCAAATTGAGGCGTCAGCAGCGGATTAGAAAATTTGATATGTAAGAAAAACGATGATTGAAAAACTTTATCAAACCATACTGTTGCATACCTTCTAATGTGCAGAGAGCAGCTCTGTACTGCACCTCCTCATTAGTCTCCTCTGTACTGCACCTCCTCATGTGTCTTCTGCCTGCAGGAGGGGCATCTTCACACCAGTGGCTGAGATAGAAGAGGTTCTGGAGGATTCGCAGCTCAGGTATTGTGGTTTTCTTATTTGAGACATATAACACTTATTCCTCTGGCAATCTCTATTTTAATGCAGTCAAAAATATGAATATTCATACTATGATTTTTCTACACAAACTGTCAAAATCTTGTATTTTTTGTTGTCAAATTCTGCATAATGACTTTTCACAGCCTTTGTCCATGTCCAAATAGTTTTCCCTAATTATTTATTCAGTTGTTTTAGAGCGACTCATGGCTGTTCCATTATTCTCTTAAGATGAGAAATGAGATGCACCATTGTAAATATAAAGCTGAATGAAGAAAGGACCTTTAGTAGAAGAATACTGAACTTTGATCTAAAAACTTGTGTTTATTATATCTGTCTGTTTGAGATTGTCAGACTACACTTTATCTTACAAAGTGTGATTGACATGGTGGTAGATTTAGAAATGTCCATGAACTGAAGAACACTTTTTTTAACTTTATTTGTGTCATTCCTGCCCCTAAATGACACTATTGACTAAGGCCTTTTGCGTAATGAGCTTTAAAGCAAAGCATTAAAATTGATAGAATGAGGAGATTTGTTGAAAAACACCTTTTCAAATTTAGCTTTTCCCTCTGGAAAGTGTATTACACAACTTTGTAATCAAATTAAGACTGCTGCATTTCGTCAACCAATCAGAAAGACACGTTCTGAAAATGATGTTTTGAAGCTGTGCAAATGGTTAACACTTTTTTTAACACCTGGCATTATTCACTCACGCCATACACGGTGGTGATTAACTACTACTGTGGATTCACCTGCCCTGGGGCATACTGACAGAAGCGAGGCAACCAGTAGGGGCCATCTATCCTTTTGACCACCTCTAACGATTCACATACACACACTAGAAGCAAACTGCTTTGAGAGAGAGGAACTAGTAAAAATTGTCTTGTTTTCACATGCATGTATATTTGGCCTTTGTCACATCTATAGCTTTTTCAGACAGAAAAGCGAAAAGGAGAGGACCACCCTCACTCTGTGTGTGTGTGTGCATACGCAGGGTGGCGGACATCTCTGAAGCCTGCGGTATGAGGTCTGACCACGGCAGTGGATTGTACTCCGAGGGACAACTGTACACCAAGTGAGGAGTACATTCACTGACTCAGACTGAGCGAGTGAAGACCCTGTGTATTTATTAAGCGCTACGGAAAAAAGGCATGCGGAATACTCTGCTGCAGCAATGCGCAAAAATGTACTGACGCACATGTATTATCACTTTTGAAACCGCAAAACTGAGGGATCCACTCAACACATGAAGTAGAGACAACCTGTGAGCTGCTCTAAGCGGGACTGAATATGATCAAGTTTACATATCGTGTTATAATCATGTTAAGTAGGGATGAACAATTTAAAAGGAAAAAATATAACGTGTGTGTATGCGTGTTCATGCAGGGTGGCAGACGTCTCTGGAGCCAGCGACGAGGAGGTGTACCATGGCAGTGGACTTGACTCTGATGGACAACTAGACCAAAAGTGAGGAATGCTTTCACTTAGATAGATAGATCATAATAATAATAATAATGATGCATCGGTTATATATAGCGCTTTTTTGGACGCTCAAAGACACTTTACATGTCATTATTCATTCACTCCATACAGTGCCCTGCAAAAGTATTCTTTTTACCTATTTTGTTACATTACAGCCTTTAGTTCAATGTTTTTTAAATCTGAATTTCATGTGATGGATCAGAAAACAATAGTCTAAGTTGGTGAAGTGAATTAAGAAAAATATATACATAAAACTATTTTTCAGAAATAAAAAACTGGAAATTGGCATGTGCATATGTATTCACCCCTTTTGTTATGAAGCCCATAAAAAGCTCTGGTGCAACCAATTACCTTCAGAAGTCATATAAATCGTGAAATGATGTCCGCCTATGTGCAATTTAAGTGTCACATGATCTGCCAGTACAAACAGTGCTTTGCGAAAGTATTCGGCCCCCTTCAACCTTTCAACATTTCGCCACATTTCAGCCTTCAAACATAAAGATATACAATTTTAATTTTTTCTCATGAATCATCATCAAGTGGGACACAATCGTGAAGTGGAACAAAATTTATTGGATAATTTAAACATTTTTAATAAATAAAAAACTGAAAAGTAGTTATCTGCAGTTCATCCAGAGTGATCATGGGCCTCTTGGCTGCATCTCTGATCAGTCTTCTCCTGATCAGAGATGAAAGTTTGGAGGGACGGCCGGGTCTTGGTAGATTTGCAGTGGTCTGATACTCCTTCCATTTCAATATAATTGCTTGCACAGTGCTCCTTGAGATGTTTAAAGCTTGGGAAATCTTTTTGTATCCAAATCCGGCTTTAAACTTCTCCACAACAGTATCTCGGACCTGCCTGGTGTGTTCCTTTGTCTTCATGGTTCTCTCTGCGCTTTAAACAGAACCCTGAGACTATCAAAGAGCAGGTGCATTTATACGGAGACTTGATTACACACAGGTGCATTCTATTTATCATCATCAGTCATTTAGGACAACATTGGATCATTCAAAGATCCATGCATGTTTACAAGCACTTTACAAATAATAAGCTGCTATTTTGATCTACACTGTCTCCATCTATAGATGCCCTGGTAAGAAAAATATTTTAGATTATTTTGTGCAAAAATGATTGACTTTGAAAATATTGTGACAATATCGTTATCGTGAGTTAGGGAAAAAATATTGATATTTATTTTTTCCCATATCGCCCACCCCTACTCCTGGTACTCATCTGAGAACCTCACTGAAAAAGTTATGTGCACCCCTGACTATAATCGCAAAAACAAAAAAGAGCCTCATCCAATATTCAGGGATCAAGAGTTCCGAGCTTCCGGCTCGACCGCACGGCATTGTGGGTAGTTTTCTCAAAAAAGTGGGCATGAAATCACGCTCTCCTATTAGATTACCTGTTACGAGCGTGATCTGTCTTTTTTCCAGCTCAGCGATTGTTTAAATTGCTACAAAAATCACCAATTTCAGACATTTAGAAGGTGAGGCAAAGATTTTTTCTTTTAACAAAAAAGCCATGCATTTTTTTCTTGTGGTTTTAGATGTAAACACAACCCACTGACGATAGAGCTACACGCAGCTTATGCTAGTTACAAGGATCGAATGCTTACACGTAGGCAATGGTGTAGGTTTGGTTCCAATCTTGGTGGGGACATTCACTACGACCTGAGTCTACACCCATTGAAACGGGGTCCAGAGTTTCTCCCCCAGAATTTGTTGTGTAATCACACACTATATTTGCAATAGTATGTTGCCTTCTACCACCAACAAAACAAAATAAATACTTTCAACCTCACCTGAAGCCCTGAAGGTCCAGCCACTTCCTCATCCTCTACCAGCACTGCACATTCCCTGTTTGTCTGACTTTCCTTTATGGTATTAATAAAAACACACATTCTACATTGAATAAAATGAAACCTAGGCATGGTACACCAGTCGCTAAATATCTCATGAAACTAGAACTGGTTGATGGGTCTAAGATTTTAACTGCTTAATCCTAACCTCACCTGGAGTCCTGTCTTGTCCTTGTCTTTATCTCCTTCTTGAATTTCCATTATATCTCTCAGAGTGTCCTATATTTAGTAAAAGATTTCAGACAACACTTTTTGCATCATTATAGTAGTAAAATATGTTGTAATTGGCATAGGTAATTCCCAACCAAATGATGTTCTTTAACTTTAGTATGATTCTATACTGACTTAAACCTAATCCAAATCTACATAATAGCCCTCACCTGAGGCTCTAACAGTTCAGGAACTGCTCTCGATACTTGAAATAAATCATGCTCTGATCTTTCAATTTCCTATAATAAATAAAAACAGAGGAGAAAATATTGAATTAGAATCTACAGTGAGTAGCTCACTACATTGTTTGACATATACGATCAATCTCTAAAAACAATTCATAGTCCCATGCATACCTACAAAATTCCAACCTCACCTGATGCACTGAAGGGCCTGTTGCTTCTACCTCAACATTCCCTATATTGTTCTCTCTTGTTGGTTGAGTTTCCTATGTATGTTAACAGAAGATTAATCATCACAATTCATAATTTGCTATTACTTGTGCTTTCTCTTACTTACTTTCCAACTGTTAAAAAAGCTCCTGATATCTTTTATCTTTTTTTTGTGGAGGTGGCATTTTTTCTAAATTATATAAGAAGGTATAGACAATCAAAAACAGACATTCATATACATGAACTGCAGAATCATTTATATAACTTGGCCAATGTCAAAAGTTACATAGTATTTCTCAATACAATGAGTTAACAAGAGTTTGGCAATAAGTAACAGTGTGGATTTTCCTATATTTTCTTTTTTTTATTCCACTCTCAACCCAAAAAGGCAAGTAATGTCTCACAGGGCTCTCAAGTATGCAAAATAAAAACTTAAATGACCTGTTGTGGTGTGTTTTGCGCACAACCAGCATGCATCGTTAACGCAATGGAAAATTTAGGTATCCGAGCTTTAATTTCGGGAGCGCTGGTTGCGCTTTGGGAAGAGTCAGGGGAGAGACATGTCAGAGACACAGGGGAGAAACGGGGGAGATACGAGGGAGACCCGCACTTGCAACATGGTTCTGTCTGCATATGGTCCGAGCTCGGTACCATGTTCGAGCTGTGCTTTCACTGAGCGCCTCGGCTGTCATTACAAAGCGGCAGCAGCTGCACCAGGACGTGCACATTCGAGTGCATCGCTTGAATCAGAATCAGAATCATTTTTATTGCCACGTAAGTAACAGGAGGTCACAGACTAGGAAATTGCTTTGGCTCAGTGCAACAGTCAAAAAGAGATAATAAAAATAAGAATAAAAAACACTTCTAAAGAATAAATTTAAATTTAAAATAGAGTTACAGTTACTATTTACAATATACAAGTGCACATGGTGCACACAATGTAAGGTGACAGCAGTACAGTGAAGTAAAGTGACGTATGATGGGCAGTAAAGTGACTTTATAAAGGGCGGGGGGACAGGTTAAGAAGTGTTCAAGAGTCCAACAGCAGAGGGGAAGAAACTGTTCTTGTGGCGGGAGGTTCTAGTCCTGATGGACCGCAGCCTCCTGCCTGAGGGGAGTGGTTGGAATAGTCCATGTGCAGGGTGAGAGGGGTCGGCTGTGATACGACCAGCCCGGCCTCGAGCTCGGGCGACGTACAGGTCCTGCAGCGATGGAAGGCTGCGGCCGATCACTTCCTCTGCAGAGCGCACAATGCGCTCATGTCTCTGTTTGTCCCTGACTGTGGCTCCAGCGAACCACACGGTGACGGAGGAGGTGAGGATGGACTCGATGATGGCCGTGTAGAACTGCACCAACATCTGTGCAGGCAGCTTGGCTTTCCTGAGCTGCCGCAGGAAGTACATCCTCTGCTGGGCCTTCTTGATGAGGGAGCTGATGGTCGGCTCCCACTTGAGGTCCTGGGTGATGGTGGTGCCCAGGAAACGGAAGGACTCCACAGAGGTGATGGGGGAGTCCATCACGGAGGGTGGGGGCGGGGGGACAGTGCTCTTCCTGAAGTCCACAATCATCTCCACTGTCTTCTGGGCGTTCAGCTCCAGGTTGTTACCACTGCACCAGGACACCAGCCGGTCCACCTCCCTCCTGTAGGCGGACTCATCGTTGTTGGAGATGAGTCCAATGAGGGTGGTGTCGTCCGCGAACTTGATCAGCTTCACGGAGTCGTGGCTGGAGGTGCAGTGGTTGGTGTACAGGGAGAAGAGCAGGGGAGAGAGAACACAGCCCTGTGGGGCTCCTGTATTTATAATCCGAGAGTCCGAGACATTCTTCCCCAGACGCACTCGCTGCTTCCTGTCCGTCAGGAAGTCAGTGATCCACCTGCAGGTGGAATCGGGCACGTTGAGCTGGGAGAGCTTGTCCTGGAGCAGGGATGGCAGGATTGTGTTGAAGGCAGAGCTGAAGTCCACGAACAGGACCCTGGCGTAGGTCCCCGGGGAGTACGGGGAGAATGTGCTTAGAGCAAATAACAGCAAGTGGCCGCTGTCACACATTTCACAGAAATTACATTATCAGCAGATAAAGGTTGTAAATCGTGGATCCGTGGAATATTTTCATCCCTAGTTTATCCTGATTCACACAACACACCCACTTATACATTTTGGATAGTAAGAGCACAACAAGTATTTTTTCAGCCTTTCAACCAACCTGTTTCTTTATTGGAGCCAGTTCTGTTCTGTCTCTGTGCCGTGTGAGCTCCTCGGAACATTAAACAGTGCGCTGACAGATTAGAAATAACGTAAGTACTTTGAATGGTAATAGATCTACAGTACTTTCCTCTGATTACTCACGTGCTACAACGCTCAGGGAACGAAAAAAAAACACTTGCTTCACGCTGGCTAACTTTTAAAAATTAAACAGTCGCTCAGTGCTTCAGTTTGGCGCTGAAGAAGACAGCCAATCACTGCAGAGAACGGAACGGGTCACGTGCTGCTGCTGCTGCTGTTGCTCTGGAGGCGAGGAGGAGGCGCGACGTGTGCACAAACGGAAGACATGTGTCCCCGACCGTCCGGGTCACGGGACATCATGTCATTTTGGTGGGGACTTTTTAGTCCTCACCAAATATTGGTGGGGACATGTCCCCATGGTCCCCACGCATACCTACGCCCTTGCACGTAGGGGTGTTGAAAAATAACGATACGGCGATATATCGCGATATTACGTCGCGCGATTCTCGTATCGATCCAAAATGCAAAATATCGATATTTATACATACATTTTTGGCCGAAATTGTCAATGCAAAGGCGTACTTTTGTCCTGCGCTTGCACTCCCGCTCACTAGTTGGCAACGCACGGCCCAGCCCACCAAAGAAACAATAGTATCTCGCGAGAGTTGTCTTGGAATCAATACAGTATAGTATCGCGGTGTTTAGAGCACACAGTAAAACTCTCAACATGGCGGAGAGGGAACTGCGAGATGCTCCGAGGCACATTTACAAAGCTGAAATTTGGACTCACTTTGGTTTTTACATCAACGACGGACGCTCAGATTTGGATAAAAGCTACGCCATATGCAAAAGGTGCCATGCGAAAGTCAAGCACAGCGGGAACACCACGAACCTGCGTGCACATTTTACAAGACATCACAAACAAGTGGAGGTAAACGGAAAACAAGCTACCTCATCACAACTAACTCTTGAACAAGCTAATTTAGTCAAGCTGCCTTCAAGCTCACAGCGTGCCACTAAAATAACACACTCCGTGGCTTACTACATGTGCAAAGACATGCGTCCTCTGAGCTCCATGGAATGCGAAGGCTTTCGTTATATAATGAACACTCTGGAGCTCCGTTACAGCATACCATCCCGCCAACACTTCACCGATGTTGCTTTGCCCCGTTTATACAAAGAAGTGCAAGACACTGTGCTAAATGACCTTCGTTTTGCCGAGCGAGTTGCATTAACATGTGATGCCTGGACATCCAGGTCCACAGAATCCTACGTAACAGCGCACTACATCGACGGAGACTGGAACATGCATTCTCACATCTTTTAAACGCAACCAATGTATGACAGCCACACTGGAGAGAATATTGCGGCTTTACTGCGTGAAGCTGTAGACGAATGGGGCCTGAGTGCGAAAAAACCCGTGATAGTCACTGATAATGCTCCGAACATGACTGTGGCGGCTCGACTGGCAGAGATGACCCACATTCAGTGTTTTGCGCACAGCCTTAACCTCGCGTCACAGAAAGCACTCAAACTACCAGCAGTGGCAAGGCTGCTGGGGAGAATTAGACGTGTTACTGGATTCTTCAGACGCAGTACAACAGCAAGCCACCAACTACAGCTCAAACAAGTCCAACTGGAGCTACCAAAGCATAGATTTATTACAGATGTTGTCACTCGATGGAATAGCTCCTATGACATGACTGAGAGGTTTTTAGAGCAGCAACCTGCTGTCTGTGCAGCACTCTATTCCAATGAAGTGCGAAAGAATGAAAAGGAAGTATTCACACTGACTGAGACTGACATCACATGTGCAGAGGAGGTGCTCAAAGCACTCAAGCCAATGAAAGATGCTACATTAGTGATGTCTGAGGAGAGCCTGCCAACCCTGTCTGTGATTGCCCCACTTCATGTCAAGCTGATCATGGGAACAGAGGAAACCCCAGAGGAGTCAGATACAGTTAGGGGCATAAAGGCGGCTATAGCACAAGATCTGTATAAAAGATATGCCAATCAGAAGGAGACCCTGTACATGGCATCTGCAGTTGACCCGCGGTTTAAGAGTCTACCCTTCCTGTCTGAAGACGACACTGCCCACATCTTCTCCCGATTGACTGAGGCTGTGGTAGCAGAAATGCAAAAGCGCAGTGTAAGTAAATGAAGCTAAACTTGCATGTTTACAGTTATAACTGTGCATGTTAGTGTATTTCATAAATACAGTATTTATAAATATTAAATAATTAAAAGATTTACATTGCATGTATACTGTGAATAAAATCTTGTTTGATATTTTTCAGCCAGTTGAATGTGAGGAGGAGGATAAAGATGCACCTGGTCCCTCATCAGATCCTGCAGCCAAGATGCCACCCCTGAAGAAACCCAGAGCATCATGTGCTTTAGCTGATATTCTTGGTTCCACATTCACCCTTCTCAAAAATGACACTGAAACAAAAACTGATGTAGAAGCTGCTGAAGATGAGGTGAAGATGTTCAGGATGGAGTCCTCTTTGCCCCTGAATGGTGATCCTCTCACTTGGTGGAGAGAACACAAAGGAGCCTATCCTCATATTTCCCCTGTAGCTCGTCGATTCCTCTGCATCCCAGGCACAAGCGTCTCTGCGGAGCGAGTCTTTTCCACTGCAGGAGACATTGTAACTGCACAAAGAAGTGCGCTGAAACCTGGGCATGTTGACCAGCTTGTGTTTCTTCAAAAAAATCTTAAAAGAAAGCAGTAATAACTTTCTGCATTTATTTGTTCTTGGGATATACCTCATTTAAGTTGCACTAAAGCCATGTTGCACTAAAGCCATTTTGCACTAAAGCCATGTTGCACTAAAGCCATTTTGCACTAAAGCCATGTTGCACTAAAGCCATTTTGCACTAAAGCCATGTTGCACTAAAGCCATTTTGCACTAAAGCCATGTTGCAGTAAAGTTGTTTAAAAAGCCACAGGCAGATTGTGTCATTTTATTTTGTTGTTGGCACATGGCATGTTAAAGCCAATGTTTGCAAAAGGAAGATATGCCAATAAAATATATTTTATACAAATTTACAGATTCGTCTTTTAAGTCATAAATCGCAATAATCGCCTTATACTGTAATATCGGGATATCGTATCGTATCGTATCGTATCGTGACCTATGTATCGGGATACGTATCGTATCGCCAGATGCCAGGCAATACACACCCCTACTTACACGTGAGCTTTATAAACTTACCCAAAGCTGTACTTTGGACATAGAGCCCTCAGAGCGTTTCATGAACTTATAAATAACATTTCTGATCAGAACCTTCAGAGTGCGGACATTATTAAGAACAAACAGTGAGAGAGGTGTGTAGTACAGAGAGAGGTGTGCAGTACAGAGAGAGTTGTGCAGTAGGCTTTAAACAAAGTTATTTTCACTTTATCTGTACACATGTGAAATCTCCGTGCTTAAGTGTTAGCCTGTCCATACAGCTCACAGTACTGCCTCTGAAGGTCACTCCTGATGACGTGCCCCAGGTATTTGGCCTTCTCTACATTCAGAAGCTCCACACCAGACAAATATGTCCAAAGTACAGCTTTGGGCAAGTTTATAAAGCTCACGTGTAAGCATTTGATCCTCGTAAGTAGCATAAGCTACATGTCGCTCTATAGTCAGTCGGTTGTGTTTACATCTAAAACCACAAGAAAAAAAATGCATTGCTTTTTTGTTACATGAAAAAATCTTTACCTTACCTTCTAAATGTCTGAAATTGGTGATTTTTGTAGCGATTAAAACAATCGATGGGCTGGAAAAAAGAGGGACAGATCACGCTCGCGACAGGTAATCTAATAGGAGAGCGTGATTTCATGCCCACTTTTTTGAGAAGACTACCCACAATGCCGTGCGGTCGAGCCGGAAGCTCGGAACTCTTGATCCCTGTATTCACATGGGTCACTACTAATAATCGTCCACTACAATCAGTGCACTGTCAAATGAATCCCAGGATCCCACATGTTGACAAAGACTGAATGAAAAATGCTCTCACACAAATATTTTAATAAAACACAAACAAGGACTTTCATTTATTTAAGTTAACATTTCACAAGTCAATGTAATAATGTAATCATTCTAGCTTTCCAAGTGTACTTAAGTGTCGTATTATTTTACTCATCAAAATATGGGAATATGCTCGAAGGTTTATTCCGTGTCTGTGTGTTTGTGTGTGTGGGCAGGATGGCAGACAACTCGGGAGCCAGTGATGTGGAGTCGGACCACAGCAGCGAACTGGACTCTGATGAACGACTGGACCACAAGTGAGTTAGTAGTAGAACAGACTTTGCCGTCACTCTGATCTCGGCCTGCAATGATTCATCAAGTTACAAAATGTATTACTGTACTGCACTGCACTGTATAGTGCTCACGCTGCTTCTATTGACGGAAGTGAGCGGGAGAGAAGTCTGTAGGAGTTAGTGCGCGGACGAAGCGCTCCTCGTATTATTACGCCTTACAATATAGTACCCCTTTTTATCCGCTGAGAAAATCGACATGTTACATTTCTGTGTTACTATACTTTGTAGAGTAACACTTAACTGTATTTAAATAGGGAACACGTGGAAGAGTTTGGTAGCTTCTAAAGGGGAGCTGATTTGGTACAATACAGTATGTGGAAGAGGCTGCGTTTGTGCAGCCTCTTCCACAAAAGTTAAGCCTGGTCCGTACCTGAGTCTGGCAAGTTCTTCCTAAGTCCGAACCGGCCAGAACCTAGCATTAGTTTTATGTGTCCACGTGCTGCCGTGTGATGCACGTGGGGTCTCATCGTGGCTTAGCAGTAAAACCACCTTGGAATACATTTGCAAAAGACAAGTACATAGATGAAACAAGTTTAAAAGGGCTGGAAGCAATTTCCACTGAGATTGATTAACTAAAACAGTGTCAAAACAAGTGCAAGTGAATGAAAGTGCTTTATTGAACTGATAACAGCTTGTGGAAAGAAGCTTTTAGCAAAGCGAGATGTCCTGCATCTCAACAAACTGTATCTTCTGCCAGAGGGAAGAAGCTGGAACATGGCTTTTCCAAGGTGGTCAGAAGAGTCTTTACAGAGTGGAGCACCTTGTTTAGAGCTCTCCTTTCTTTGGCTGTGATTTTATTTCTTTGAAGATCTTTGTGACCTCAACTGTAAAATGTGCTATTGCTATTGCTTTTACATCTGATTCTACTCTGTTGCTAAGACCATACTTAAAACCTCTTTGATCTAAGCAGTCATCACTTCACTTTTCAAGTTCTGGATTCAAATATGTTTTGGTTTAATTATTATTACTATTAGATTAGCTGTATTGCTGATACAGTTATAAGTGGTCTTGTTTGATCTGTAATGTGACAGCTCGGGAGACGGACATGCAGAGGGTGTGGTGAGCAGACGGCCTTCACCAGAGGAGCTCCGAGGGGATCACATGGTGAGGGTCAACAAGGGTAATACCCTTTTAAGAATGTTATGTGTATGTGACCTGTGTGAAGTGGGCACCCCACTATTTCAAAACATGTATAAAAACGGTCTAAGTTTTTAGTGCTGATTAGTTCTTCAGATGTCTCATTTTCTAGTGTTTTATATATATATATATATATATATATATATATATTAGGGCTGGGCGATATGGCAAAAAAGTAAAATCTCGATTTTATTTCCTGCTTTGGGCAATTTCGATTTTAAATCGATTTTCATTAAAGTCACTGGAGACAGACTTTGCCCTTAAAATGTTTTGATCTTTCCGCTCAATATTCAAGTTTCAAAACTATTTTTAATTTGTTTCCCTCTATACGTATTATAAAATTCTTGTACAGACTGTGCTGATTTTGCAAGTATAATTCATGTGCTGCTGGAACTCTCACAATATCCTTCATTCGATTTCACAATTTTCAAAATTTTCACAAATTTGATTTTTTTCAAAAGCCGATTAATTGCCTAAATTCGATTGCACCCCATGATTAGTGACTCCAAATCGACCCAACTTGGTCCCATTTCATAGTGTTCTCTCTGTTCTAATTGGTACTGTTGAAATACCTATATGTGCTACTTTGGATTGCTGATAAATACCATTTACATGCTCACAGTGTTTATAAGCCTTGCACGCCTTGATTAGTTGCTCAAAATCAGACCATAATGGTCTTATTTTTGGGACTCATTTAAGTGGCTTCGAGTCCAAATCGATGCAAATCGTTTTCATTTATTTAGTGCTCTGTTCAAATTTATATAGTGGAAATATTCACTCACCGGCCACTTAATTAGGTACACCTATTCAACTCCACTTTAATCCAAATTTCTAATCAGCCAATCACATGGCAGCAACTAAATGCATTCAAGCATGTAGACATGGTCAAGACGATCTGCTGCAGTTCAAACCGAGCATCAGAATGGGGAAGAAAGGTGATTTAAGTGACTTTGAACTTGACATGGTTGATGGTGCCAGACGGGCTGGTCTGTGTATTTCAGAAACTTCTGATCTACTGAGATTTTCACATACAACCATCTCTAGTGTTTACAGAGAATGGTCCGAAAAAGAGAAAATATCCAGTGAGTGGCGGTTTGGGGGACGAAAATGCCTTGTTGATGCCAGAGGTCAGAGGTGAATGGCCATACTGGCTCAAGCTGATAGAAAGGCAACAGTAACTCAAATAACCACATGTTACAATTAAGATATATGCAAGAAAGCCTCTCTGAAGACACGCAGCAGAAGACCACATCGGGTGCCACTCCTGTCAGCTAAAAACAGGAAACCGAGGCTACAATTTGCAGAGGCTCACCAAAATTCGGGCGTTCTGCTCTCCCAAAATTCCATCCGATGGGCGGGGGAGCGACTGAATTTTGCGTTGCATTATGGGTAACACTTGCCTTCGCAACTTCCGGTTCTCTCTGCCCGGCGCATTTTCTCTAAATGGTTGAGTGTTTTCGTCATTTTCTGTATGCAAATACATTCCCGTCTCTAACTAGTGGCATATCGCGCAAATCATCCGTCCAATTCACATTCTTCCCTCTTAGCTGAACTTCATTCTCATTGTTACCATCTGTCACTCGCACACACAGCCGTTTTCGTTCACTCTGCTCGCTGTCATCTTCTTCTAAATCTTCATAAACACCATCCGCTCGTTGAACTAGCAACAACAATTCCTCCTTTCGTTTTCCCACACTGCAAATACCCTTTCGCTTCAACCTTTCACGCAATTCAGGCACTGTCAATCGTTTGTTGTTTTCGTGAGCCATATTCGCCATTGTATGAAATCAACCGGAAGTGAACTGGGCAACAAACGGTGTCATTTTTTGATCACAGCGCCGCTCAGTGGATGAAATTTTGGGAGAGCAGAACGCCCGAATTGGACAATAGAAGATTGGATAAAGTTGCCTGGTCTGATGATTCTCAATTTCTGCTGCAACATTCGGATGGTATAATTTCTTGGCACTCTTTGAGTCCCTTAGTACTAGGGCTGGGCGGTATAAACGGTATAAGCGGTAGACGGTATAAATTTGGCCCACGGTAGAGATTTTTGTTATACCGGCATATTGCGATACGTCATTATGTCATTAAATTGCGCAGGCTCTGACGCCAGCAGAGAGCACCAAAACAAACCGGCATTCAGCAGCATTAGCCTAGCAGCATTAGCCTAGCATTAGCCTAGCACTATTGGACACCACTGGAAACAACGAACAACAGCACGGCATTAACACCGTGTTTCTGTCTCTGTATTGTTGTCACAGCGGCCCCAGCAGAGGTAAATACACACACAGTAATCACAGTTTAAGAGTCTACCTTTTGGCCAATCGGTGTCAAAGGGGCGTAAGCTCGAAGCGCCAGCGTGAGCCAAAATAGATCCATGTGCCGTGTCCGCAGCAGCATCACATCAGAAGTTTGGGAAAGTTTGCGTCAGATTCGGACCTCCGCGGTCAATATCTCACGAAAGCTACTTTGTTAAACAAAATTATTTGTGCCAAAATGATCATTTACATCAATTGTTCAAATCCAATGCGCTGTTTTAATGAACATAAAATCCATTGAATCATCCAGCGCAGAGAAAAGCGCTTAGAGAGCGTCAACAAATGGCAAGACCAGCTTTGTAAACAAACAGCTTTTACTGAAGTCATGCACCTGCACAAAACTCTCAGACACTATAAATAATGACCATGTCTAACTCCTACAGACTTTGTTTTCATCATTTGTGAGTTTTTTATATTTTAAATGAATGCATATGTTTTTCTTTTTAAAAATTGCTTTTACAGTGAATGGTATTTACTGTAACATACATAAATAATGTATGTTATTTGTCTCTTTATTCATCTCACAACTGATTTTCTAACTCAAAAAATATATATTAGATTCTAATATATAAATAATTAACAATCTTGACTATTTTATGCAAGAACCTGCTAGACCTATATTGAAATTCACACACCAAATTATACCGCGATATATACCGTCTACCGTCTATGACCCAAATTATACCGCGATATGAATTTTAGGCCATATCGCCCACCCCTACTTAGTACCAATTGAGCATCGTTGCATCGCCACAGCCCACCTGAGTATTGTTGCTGACCATGTCCATCCCTTTATGACCACAGTGTACCCCTCTTCTGATGGCTACTTTTAGCAGGTTAAAACACCTTGTCATAAAGCTCAAATCATCACAGACTGGTTTCTTGAATATGACAATAGGTTCACTGTACTGTAATGCCCTCCACAGTCACCAGATCTCAACCCAATAAAGCAACTTTGGGATGTGGTGGAACAGGAGATTTGCATCATGGATGTGCAGCTGACAAATCCGCAGAAACTGCATGTTACAGTGCCTTGAGAAAGTATTCGGCCCCCTTGAACCTTTCAACATTTCGCCATTTCAGGCTTCAAACATAAAGATATAAAATTTAAATTTTTTGTCATGAATCAACAACAAGTGGGACACAATCGTGAAGTGGAACAAAATTTATTGGATAATTTAAACTTGTTAACAAATAAACTGAAAAGTGGGGCTTGCACGCCCCACTTTTCAGTTTTTTATTGAAAATAAAGGGGCCAAATAATATTGCACTATTATTTGGCCCCTTTATTTTCAGTGCAGCAAACTCACTCCAGAAGTTCAGTGAGGATCTTTGAATGATCCAATGTTGTCCTAAATGACTGATGATGATAAATAGAATGCACCTGTGTGTAATCAAGTCTCTGCAGTTCACTCTGGATGAACTGCAGATAACTACAGCTGAGGTGGGAGAGTCTGTCCATAGGACAACAATCAGTCGTGCACTGCACAAATCTGGCCTTTATGGAAGAGTGGCAAGAAGAAAGCCATTTCTCAAAGATATCCATAAAAAGTCTGGTTTAAAGTTTGCCACAAGCCACCTGGGAGACACACCAAACATGTGGAAGAAGGTGCTCTGATCAGATGAAACCAAAATCAAACTTTTTGGCCACAATGCAAAACGATATGTTTGGCGTAAAAGCAACACAGCTCATCACCCTGAACACACCATCCCCACTGTCAAACATGGTGGTGGCAGCATCATGGTTTGGGCCTGCTTTTCTTCAGAAGGGACAGGGAAGATGGCTAAAATTGATGGGAAGATGGATGGAGCCAAATACAGGACCTGGAAGAAAACCTGTTGGAGTCTGCAAAAGACCTGAGACTGGGATGGAGATTTATCTTCCAACAGGACAATGATCCAAAACATAAAGCCAAATCTACAATGGAATGGTTCACAAATAGACGTATCCAGGTGTTAGAATGGCCAAGTCAAAGTCCAGACCTGAATCCAATCGAGAATCTGTGGAAAGAGCTGAAGACTGCTGTTCACAAACGCTCTCCATCCAACCTCACTGAGCTCGAGCTGTTTTGCAAGGAAGAATGGGCAAGAATTCCAGTCTCTCGATGTGCAAAACTGATAGAGACATACCTTAAGCGACTTGCAGCTGTAATTGCAGCAAAAGGTGGCGCTACAAAGTATTAGCGCAAGGGGGCCAAATAATACTGCTCACCTATGTACACTGCTTACCTTTGGAAGAGTTTTAAAAAGTCCAGTTTGCAGAAACTCACTGTGGCCTATAACAACTCCTTGAGGCTGCTGCTGAAGGTTCCTCGGCACAGCAGCGCAAGTGAGATGTTTGCTTACTGTGGTGTTCGATCTTGTTCTGCATCTCTTCGAAATGTTCAGTTCAGATTTATGTGTCGTCTGAGGAACTCTATTAATGTGATTGTTAAGACTCTCGTCAGCCCCGAGTTCTGCTCACTGCTGTTCACCTCCAAATTATGGACTTACTGGAGGTTATGCCTTTATACTGTTCAGCAGCTGTAATGTTCTCTTTGGTTTGTTTTCTTGTATATATTTTTTCTTTGGTTTTTTTTAACTATGGACCGTGTTGTATTGTGTCCTTAATAAAGATTAATAATAATAATAATATTGCACGCCCCACTTTTCAGTTTTTTATTTGTTAAAAAAGTTTAAATTATCCAATAAATTTCGTTCCACTTCACGATTGTGTCGCACTTGTTGTTGATTCTTGACAAAACATTTAATTTTTATATCTTTATGTTTGAAGCCTGAAATGTGGCGAAATGTTGAAAGGTTCAAGGGGGCCGAATACTTTTGCAAGGCACTGTATATGGACCAAACTCTCTGAGGAATGTGTCCAGTACCTTGTTGAATCTTTGCCACAAAGGATTAAGTCAGTTTTGAAGGCTGGTGAGTGTATATTTGTGCCATTTAGGGTTCATGAACCTTGCCTCTTATGATCTTTGAGCACAGCATCTTGGAAAGTAACCCCAGAGATGCACTGAATAGTGATCAAGGCATGATCAATACAATTCTGAGGTTTTCAAAACGAGAATAGACTTTGTTCAGACTGCATCCAAAGCTATTATTGATTTAGTGCAACTAAACATGGGGATCAAGGCTTATAAACACTATAAACACTTTTTGTTTTTTACATGCATGTATGAAAAGCAAGTAAGTAATCTTTATTTATATTAATAATAATAATACATTTTATTTAAAAGCGCCTTTGAAAAAACACCCAAGGACACTGTACAGGCATAATAAAAACATAAAAAACAGGATCAACAGAATAAAACAGTAGTGCAATATGGATGGTGGGTGCGTGTGTCTTAGGTGGGGTAGGACAGTCTGAACAGATGGGTTTTGAGTCGGGATTTGAAGAGAGTCAATGGTACGGATGTCAGGGGGGAGAGAGTGTCCCACGGTGATGAATCTGGCTGGGGGGATGGAGAGTGTGAGGTTGGAGGAGGAGCAGAGTGTGCGGGCAGGAGTGGCAGGGTGGAGGAGGTCAGATAAGTACGGAGGGGCCAGGTTATGAAGTGCTTTGAAAGTGGTGAGGAGTATTTTGAAGTTGATGTTGAAGTTTGAAGCCAGTGGAGTTGTTGTAGTACGGGGGTAATGTGGTGAGCTGTGGGGGTCCGATTGATGATGCGAGCTGCAGAGTTTTGGAGGAGCTGCAGTTTCTGGAGGGATTTGTTGGGGAGGCCAAAGATGAGTGAGTTGCAGTAGTCCAGGGCTGGCCAACTAGTCAGAGACAAAGAGCCAATTTTTTTACTGTGTTACAGCTAAGAGCCACATCTTACAAATGTGCACTACATAAACATCACCCCATCCCTTACACACGCACGCACACACCTCTGCTCAGACAGATTTATTGTAAATGTCATCAACATGATAATGAGAGAAAGTGACTCCTACAGTACTAAAGGGCTGGACTCAACTCTCCCCGGTTTGCGGGCGCTTCCACCGCTCTCTGTAGCCGCTCCCCGGTACTTTTTATTAATGGTTTGGCCCTGGTTCTAACCGGGCGAGTCGATACCAGAACAATCTCACGTCAGCGAACATCAATTATGATTCAGAAATGAATGCTTTCAATCTCTAACAAAGACAAAAAAAATCAAGTTTCAACCCAGTATTCAGCAGAAACACAACTGTCTTTATTAAACCATGATTCACTCTCTAACTACGTTTAGTAAAAGATATAGATTTGACACATAACACCAACATCACTTTAGCTGATTTAGAACCACAGACACATGTTCAGTGTAAGACCAAATACTTTTGCATTTGATTGAAGACAGTTGGCTTATCTCCTGGTGTAGCTGGTTTCAGCATGTTAGCTGGTGTTTGCCAATGTCCGTAAATTTAATCCATTTGGTCAAACCACCTCCAGACTTTTCGGTTCTGCCTCTACTTCTGCTGCTGTGATCTTTCATTTCACGGTTGTCACTTTTAAGCTTCATTCTGCTCCGTCCTTAGTGCTAGCTCCACAAACACCTTCTGGTTTCTGGTGGAACCCTCGAGCTCACGCTGGTGTCCTCTCCTCAAACTGAGGAAGGTGTTGCCCTCATCCAGCGACCAAAGAAATGTTTTCCGTACGGACGTAATGGGCTGAGGCAACTTGTTGTTATGATATTTGCAACAGCTGAGGCAGCATAGCTGCAGAGTGATTGACAACGCATCTGACCAATCAGAATTGACGTTCGCCGACGTCAGATTGTTATGGTGGCCCGGCTAGTGGAGTGGACCTTTACTATGGGTCAGAACTACTTAGGGAATGAATGGCTGTTTTTGACGCTTGTCATGTGAAAGCCCGAGAGCTGCACAGAACCAGCCAAAGAGCCGCGGGTTGGCCACCCTTGAAGTAGTCAATCCTAGAGGTGACGAGGCTATGGACGAGGATGGCTGTGGACGAGGATGGCTGTGGTGTGACGGGTGAGAGAGGGGCGAAGACGAGAGATATTGCGCAGGTGGAAGTAGGCAGACCGAGTGATGTTATTGATGTGAGATTGGAAGGAGAGTGAACTGTTGAGGATGACACCCAGACTCTTGACCTGAGGGGGATATTATACATTTTTTACAGCCCAAGGTCACCCAAAGTGCTTTACAATGCTCATTGTGACAACATGATGTACTATCTCCATAGTGGGAAATGAGCTGGAGAGAGATTGAAAAATGTATTGGATTTGGATCTAATTAATTGTGTGACATATATTCACATGTTTGTGGTAAACGGGTGTTATGTGATATTTTTTATTTCTGTATTTATTTTCTCACTTATTTTCTGTGACCTCCTGTTACTTACGTGGCAATAAAAATGATTCTGATTTGACTGGGACAGTACATGTGAATGAAAACACGAACACCAATTGTGCAAGTTTTCCCACTTAAAAAGATGAGGGAAGCCCTGTAGTGCCTCTCATCATAGGTACTGTATACCTCAACTATGAGAGAAAATCGAAATATTTCTGGCTCTCATAGACCTGTAACTTATTTAAGAGGCTTCTCTGACCTCCACTCATTACCTGTAGGGGTCAAAATGATCGCAAGAACGGTGAGCAAAAATCCCAGAACCACACCTAGTGAATGACCTGCAGAAAGTTGTGACTGAAATCCTGCAGTGTCAGATGTGTCCCCTGCTTAAAGTTATAGTCTGGACTTTGTCAGAAAAAAGAGAGGTACATGATTTGGAAAAAAACGACCCAAGCTCCCTCCCCCTTCCTTTCTGATTGGTCTTGCAGCGCTTTCTTTTCCGTGCACACGTCAGGTCAATGGGCCAAGACGTGCAGAGGAGAGAGAGAGAGATAGACAGAAAACAACCAGTGTCAACAATGGTGTTATTGGCGTTATTATTATTTGAGCCATAGCTAAGCTAAAAGAAGGCGGGACTTCTATTTAATTATTATAATTTATTTCTATCAATATAATAATTCATAAAATGACTTTTATATCAACATTTAATGCCAGGAGGTCAATGTATTACAATTCTTAACATTTGTAATTCATTCAGCGTTCCATCACTTTAGGCCAGTACATGTCCAGGCCCGTCTGAAGTTTGCTAGAGAGCGTTTGGATGATCCAGAAGAGGATTTGGGGAATGTCACTTGGTCAGAGGAAACCAAAGTAGTGCTTTTTGGTAAAAACTCAACTTGTTGTGTTTGGAGGAGAACGAATCTTGAGTTGCATCCAAAGAACATCATACCCACTGTTAAGCATGGGAGTGGAAACATCATGCTTTGGGACTTGTTTTCTGCAAAGGGACAAGGACATGTATCATGAGATTTTGAATCAAGACCTCATTCCATCAGCAAGGGCATTGAAGATTTCAGCATGACAATGATCTCAAACACTGCCCGAGCAACAAAGGAATGGCTTTATTCTTTAAAAATCAGACTATGTAATTTTCTTCATTTTCTTTTCTTATTCTCTGATAGTTGAGATACACCTATGATGAAAATTACAGGACTGCCTCATCTTTTTAAGTGGGAGAACTGGCACAATTGGCGGCTGACTTAACACCTTTTTGTCCCACTGTATATGGTTTAACATATACAGTGGGGCAACACGCCAGATTGTAGCCAAAGGGTAATTTTCATCTGTAGTCCCATGGGGGGTGGGTCACAGGGGATTAATGGTCATTGTACCACTTGAGTTCAGCTGTACTTGCTGCAAGGTCACTTTGAACCCTCTTGTTTTAACAGAACGACGCTTTGGAGGATGACAGCAGTAGCAGCATTGATAGAAGCTCTTCTCCATCCTCTCCTGACCCTGCACCCCAGGCTCCCCCGGCCCCTCCCATCACAGATAGCCCAGCGCAGGGGGACTCTGACCCAAAGAACAGCGTCACAGAGGACAGCTCAGATGAGGAGTGCCCAGGGGGAGACCCCAGCTCTACACATGACAGAGGTCTGTTTTTTTTAGCTGGGGTACCTAACTTTAATGCCCTTTGTGACATAGCTTGTGACATGTATTATAATGCCAAATTTACTCCCAATGGGAGGTCCATTTATGAAAAGGGTGTATATTTTTGGTGTATATTCCAAATAAGCAAATTCCAACGTGGGATTTATGAACGTGTGAGATCCGCCCAGATCCGAACGTACGCAACTGCTACTGATTATAAATGTTGCGCTCAAAACTAGCGTATTTATGAAAGTCACGCCTATAGATATTCAAAAACCGCCTATTTCACGCCCTGTTTTTACGACAGGTCAGGATGGAAGTCGGCCAGCAAGACTAGCTGGAAGCCTCAAAAAGGCATGTGACATGCCGTCCTGAGTTTATTCATGTTTGTTTAAAAATAAATATACGCTATATAATATATACAAGTTTTTTTTCCTAGTGTCTAGACCCACTGCAGCACTCATCTCTCTTGAACCTTAGAAGCTTAGAAGCTTTTGGGAAGTGTCCGTGATTCCACAGAGGAACTCTGGTTCTAAAACGCCTGAATGACGCGCTCCACATAAGAGAAGTTTTGCGGTTTTTTTGCAGCGCCACAGATTTACAAAGCAATAGATGGTCACACATCCCCGTTGCGTTTCACAGACCAGGATCACAAAGCACTTCACGTTTAAAAAACATACAGATGAAAATAATACACATACAAGTCAGATTTCAAAACAAACAAACAGAAGAGGTTCCTCATCATGAACTGTGATTTATTCAAAGTTTGCGTGTTTCCATTCGTTTTTCTGATGCGCAAATTCAAATTTCGAAATGTGATGCTCAATGAAAACGCACCTTATAATTTGGTTATTTACATCAACAACACATTTTCTCCAAGTTAACATGAAGCTAACACATTAAAGCTCAGGTGCTTATTTACTGTCCATGGACCACACGCTAAACTCGGAAAGAGGCTGCATGGGCTGCATAGACGGCGCTGATTCGCTGGTTTAGTTTCTCCCCGCTGTCATCTCTTGGAGGCGGGCTTTTGACGTCACTGATTGTGCTACGTCACGATTTGAAACAGCTCGTTTCTGTGAAAAAACGACTCTGGGCATGTGTATGACGGCCAAATAACACTGTAATCATGTTTAAACCAGAGAAATGTCAAAAAGCATAATATGGAACCTTCAAACATTGCAAGGAGCACTGTGAACAGTGAAATCATATTGAAATGGAATGAGTATCAGACCACTGCAAATCTACCAAGACCTGGCCGTCCCTCCAAACTTTTTTTCTCAAACAAGGAGAGGACTGATCAGAGATGCAGTCAAGAGGCCCATGATCACTCTGGATGAACTGCAGATAACTACAGCTGAGGTGGGACAGTCTGTCCATAGGACAACAATCAGTCGTGCACTGCACAAATCTGGCCTTTATGGAAGAGTGGCAAGAAGAAATCCATTTGTCCAAAATATCCATAATGTCTTGTTTAAAGTTTGCCACAAACCACCTGGGAGACACACCAAACATGTGGAAGAAGGTGCTCTGGTAACAGTGTTGTGCGTGAACGAGTTCAAAAGAACGCACTTATTGAACGCTCATTTTTTCGTGAATGTTGAACTGAATGTAACAAATTTTTAAAAGAACGTGAGTTAGTTTACAATATGTGTCATGAACGGCAGACATCGCTGTAAATTAACGTTGGAATTTCTTTTTCATTGAAAACTGAGTGACATCTTTTGAAACGCAACGAGAGAAAGTATTCTCCCTGGTGCCGCTTAAATCACATGTAATAATGTGCATATCTTAAGAATCTTCTGCACTTTTTCCGCCAAAATCTAAAAATTCCCACGGTTTCCACCGTCTGAACGCACCCAGACTCCGTGTTGAGCCGGTGTTGTATGCAAGTGCTTTTCATTGGTTGTTGGACTCTCATATGCCCGAATTGTGATGAAAACAAATGGTAAGTTAGCGACACAGGGCCAACCGTTTACATTTGACATATAGACACATGTACTGCAGCACATTTATGTTTGTAGTACTTATGAGCAGTGTACATCATTTTATATATATATATAATATATAATATATATATATATATATATATATATATATATAAATATATACTGATGGATTTCATTGCACTAAGTATAGAACTACCTTGTCTGTACTAGTTTCAGCACCTTGTAAGAAACCCACAATTGCAGTGTCATGAGCAAATGTCTACAATGAGCAGCTTCAAAGAACGCACTAGCTCATAGTGTGAAAAATAGTATTTATTTAAATATCTCACAATAAAAGTAAAATTAACTGAACTTTGAACTAGTTCAGAATTAAACATTTGGCATTTTGTGTGTTTTGTTGCCTCACAACCTGGAATTAACATGGATTGTTTGAGGATTTGCATCAGTTAATTTACAGAACATGCCCACAACTCCGAAGATGTTGTCTTTTTTTTTTTATTGTGAAGCAAACAACAAAGTAACAGAAAAGGACAATGTGCATAACTATTCACCCCCCTAAAGTCAATACTTTGTAGAGCCACCTTTTGCAGCAATCACAGCTCCAAGTCGCTTTGGATAAGTCTCTATGAGCTTGCCACATCTTACCACTGGCCCATTTCTCCTTGCAAAACTGCTCCAGCTCCTTCAAGTTGGATGGTTTGCGCTTGTGAACAGCAATCTTTAGGTCTGACCACAGATTTTCTATTGGATTGAGGTCTGGGCTTTGACTAGGCCAGTCCAACACATTTACATGTTTCCCCTTAAACCACTGAAGTGTTGCTTTAGCAGTGTGTTTGGGGTCATTGTCCTGCTGGAAGGTGAATCTCCGTCCTAGCCTCAAATCACGCACAGAGTGGTACATTTTTTACTCGAGAATATCCCTGTATTTAGCACCATCTATCTTTCCCTCAACTCTGACCAGTTTCCCAGCCCCGGCTGCTGAAAACCATGCCCACAGCATGATGCTGCCACCACCATGTTTCACTGTGGGGATGATGTTCTTTGGGTGATGTGATGTGTTGGGTTTGCGCCAGACATAGCGTTTTCCCGAAAAGTTCAATTTTAATCTCATCAGACCAGAGCACCTTCCTCCATACATTTTGGGAGTCTCCCACATGCCTTTTTGCAAACTCAAAACGTGCCATTTTGTTTTCTTGCTGAAAGTAATGGCTTTCTTCTGGCCACTCTGCCATAAAGCCTAACTCTATGGAGCGTACGGCTTATTGTCGTCCTATGTACAGATACTCCAGTCTCTGCTGTGGAACTCTGCAGCTCCTCCAGGGTTACCTTAGGTCTCTGTGCTGCCTCTCTGATTAATGCCCTCCTTGCCCGGTCCGTGAGTTTTGGTGGGCGGCCGTCTCTTGGCAGGTTTGCTGTTGTGCCATGTTCTTTCTATTTGATGGTGCTCCTGGGGATCATCAAAGATTTGGATATTTTTTTATAACCTAACCCTGACTTTTACTTCTCAAGAACACTGTCCCTTACTTGTTTGGAGAGTTCCTTGGTCTTCATGGCAGTGTTTGGTTAGTGGTGCCTCTTGCTTAGGTGTTGCAGCCTCTGAGGCCTTTCAAAAAAGGTGTGTATATGTACTGACAGATCATGTGACACTTAGATTGCACACAGGTGGACATCATTTCACGATTTATGTGACTTCTGAAGGTAATTGGTTGCACCAGAGCTTTTTATGGGCTTCATAACAAAAGGGGTGAATACATACGCACATGCCAATTTCCAGTTTTTTATTTCTGAAAAATAGTTTTATGTATATATTTTTCTCAATTCACTTCACCAATTTAGACTATTGTTTTCTGATCCATCACATGAAATTCAGATTAAAAAAAACATTGAACTAAAGGCTGTAATGTAACAAAATAGGTAAACAGCCAAGGGGGTGAATACTTTTGCAAGGTACTGTAAAGCCTAATCTACAATGGAATGATTCACAAATAAATGTGTCCAGGTGTTGGAATGGTCAAGTCAAAGTCCAGACCTGAATCCAATCGAGAATCTGTGGAGAGAGCTGAAGACAAACGCTCTCCATCCAACCTCACTGAGCTCAAGCTGTTTTGCAAGGAAAAATAGGCAAGAATTTCATTCTCCCGATGTGCAAAACTGATAGACATACCCCAAGCGACTTGCAGCAAAAGGTGGCGCTACAAATTATTAATGCAAGGGGGCCGAATAATATTGCACGCCCCACTTTTTAGTTTTATTTGTTGAAAAAAGGTTGAACTTGTCCAATAAATTTCGTTCCACTTCACAATTGTTTCCCACTTATTGTTGGTTCTTGTCAAATAATTGAATGTATTTATGTTTGAAGCCTGAAATTTGAATTTTCTGCGGCTCCGTGAATTCCGACTTTTACCTGCTGAAAATATCATTTCTGTAAAATGTGTGAGCGCGGGCTGTTTGCGTTACGTACTCGAATGGGATTGACATCCTCTGTTACAACAGCTCAGCAAACACGCAGCCATAGCACTCTGAGATTGTATTGAAATGTAAAGTGCATTATAGATAACATTTATTATTATAACGTGGCACTGAGCATGGACCATAGACGCGCGGATAGAACCATAAACATGTGATCAGGACCATCCCCAGTTTGTCTCCCCCATGTCTACCCCGTGTCTCCCCCGTGTCTCCCCCGTGTCTCCCCCGTGTATCATCCCAAAGCGCAGCCAAAACTCGCTGAATTAAATCTTGGGTAGCTACATTTTTGCTTGCATTGACGATGAATGTTATTTGTGCACAAAAGTAAAATGTTGTGAACAAATCAAACGGCTAGCTTAAGAGCCCTGTTAGTCATTATTTGACTGTTTGGGCTGAGTGTGTTGATAAATATTTGTTAGTCTTACATTATTTTTGGTTGTTTTGTCTTTCCTGTGTGGAAATTGTATGTTTTTTGTATTCTACTGAAGTTAATACACTCAATTCTTATTGAAAGTCTCAAGTGTCAGCTCTCATTCTTTTGGAATTATGTTTCTATCTGCTACAGAGGCTGAGATATCAATCATTTTAGTAGACGCTGAATTTCAGGAAAACTTCAGGTTTTAGTGGGTGGTTCTAAAGACAGCCATAGGTTTACAGGTCTGTTTAAACCAGGTGTGTCAGGCCTTAATGGGTTAACAGATGTAGTTTAAGAGTCGAATATCGCAGTCGGAAGATTTTTTTTTTTTTTTTTTTTTTTTTAAAGAGCTATAGAAGAAAAGGTGTTCATGGACTCATTGAAGAGCTTGACCTGTCCTCATTTTGTATGTCATGTGAGGAATTGTATTTGTCCCACAGTAGGATTTAAAAATACATAGCTGGTCCCATTTTCCTACATTTCTAGTTGGCCAATTTTGTTGCCATTAATTGTAGGCTGTTAGTTTTGCAACTTGCAAGTTGAGAATCTGATTAAGTGCATGTGCCACAGATGCCTTTCCGCAGCCGGACTCCCAGAGCGGCAAGAGGAGGAACGCCCAGTTGTACGAGTGCCTGACGTGTGGCCGCGTTCTGAGCAACAACGCCGGCCTCCGCAGACACATGGTCATCCACACGGGCATGAGGCCGCACCAGTGCCCCGTGTGTGGGAGAGGCTTCACCCAGCGAGGCAACCTCAACACGCACATGAAGGTGCACGGAGGTCTGTCTCACAGCAGTTTTGATCATTCTCACCTGTTACAGAAATATTCATTCATTAATTCTTAATTTGAGCAGAAATACAAAAACAAGGCAATTAATAGAAACGAGCAGGCTCCTTATGTAAATTGCACAGCGTTCATACAAGGATGAAAAACGATGTAGTTCTAACACCTGCCCAGTTGTAGTGGGCAGAGGAACTTTACAACACGACACACGCAACCCCCAGCCCCCCAGCAGTAAAATCACTTCCTCATCAACATCCTTCTCAGGCGCCGCAATGACGTGAAAGAATGCACCAACTTCATTCTGCATTTGACAGCAGCTGCAAAATGGAAACTGAAACTAGAGCTTTGCGTGGTTTTGTTTGGATGAACGAAGGAGTAGAATTCTCCTCCGTGTAGCACTCGAAGCAGACGTAGCTAGTTAGTGTACCCGCCGCCGTTGTTGTTTATGTTTGTTTTCTGCTACTGTGCATGTCCAAATGTATGTGCGGGGAAGTGGTGAGGTCATAGCAGGCAGAGAATTCACACCTTTTTCTTGATGCGGGTGGGAAAGAGACCCCCGCTGAGCAGCGTTATCTGAGCTGTCCCACTCTGTAGGCTGGATCTTAATGCTTACGTTTTCAGCGCCCTGGAACACAACTACAGCGTTTCCGTCTTAACAGGGCCTTATATGGGTGCTTCACGAGTGCTGTGCAGGCCTTTTGGATTTAGAACTTCATCTGCTGTAGGATTGAAGCATGCGTTTGATGTGACCACAGTTCTGCTGAAGGGGGAAGTGGAGCACAGATCAATACGATTGGGCTGAACAAAGTAATGTACCGAATCGTCTCTTATTACATTGTTTTAGATCAATATTTATATTTAAATATACACTAATGAGCCACAGGTGTCGTAGATGGTCACTATAAAGCAGATTGAACTTGTCCATGTAGTTTTTCCAGAAACCTCAGCAGAAATGGTGATATATAAAGTTTGTGTGTGTGTGTGTTTTTTTTTTCCCAGAGGAGAAAGTTAAGCTGGCTTTAGCTCAGAAGAAGCCCACTCCCACAGAGTCCCTGGTGCGAGCCCACGTGTGCTTAGAATGCGGCATGAACTTCCCCGACCTCAAGCAGCTACAAGAGCACAGGGCCACGCACCGAAAACCCTTCATCTGCAAAGACTGCGGCAAGGGCTACAAGACGGAGATGTGTTTCATCAACCACAGACTCACCCTCCACACCGAGGGGCCCTGGTTCCCTTGCTCCCACTGTGGCAAGCCCTGGGCAACAATGGACCTCCTGAAGAAGCACGAGCAGTGCCACTCCAAAGACAAGCGCTTCATCTGTACACAGTGCGGGAAGGCCTTCTCCAGATCGGTGTCGCTAACGGCCCACAAGAGGAGGACCCATTTGGGGATCATCAAGCAGTTCCTCTGCACGGTCTGTGGGAAAAGTTTCAGCGAGTCGGAAGCTCTCAAAGTCCACTTGAGGAAGCACTCCGGGGAGACGCCGTACTCCTGCGACATCTGTGGGAAGGCCTTCTACCGCATCCAAAACTTCCGGAAGCACATGCGCGTCCACAGCGGTGCTCCAAAAGCACCCCCCACACTACCACTGGGACGCCCCAAAGTACTGCAGCATGACGGGCTGGAAGCATGAGCTCATTGTGTTACCAAGTGTTCAGTAACCCCCAATTGGCACCAAGCGTCTTTAGTGCATCTTTGGCGCGAAGCAGTGAAATATGCAAATAAGGGTAATTACTGGAGTTCTTCTTTTTGTACACGTCAACGCTGCGGGGAAGACGGGAAAGAGGTGTTGAATGAGCGGAAGTGTAAATTGCAGTCTTTAAAATGTTCTCCTGGTCGCCTAACTTACACTTGCATTATGTTGAGTGAATCGCTTGGTGTAAATTGGGGGTGAGGGTGGTGCTAAACACAAGATCGGGTCCAAGACGAGATTTTTTGTTCAAATTTTGAACAAATACATTCAAAGGCTGTCTTGTTTATCTTCAAAGTATTACTGAAATCAATGTTCAATTTATGACTTAGTCATATCTTTGCTGTCACTACTTTTGGAATCTAACTTTAACTGCGTTGCAAATTTTCAGATGCTGTAAAGTTGCCTTGTCATTCATACACTTTTTAATATTCTTTGTCATTGGTATTCTCCTGAAGCAGAGATACCCCCTGCCTCCTCTGACTGTCCCCTCCATAACACAGATGCTTTGTAATAACTGTCAGTGATACACAATCATTAGGTAGCATTACCCAGACATTTTTACTCAAAGGATCTCAGATCGGAGTTCAATGTGACACATGTTTACAATGACGTAAGAGAAGGAAGAGTTGTACGGCAGGACTGAATGTGGAAGTGAATGAGTGCATCCTTTTCAGATAGATCAATAATAATAAAGAGCCACAGGTGTCACACATTCTCAATATATATCAAACAGAAGCACGTTATGTTGAATGTCAAAGAAATCTCACGTGATCCTATTTCACTTTTGTGCACAATTTTTTGTGCACAATGAATTTAATCTTGTGAGATTTTGTGGTGTATAATATTACTGTGATTTTTACCATATGAGGTGGGTAATAATCTTCAATTACATTTATGTTCCTTTTTTCAAAAATGTTTGTTATCAGAGAAGCTTGATTTTCTTAAGTAATATTTTTGCTGGTGAAACAGTTGTACTTTGTGGGTGCTTTGCCTACCTACAGGATAAATTGTTGGTTAGTTCTCCCAGGCGCCAAGCTGGCCTCTGAGACAGATCAAAATACTTTCCACATCAATCATGCCCTCGGGTGGCACTGAGATTTACTTCTACTCACACAAGAAAGCGTTCTACTGGTAAACACTAGATTTGCCCCTCAAGCTGCACTTAAGTAGAGCTGTCACCTGCATTTACCGCCACAACCTTTACATTGTGGTGTGTTTTTTTCCTTATTTTCTCATTTCCTTATTTTCTGGTGTCAGCTCGGCAAATGTAATTTTTCCATCTGATTATCAAGACTGGCAGTTACCATGACATGTGAAGGGCGGTAACCATTTACTTCCAAAACTGGACTATTGTTGGCCTTGTCCTCCACAAAGAGGACAGGGGCATTTTGTGTGCACCTGTGCTCTGGCCCAGCAGCATCTTCTCCCTCCTTGAGCTGGTTTGCAGACAGTGTTGGGAAAGTTACTTCAAAAAGGTAATACATTATGTATTACTTGTTACTGTGATTTCAAAGTAATGTGTGCCACTACAATATTTCTGTCTCTGAATTGTTATGCATTACACTACTACTGCATTACCTTTTAGTTACTTTTACAAAATGTATATACATACTAAATGTAGCTTCTTATGTTATTTCTTGAGGTTAATCAAGCTTTTGCTTTCACACATAAAGTGCACTTAATGTTCCGCACATCTTTGTGTCCAATAAACTCAATAATGGAAGTTTGTCCATCTTGAAAATGTTCGAAGTAGTGCCTGCTTCAGCTCCAACCATCTTCTACCAGAAAGGAAAAAAACTTCTAGGCGGCTACGATTGGGGTTTTTCCAAAAAGCAATACATACTTTTGTAATGCGTTACTCCCAACACTGTTTGCAGAGGAGAGTATTATAATACACGGTTTGTGGGAGCCATAGACTGAACCATGAATGACAGCATAGGATTGGTCAATCCTTATATGATTCATATCCAGACGATATCAAATTATAAACACCAAGATCACAAAGTGCGCTTTTCAATCCAAGTTGATAAGAATTGGAGAAATTCTTTCATGAGCACTTCCCTATTGAGCTAGGGGTTAGCATTGTCAATCTTTATCCAGTTATGGTGGGACCTCGGGCCACAGAGAGAACATTAATGTTTTTATACACACCTTTTATAGAGTTTTTTTTTTTTTTTTTTTTTATGAATACATTTTGTGGTATTTTATTTATTCTATTTATTCCTATTTGCTTTCATTACTTTCAGTAGTGTTGCATATGTTATTTTTTATTGTTTCACTATGCATTTGTTTAACACTCGTTTCATCTATTTTAATTTGGTTAAATCAATCTTGTTATGAACACAATCACAGAGGCCTGTAGGTGGGCATGCAAACACTCAGAACTTTGTCATGTTACTCTTTTTCTTGATTAAAAGTTACTCTCCCCGTTTACTGTATGTCAGCCTTTAAGAATATATATATATTTTTGCATTAACTAATGTTTCATTCTTCCAGTTACATCAAATTTCTACTTATAATAAATTAAGCAGTAATTAAAGGTACTTTATGATTGTTAATTGAATATTTTCTTGGAAGACTACTTTGCACTATTACATATTCATTTTGAAGTAATTCACCTTGAGTACATAATTTGCTTCTCTACCCTCCTTGCTTTTATACCAACATGTTTCTTTTGCACTGCGACGTCCATGTATTGCATGCTCTGTATGTAATTAAAATATACCATATTGTTAATCTGTGCTTGGAATCATTAATCCTTAAAAATAAATATTTTTAATTTTGGTTTTCTTTTTATAGCATTGATAAATCTTAACACATGTATGCATACAGGGGGTTGTGAAAATACGAATAATACCTAGAAGAGAAGTGGGGTTTGCATATTTTTTACAGCATTTCTCTCATTTACCTTTGGATATGTCCTAATGACTCGTGGTTGCTCACATCTAGTTTAGATAAGATTAGATTAGATTAAATAGTGTCCACCTGTGCAGTCATCTACTCTAACGTGTGCTCCAGTATGGCTCTGGAGGCACTATGGAAGATTTTTTGTGTCATCAGATTTTGAATTTTTTTTAGCTTGAATTCTTCAGTTTGAAATTTTTAACCCTGAAAAAGCAAGTTTGAATATTTTTATCTTTACATTTAAGTCACTAAAAATTCAGTTTACAAATTTCAATGTGATTAAAATTTCAAAATGACATAGTCACCCTCAAAATATTCCATTTTGTTTTCAATGAAAAAAAAAAAAAAGACGGATTATTTGTTCCATCAGAAATTGAATTTTAAATGGACCTGAATTCATCTATTTGAATGTTTTTAACATCTTGAATATTTTTTTCTGTGAATTTCAGTCACTGATAATCAATTTCATAATGTTAAATTCAACAGTCAAAATTCAACGAGAAAAAATTCAATGGTGAAAAATGCACATGACACATCCGGTGTTCTGACGAGTTATGTGCTCTGTCAGTTGGTCTGCGCATAATGAACTCTGTTTTCTCGTCACTGACGTTGGAATCTCTCGTTATCTACATTAGACCCTTTAGAACTAATGGAGATTTTGTTATCTTAGAATATTTACGTTACCGTCACTTTAAGAAAGAGAGAGAGAGAGGATTTCGCTTTGTTTACAGAGCGAGTGGAGCCGAAAGAGCACGTAACTTTTCACAGCTCAAGAAATAAGGAGCCATACGGTGTTCTTACCGTTGTTACTTTATTTCAGAGACAACTCAGCAAATATCATTTAGTGTACAAGAGTTCAAGCTGTGGAATACATGTTTTTTTGTTAATTCCTTTACATGGAGTTCTTTTTCAAGTAACACGAGTGAGCCCTGTGGAAACTGCTACACTGGAAACTAGACCCAAATACTGTGTAACCTTTGTTGCTATAAATGTTCAAATGTGATGGTTTTCATGAACACAAACACACACAGCCTAAATAAATAAACGGGAATATACAGCAATAATGATTTGAAACAAGCACATTTACCCAAAATGTTCAAAAGACTAACTCATGAAATTAATGTAGTATCATCTTGTTATTCGCCTTGGTTTCATTACAATCCATTCATTAGAAATCCCATATCAACCTGTTTGATTCATGTTATCAACCGATGGACCTGCTGAAAGCTAGCGCCAGTCTACCTCAGTAAAATGACGCATGCGCAGACCAACTGACAGAGCACATAACTCGTCAGAACACCGGATGTGTCATGTACATTTTTCACCATTGAATTTTTTCTCGTTGAATTTTGACTGTTGAATTTGACATTATGAAATTGATAATCAGTGACTCAAATTTTAAAAACTTTCAAATAGATGAATTCAGGTCCATTTGTGTTAAAGGTCCCATATTTTGCATAGTTCATCCTAAGCACTTGTGTGACAATAATTTGGGTGATACACCGTACAATACAAAAAACATTTCTTGCACAGAGGTAATGTCACCTCAGTTGAAACGTTTGGATCTCTGCTCCTCCCCCTGCATTGAACCGCTTTGTGATTCTGCTCTGTGAAAGGCGGTATATAAATAAAGATTACTTATATCAACTTAATGATCTCACAATGGAGAAACGTACATGTCACATTTGGCATAAATAGTATCACTGAGGCTGTGCGCAAACATGTTAAAGGTAAAATAAAATAAAACTATCTCCTTTGTGCAGGATCATGTACAATAAAAAGTGGCAATTGCAGTGCAGTTTTCTTCAGTCTAGTGCAGGTCAAAAGTGACTTAAAGGGACTTATTGTACACTCTGACAGCGGTGGGGAAGAAGGCCCTGCTGTTTACACAGAAGGTCTTCCTCAAGTCAGGGACCCTCTCCAAGCTGAGGTTCAGGTTGCAAATGTGGCTGAGGACCTCAGAGAGCTGCTCTACACAGGTCCTCAGCAACCTGGGACTGATCCCGTCCGGTCATATAAATTTCGTCTGCTTCAGTCGCTTCACCTCACCTCTGACAGTACGGTCGCTGAACTGTCAGAGGGGCTGGAATAGTGTCCACTGGGCTGTGTTCACACTCCAACCACACTCCCTACACGCCCCACCCAGCATGAACCGTAATGTTTAATTAATAATCAAACTGCCAGCCCAGAGGACACACCCTGTTTGATCAACAGTTTCAAAAGTTATATCTCATCTACACTCCCTATACACCCCACCCGAGCTGAAGCAGAGCGTTTTTCTGAAGAAAATGTACATTTTAATGGTTTTTTTTAAATTTTGCAATTAATTTACAAACCATTTCCTGCACTTTTCATTGCGAAATGAACAACAACTTCTCTTTTTATATAATTGTTTACAATTTCTTGTTTGAGAGTGTGTTGCATTCTTAGAGCTTTTGACAACTTATAAGTGTCCAAATATTTTAATTTGTGAGGTCAGTCGGAAATAGTTCTCGCGAGCGCCTCATAAATTAAAATCATTATGTCGATAACATTATTTTCAAAGTTGATTGAGATTTAAATGATTGTATACATAATCCATTAGTCTAAAAAAAAAAAAGAAAAAAGACTTCCAAGCAGAAACAACTAAGTGCCTTTATTTTGTGTTGTGAGTTTGCCGGATGTGGCTGTAGTAATACACGCTCTCTTCACTGACCACACTGTGCAGTCGTTTGCTCTGGCCATTGTCTGACCACAGCTACCCCCCGGCTGACCACCTCCACACGGACACACCGCGCAGCTCACCCGGGCTTCGGGTCACTCTGCTTTGGTCTCTGTCTTTGACCTCTGATGGCCCCTCCAACACTAGCTTAATTAGCCCTGTTAGCCTGCTGCAGCTAGCACGGAAGCTAACGGCCAAACGAGCGCTGCTGAACCATGTCCAGAAACCTGGGCTAACAGAGCTAAAGCAAGGACTGCAAACACCCATCGGACCGGTCCTGCTTCAACGACCTACTCCCCAGCTCCAACCCTCGGCTCCAGATCGGCCTGAGCACCGTAGGAGTCGTCGGTGCGATGACAAAGATCTCACCTGGTTCACAACACAACAGGTCAGTCTTTGGTCCAAATCAATCATTGCACAAATAATTGGCGAATTATTGTTACACTGTGGATGTGTATGCAAACACCTTACCCCCCATCCTGGCCTTTCATTATTATCTATGTGAAGTGTGTGTGTATGTGCGTGCATGTGTGTGTGTGGCGCTGCCGTAGTGTCCTTGAGCAGGGCATCTGGGCCCTCAGGCTGCAGCTCTGAATGGATGTGTCCCAGACAGCAGTGACCGGGTTATTGTGACTGCAGCAGCGCTTTGTATTGTGTCAGAGAAGGGTACAAGCGGCAGGATGGGCTTTAACTGAACCGTCAAATATGTAATCAATTCATAAAGGATTTCTTGTTAAACTGACAGTGACGGTGTGTTCTTGGCCTTCTGCTTCATGTGTTTTGCTGTCTGTCTGTTTTTATTATATCCCACTGGTAAACTAATTGGCCATAGCCATGAATGTCAAGGCTTGAATAATTAGGGTCATTCTCACTGAGATAAACATTTATTTTTTTTCATTCAAAAACCTCAGGTCGTCTTTTCCTTACACACTGAGGACACAGGCTGATGAACAATCGTCCAAATGTGTCAAAAATCCCTGTTCTTAGTGTTGACCACCATGACAAGACGGATTTGAATAGGGAAAGGAACCTCCAGCCATCCTTTTATTAGTCCTTTCAGCATAGGAAAGGAGGGACATTCATAGCGTGTCAATTAGGGATGTACCGATCCAGATTTTTTGTAATCCGATCCCAATCCGATTTTCTTAAAGGACAACTCACCCTCAAATCCACTTTTTTTTGCTGATAAACGGTATAAATGAGTGTCCAATAGTGTTGTCTACATATCCTGGTCATAATCTTGTCACTTTGGTGCAAATTAGTTGAAAGTTAGACTTTCTGCCTAAAACCGTCTGTGAGGCGCCATCTGCTGGCGACCTGTATTACTACATTTGAATTTTGAATCTGGCGCCAACACTGGCACAGAAGTTGGACCTGACGTCTGCAAGTTGGACCTGACGTCAGCAGCCCCCTGCCCAGAGCTATATAAACGGCCCTGTCTCGTTCACGCCCCCTTTAGTCCTCCAGGCTACGCCCATTTAGAGGAAGATTTGAACAGGAAATGTGAGTAACGTAAGCTCCGAGGAGCGGGGGTGAGAACCACTTTAAATATTGTTTTGCCGATACCGACCCAATACCATTTTTTCTAATATTTTCAAAGCATTAAAGAATTTGTAATTTTACCTGAATAAATACGTTTGTCGTGCCGGCTAACACACGTTAGCAGCCTTGTTTACAGTCACAGGGAATGAGGCTAGAGGAATATGTTCACAAGCAGTCTCCCCTATAGTTAGTCCTGGTGAAATCCTGGTTTAGTCCTGGTTTATCTCCTGTTTTTTGTCCCCATGGCGGCTCCGTGCGGCCGCTCTCTGATAGCCGCACGGAGCAAAAAGTTCATCACTTGCTTTCGCCCCATGCACCAGGTCTCTGTGTCCACTGCCTCTGCCACACCGCACATGCTAATCCTGACACGGACGTGCAGAACCATTGGCACGGCATTGAAAAACAATCTTTAGATCCATGTACGCTACGCATTGTGCGGTTGTTGTTTATGCATTTCCCAGAAAGTTTTGCGGTTGACGCTTGGCTTGATAGGTCGAGAAGCCTATGCCTACATCCCCCAGAATGCCACGCGCCTCTGACTCGGCTTTACTTCCTGTGTTTTCGTCCTGTTTTTTCTAACGGAGTGACGTTAAACTAACATTCTATCGACCTGTTTTCTATTGATATCGAACACGTGTCTATCACAATATATCTCGTTGTCGTTTTATCGCCCAGCCCTAGTTTTACTTTGTCTTTAGTTTACGGCAGCCATAAAGCGTGAGCATGCTGAAAAGTGACGTAAATCGGCTTCATATTTAACAAAACCGATATTATCCGATCCTTACAAAATACCCATATCGGCCCCCGATACCGATACTGAATATCGGATCGGTACATCCCTAGTGTCAATTAGCAGGTAGGAGATCTCAGCAACTTCCCAGCCCATGTTATCAGCCGAATACATCTGAAACATGTATGTAAAATTTTACTTGTAGTAGACTATGAAGTACATTTACCTCCACTTAGGCTATAGGACCAAAATACCAATTAAGACTGCTTAAACTTTATATAAAAAAATGAATTGAATCTGTTTCAGTGCTCTCAAAATTGTTTAAACATGCATGTTTTTTGGACTCGGGTGACGGGTTTATGACAAAATTCAGGGTCAAGGGAGAGTAAACTTGGAACCCTTGTAGGCCTACGATTCTCATCAGAAACGTTTGAGTAGCAGTTGCGCAGTGGATCAGTCTCTGTAGTAACGCTCACCGGCAAGCAGGTGCATCATATCAAGTAGAGTTGCACAATATATCGAAAACATATCGTTATTGCAATATTGAAGCGTGCAATATCCATATTGAAAAGATGCGTGATTAAAAAAAACCCAGACAGACTCATTAACATCCAACAAGAAAAACAAACAAAAAAGTCTATAAATGTATGTATTTGAAGGTTATTATTGTTTTGCTTATTTTTTGTTATTTGTCCCTTGTGTTTCAATGCAGATTGAAATGGGGCAAGACAAAAATATCGCAATAATATTGTTAATATCGAAATACTAAACACACATATTGAATAACGCTCTAATTTCCAATATCGTGCAGCCCTAATATCCAGACATCTATTGTATAGGAATACCCGTATACAGTTTATGGATGACACTGTCGCACAAGGCAACAGGCGCTGTGGAGCATGCGGTTTTAAAATGTGCCCTTGAGCCGATGCACAATGATCTATTGTACTTGTTGCCTATGTTACCTCATAATTTTCCCCCTCAAGTGGCGTGTAATAACAAACAACAATAATATGAATTTTTACTTTACCTGCTATTGTTGGAGGAGACCCCAACAGTGGCAGGACTACAAAAAAAAACCTTAAACCCGTATGTTTTTAATGCACTATGTAAGAAACGCACAAAACGCACACACACACACACAAAATGTAATAATAATAATAATAATAATAATAAAAACGAGCAAATAAACATGTGGTCAGATAAACACAGCCAAAATACGGCACTGGGATTTGTGGAGACAGCAGGTGGCAGCATTAATAATTTTTTGTTTTATTCATTATTATTCTTTGGTTTTCTATTCTTTTTCAGACGTAAATAATCATACATTCATACACAAACATACATACAAATAAATTAACACCTACATTAACACCCACACTTACACATTAGCACTTACTACAATTCCATGACAATACGTGCTTTTTTTTTGTTTTTTTGTTGCTTGTTCTTACGTACTTTATTTTATTTTTATTAAGTATTATTTTCTTTGTTCATTGCTCTGGATGCCAAAAAATGCCCCTTCCCTCCCCCACCAATATATTCTGCACTACAGTGTTGTACATAGTAATTTACGTTTTGGAATCTGTATCACATGGTGTTAAATAAATAAAAAAATATATAATAAAAAAACATTTTTACTTTAATCATTAATTTAATTTAGATTTTAATAATCAAGAATCAAAGCTATAAAGTGTAATCATGAACAACAACAAAAAATAAAAATAAAATAAGTATAGCTAAATTTATACTTCTGATAGATGGCACAAGTGACACCGTGCTGCCTTTACTCCGCATGTCCAGAGGAGATGCTTGTGGCTATAAACTTCGTTATACAGCAAAGCTCACAGCACCAAGTGGGTTCACTCTTTGTTGAATAAACAAACAAATGGCACACAGTGGGGCAAAAAAGTATTTGGTCAGTCACCAATTGTGCAAGTCCCACTTACAGGTGCCTGTAGTTTCTTTTCATCTTAGGTATACCGCAACTATTGGAGACAAAATTATGTTGAGTGGCTTCTGTTGATCCCAGAGTGCTTAATCCTCCTCAATATTGAAAATATTGGACTAATTCAAACTCTACTAGGCGTATGCTGTATTGAAAATAGTTTTCACTCCAAATGAGTTATAGCAATGCGCGAAAAGCTTCTTTGTGCTCGTTTTCCCCATAGACTGTAAAACTTAACGGACAGAGTCACGCCTATCTCCGCCATTTTAACTAATGGGCCAAAAAATGTGCTCTACTGGAGCTATCCAAAATGGCAGCGAGTGGTCCCGCCCACAAGAAAATTGTGAAAAAACGCATCTGCGCATGCGTCAGCCGGCGCAGCTCCATTCATTTGAACGAGAGACTTCAAAAATTAACAGCAAGTAAACTAGAGCGGTCCAAAAAAATTCACCCGCCACAGCATTGACACACATGTGGAAGGGAGCTTTGGGCCAAGAGCCAACTTTTGGACCATCCTGTAAAGACGTTTTCGAGAATTCTGTCAATGCTATATGTTAGCATTGGCTAATTCTTCTTCTGGGTCCACCCCCATCGGCCCGGGGTGGTATTGCAAGCATGTCAGTGCACGTCATTTTGGCCACTTTTGAGCCGGGACCCGCCCCCACTGGTTTCCCCGTATCGCCATTCCCTGCCAAACAAATTTGACAAATACTGCCACGCTAGCAATATATGTAATTATAAATCTATGATATTTCATATGAGGTTATAACACTGTACTTAATGAGTGTGTGTGCGTGTTTTAGGAAGTGGAACGATGGGTTCTGAAAGTCCAGACGAGCGTGGGCCGACTCTGGTCCTGGATCAGGACGACTTGAACGTTGGAGGCTTGATCAATTCAGATGGAGAAGAGATGGATTTCTCAGAGAACAGTCAGTCACTCAGTCCATATGGTTTGTCCCAATCCTCACCTCACTGTGTACACTGCATCCTGCTCTACAGTACATGAATTCTTATTTTTGTTTGCAAATAAACTCGTGCTGGATTGGCTGAGGGATTAGCACTCTCGCTTCTCAGCAAGAAGCTCCTGGGCAAACATGGGCAAAAACATGTACAATAGCCCCTTCTTCTCTGGGGCCAGGACTCCCCTGAAAAAGAGATACTGAAATCCCAGTAAAGGTCCGAAACTGAGCCATGACAGTAGCATGTGTCTTGCTAGACCGAGGCATTGGTTTTGCGGATTGAATTCTTGGAAAACTGTCCAGTTTGCAATTCAATCCTAGTATAAGTAAATAATGAAAACATAAAAAAGTGTGAGTATTGGGACATGGTCGTTGTAGCCGTATTCATAGCATCTTATTTGTGTTGACGACTTTTCTCTTGCATCTCTCATAGAAGACAGTGGCGAGTCCATGTTTGCCCTGGGACAGGATGAGCGCCCAGCATCGGATAACATCTGCCCTGTGTGTGGGAAAGACTTCCAGTATGCCTCCAAACTACAGAGGCACCTCCGCACACACTCTGGAGAGAGGCCTTTCCCCTGCTCCTACTGCGGCAAGCCCTTCACAGAGAAAGGCCTGCTCATGGTGCACGAGCGGCTGCATACGGGGGAGAAGCCTTTCCCCTGCAGCTTCTGTGACAAGAGGTCTGATACTACTGACATGTAGATCCACTAAGGGTGGGGCAAGACTGATATGTCACCAGATTTAAGATTGGTGAAGAATGATATTTAGATTTGCCTATGTCTAGGCCCAGCTGTAGTTAAAAGTTCTCCACATAGAAATGTGTAGTAAACTAATTCACACAGGGCACACCTTGAACTCTGTTTTAAAAACGTGGTATTGAAGTGTGTACAAAATCATTGAGAAAACGTAAGAATTTTTACATGTTGAATATTGACATTTGATCTAAAGTAGTAAATGGTGAATACCAGTGTAAATTCTAGATGGCGGAATTTGGTATATTGTAGAATATTCTTCTACAAAGCAGAAAGAATAGATGTTATTGAAGTCAAAATCTTGTCTCCATCTCACAAACGTAATCTTGCGACCTGTCGTCTTGTCTCACCCATAGTATTCAATTACATTCCTTCTTCACCTCCGTTCACACCTAAAACACCTCCCTGCAGTGTTTCAGAGACTTGTTAAAAAAAAAAAAAAAAAAAAGATGCATTAGTTTATTAAAACCAACGCCAGTGATGCCTTGCATTTCGTAGTTAACAAGCGGCCAGAAGCGGTGGGCAGTCTTTGATGGTAGATCAGTTTCAGCATGGGAAGGCAAGTTCATTTGTAAAGCACAGTCCAAACACAAGAAAACTCTTAGTGCTTCACATAACGAAACATGGAAATAATCATACACAAGGCATTCAAATCATCACTGTACATTAAAAAGAGTTGCTGTGCCAGATTGAGTACCGGTACCTCCTTCTCGGTCTGCAGCACTCGTGGGCGGCACGGTGGCTGAGTGGATAGCACTCTCACCTCTCAGCAAGAAGGTCCCGGGTTCGAATCCCGGTCGGACCAGGGCCTTTCTGAGTGGAGTTTGCATGTTCTCCCCGTGTCTGCGTAGGTTTCCTCCGGGTACTCCGGTTTCCCCTACCACTAAAAATATGTACAATAGGTCTGGCATGTGCCTCCTGTACTGGCCCCGCTCCCATCTCTGTGTCGAGTGAGAGACAAATGCCCAAAATTAACAATTGTAAACCGCTTTGAGACTCAGATCTGCAGTGAAAAGGCGGTATATAAATAAAAACTTACTTACTTACTTACTTACTTGTTTAATCCAGTCACTGTAGAATGTGAACTGTCAGTCCTGGATTAATACTGGTTTAACTCTGTCTTCCTCTTCATACTCTGACAAGCTTTGCACTTCCTGATAGGTTGGGTTTTTAATAGGACACAGTTTTTGTTGACTAAAATATTTTCACAATAGTCATAGTCAATGCCAGGATTCATCCATCCATCCATCCGGGCAAACCAGATGGATGGGTCGGGGGGTGGCAGTCAGAGCTGCACCCAGTACACATAGCACCAGCCCCTCACTGATCCTCCTGCAGGTGGTGAGTCCACGGTACTCACCACCTTCCAGCGGGGGCTTTAGGCAAAGTGGGGTTAAGTGTCTTGCCCAAGGACACAACGACAGCAGTCATCAGTGGCAGTCGTGAAGTAGGTCTCGTGGTGGGCTCGAACCCACGACCTTGAGCAGTGATCCCAAGACTTGAGGTCATCTATAGAACAGATGGGGAAAGCTAACATGCTCAGTCAAAGCCTCTGCTTTTCACGGTGCCGTGTTTGGTATCAAAAGACGTTTTGCTGAGAAGCAGGGCTGCATGCAAGGTCCCACAATCCATCTTTGCTCGATAAGGCACATTTTTTACCCTGGGTTAGGTCTAAGGTATTAACACCCACCCCTCCCCCGACATGAATTTATGTTCGCCTATCTTTGGCCATTGAATAAAACACCTCACCAGTTAAGCAAACTAGAAGGGTAGCGGCTAACTGAAAATTACTGTATTACCCTGCACGCCATTGCTTGATGATGTCATGAACTATCACCCATAGCCTTTGAAATGATGGTACCAACTGACAGACAACCCCTGACGTAAACATCTACTCCTTGGTGGAGGTAATATAAGGATAAGATTCTTACTTGATACAAGTTCTTCAATACCAGAAACTCTGAATCCAACAAGACGTGTCCTTTGAGACAGACACATATAAGAGACATTCATTAGAGTTACACCTAGGTAAGCATATTGTATTAATAAATGTCTCATAGTCATAGACAGTTGCTGCTTTAGATAATAATGCTCTACTAATGGTGATTCCTGTGGTGTAGATTTACCAGTCAGGGAGAGATGAAGCTGCACGAGCGCACCCACACCGGGGAACGTCCATACAGCTGCCGCCTGTGTGTCAAGAGCTTCTCCAGACACTGGCACCTCAAGAGCCACCTGGAGGCCATGCACGCACATGTGGTGGAGGGCTTTATACGCAAGAAGTTCCCCTGCTCCCAGTGCGACAAGAGCTGCAACTCAGCGGCTGAGCTCCGGGACCACCAGAGGACCCACACTGGGGAGAGGCCGTACCAGTGCTCCTTCTGTGACAAGGCCTTTGCCCTAGCAGGTAAAAGTGCTCTCTTATTCTTTCATTTTTAAATGACTGGTGATGTGGATCATTTCCCCCAGGCCATAGTTTGGACACCCCTGATCATCATGTAACATAACATCTGTCTTCTCAAGGGTGAAGGAATACGTTTGTGATGAATCGCTGATTTTTAAATGGATAGTTTTTTGCATAATACACTTAAGAAACAGGATACGCTGAAGTCTACACTGCAGGATGAGTGAAAATGAACTAGTAAATTGCATTCTTGATATCTGACTTGTTCCTTCATCCGACTCCCTATAGGCACCCTCGTCCGGCATGAGCGCCTGCACACAGGCATCACACCGTATCACTGCACCGACTGCGGCAAGACCTTTTCCCAGCAGTGGACCCTTACCACCCACATGCGCACACACACTGGGGACCGCCCCTACAAGTGCTCCCACTGCGACAAGTCCTTCGTCACCCCTGGGGAGCTGCGGCGACACAGCCATATTCACTCTGACGAGCGGCCCCATGAGTGTCTGGAGTGTGGAAGGCACTTCAAACTGGCACAGACCCTGCGAAACCACATCAGAACCTGCCACCGCAAGCCAGGCCAGGAGGGAGCCAAGGAGAGTAGCCCGAGCGCTGGAAGCGGCACAACGCGGAAAACTGCTAACTTGGTTACGGCTCACCTGGCCACAGCTAACCCGCCTACGGCTCACCTAGCCACAGCTAACCTAGCTACAGCTAACCTGGCTACGCCTAAGCTGGATGTTGCTAACCAGGTTGTTGCTAATCCAGCTGCTGCAAAGCTGGATACAACTAATGCTGGTGCAGATGTTCATTCTACTGCTGCTGACAAGGTGAGGACTATAGACGCTTCAATCATTAACTAGACAGCAAAGTGTAAGTGTAATGTCTATAGCAACAGAAGGAGAAAGATGTGGATTCCATTAGTGAAATCCACATCCACGTATTTTTTGCACTTGATATAACCCACCTGATTTATACAGTGCTTTATCAATGATCGTGTTTATCTTTTTAGTAAAGCAGTAAAATGTCATTGATTTGATTGTTTTGTTTCACTTAAAATTTCTCAATGATTTGCTGTACCCGGTTATCAGTTGTTAATCAACTGAACCTGTAAACAAATTGGTCAGTTGTCAAACATTTTAAATAAATTGAATGAGTGAATGATTATTAAACTTACTCAATTGTAGTGTAAATCTAACTTAAATAAGTCAACATTTTTGTTATATTTAAACAAAAGTCACATGAACATTTTGCTTGGTCTGAAAACACACCGTTTCCTCACCTATGTGAAGATTAACGTCCTTTTATCTGGTTGCCAAAATGCCTTTCTCGAACATTGCCTTTCAGTTCCTTCCATTGAATTAATCCAGGTTGAAATGTCTAATTAAAAGCCAAAGATAGATGCAGCAAAAACTTGCTCTTGTTCTGCGGTCTTCTCCACGCTCCATCAGTGAACAACATTGGAGGCATTTCCTGTTAAATTTTTGTCTGATTTATGTACATTAAAAGCACATTTCTGACTCTACTCACCACATTTCACTAGTGGTTCACACCGACTGGACACAGTTGTGTCAGCTGTAACGTTATTCTGCTGTTGTACCATTGCTATGACTTCATCCAATCAGCAGCAGACGCTCTCTTGGGTTCCATCCCAAACAATCATAAATGTATTGTACAGATTCTGACATCTCAAATATATATAGTCAATGTTGTGCCTTTTCTGTCCCGTATACATTGCACTGCACAACGAGGCTAAACGACGAGGCCAGAAACATGGTCCTGACCTCAATTTCACTATTTCTTCAATTTTCTAAGATGTTGATCAATTGAATGAATTAAATTCAACTATTAGCTATACAAGCTCTTACTCTGCCCCGTAACTTTCTTTAATGCTTTCCCAGCAAGGCAGTGAAACCGTTTTGACATAATATTTTTCAGTCAAAAAAGCACATATTCAATTTGAATGTTTTAATGTCACTCGTACATCCATAGAAAAGTGGTTCCTTTGATTGTTCCTTTACAAAGTATGGCAATAAACTTCCATTACATGGCATTATGTAGGAGATATTCTACCTTCAGAAAGTTCCTTACTACAGCTTTAACATCAGTTATTGTTTGGAGTCTTGAGTGTGCACTAAGTCTCAGACTTCTCTGTAGAGTCTATTGGAAATGGAATATGGACTCTTTCCTCACCCCTAACATGGCTTTGAAACACGCGAGAAGAGATCTGCAGACCAAACAGCTAAAGTGAATAGATGAGACAATTATGGAGGTCCTTTCTTTTAAAAAAAGGTCTTGAGCCACTGCATTTGTACAAATTACATTTCATACTAATGATGCCAGGCTAATGCTGAACCAGTGGAAGCTTTTTCACTAAACCTTTGTATTGAAAGAAAAATCCTGTTGATCCTTATCTTATCAGACACAAGGTTGTGACGTTTAAAATACTTCTTGTCTGATTTAATTTAATTTGGATTTATCCTTAATTCAAAATGCAATGGACATTTCTAAATACATGCTGTGGTCAGAAGACTTCATTATAAATAAAATGGTTATCAATTTGGCAAGTTATTCAAATTGTGCAACTTCAACTGCGTGGTGACAGTATTTTTCGACCGCTGTGCTTGCATTCTCCTACCCGTCCGTTTTAAGTATACTGAAGGATGTACATTTTTCTGAATTGGGGCGGAGCCATGGCCTCTGCATTCCTTTATGTGTTCGTTTGAGTATGGCGCTGTGACAGACCACACTGGCTGACTTCAGCCTGAGGAGCTCTGTGCTCACCTCACCCTTACCTCAGGCGCTCTCACAACATGGCCGTCATGTTTCTGTTGTGTTCCTCAGCCCCAAGTGTCGGCAGCTCTTTTACACCCACCTAACTAGTGCCTGTGTGAAACGCAGGTATAACATGTGTGACATGGCATCACATTTACACTTGTGCTCGTAACTTTCATACCCTGGAATCACTGCATTAACCGGTAACCCTAAAGAGAATAAAACTGATAACAAAACATCATAATTCAACAGAAACTCTTCAAATAAACTTTTGTTTTGTACACCACAGGAACTGGTTTCCTTTACACACAAGCAGGTTTGAAAGCTAACCATTGTTCACAATTAATGTCTTCACTCAACGGCAAATACTGTACCTCTTCTCTGTCATTGTCCATGACCAAGAAATTTTGAATTCTGTCAGGGCATGTGAACTTATGAGCACAACACTGTATGTAAACCACAGACTTGTCTTGTCCTCTGTCCAGCCGCTTCAGAGCCTGTCCCGTCCCCAGAGTCCGTCCTGTCCCCAGAGCCCATCAGCAGCAGGAGCGAGTCCCCCAGCGGAGCCTCCACAGCACCTAGGCCGCACCTCCAGCCCGCTCAGTGTACTTGTGAAGGAGGAGGAGGAGGAGACGCCCCTCTGTGGTAGGAATGGGACCATACCAAGCCCCGGAAATCCAAGATCCGATCTTTATGAAAGCTGTAGGTTTTCTGTCAGCTGAGTTCGAGCTGTTTTAGTTTACATTGAGTACTACGTGGAAACTTTCTAGGTAGCCCACGTGAATTTAGTCTTGTTTTAGTCTGTAGTAGTGGCAACAGTGGCTCAGTTGGTAGAGCATTGGCCTTTGAGCCTGAAGGTCGTGGGTTCGTGCCCACCATGAAACCTTCTCCACCGACTCAAGATCAAGGGCCTGTCCCAATTCTGAGGGCACTCGAGTTGTGAGTGCCCTCAACAGAAGAGTGCCCTTCCATAGGGGAGTGCACACGCAGGATATTCTCCCTAAGAAATGGGACACCCATGGATCTAGGGGACAATATGCAAATCGACGCAGCAAACATGTTCCACATTATCAATGAGTCTGATTTCACCACAGATAAGATATGGCACAGATATGACTTTATGAGACAAAGTATTTAATAAAGTGAGATGTTTTGATTTGTATTTCATATGAAGAAATCAGCAATAATTGGGTATAGGACTGCTTCATATCACGCACACACGTAAGCACACACACGTACGTAGACGCACGCACACAGAGAGACAGACAGACGTGCACGTACGGACACAGAGATAGACGAGTACAGGCACTGATCACAAAGATCCTGTCAAAGCAATGCAGGTTCTGAACTACATCATGGATCTATAATAATAACACAAATCCACGACTCTGAAGCCTCTGTGAACGCGGATTTCACTACTGTATATGGCACCAACACACGTTAGTAAGCTCCGGAGCTCACTAGCGCTCAAGGGTGGTTTTTAAGGGTATGCTCTCACTGACATAACATCTGATTGCCACAGCACAAGATAAATAAACAATAACTGTTTGAAAATTAAAAAAAATCTAGCTTTCCATAATAAGGAAGCAAATCTAAAATCTCCAACATTACCATAATGAAGAAGTATAGAATAGTGTATATACTATTGCAAGAAATACAATGTTAGCTTATGTACAGACCATAAGTTTGGACACACTTATTCAATGAGTTTCCTTTCTTTTCATGACTATTGACTGTAGATTCACATCCAGGCTGTGTGAGGGCTATTTGACCAATAAGGAGAGTGGTGGGTGCTGGGCCAGATGACTTGGCCTCCACAGTCACCAGACCTGAACCCAATCAAGATGGTTTTGGGGTGAGCTGGACCACAGAGTGAAGTCAAAAGGGCCAACAAGTGCTAAGCATCTCTGGAAACTCCTTTAAGACTGTCGGAAGACTATTTCAGGTCACTACCTCTTGAAGCTCATCAAGAGAATGCCAGGAGTGTGCGAAGCAGTAATCAGAGCAAAAGGTGCTACTTTGAAGAACTGAGAATGTAAGACATATTTTCAGTTGTTTCATACTTTTTTTTTCTGCACGTACATAATTCCACAAGAGTTAATTCATAGTTTTGAAGCCTTCAGTGTGAATCTACAATTATCATAATCGGGAAAATAAAAAACTCTTTGAATGAGAAGGTGTGTCCAAACTTTTGGTCTATATATATATATATATATATATATATATATATATATATATATATATATATATATATATAATTATATTTTATATATAATATATATATTATATATATTATATATATATATATATATATAATTATATTTTATATATATATATATATATTTTATATATATATATATATATATATTATATATATTATATATATATATATATATATATATATTATATATATATATATATATATATATATATATATATATATATATATATATATATATATATATATAATTAATATATTATATTTTATATATAAAATATAGCTGCCACGGTGTCAGCAGAGCTAAGTTTGAATCAAAATTGCTTCAAAAGTGTCATAAAATATTATTACTCCTCCCTTTGGTCACTCATTGTGACGCGTGACCATCAGAATGGATTAAAAAACGACATTACATAATAACTCAATACTTACAAACTCAATATACTTCAGGATACATAAAACATGAACAGATCTTGAAACTCGTCAACAATCTTCAGAAAAAAGCCAAACTACTTCAGTCAATTGGGTGGTCTTCACATTTTGCTTTGAGAACAGTCTCTCCCACTTTCCATGTTGAATTCTTCCTTAGGCTGTTGCGTCGTAAATTCTTCTTACACGTGTCTTCCAATCACACGTTAGAGCTTTAGTGTCCAAATTCATCCCCGGAATCAGGGGCTGTTCAGATTGTCCATAGTGCGCTGATCCAGGTGCATGCTTTCTCTTGATGTTTTTTAGTTGTCTTAAAAAAGAAAAAGTCTTCTGTCTGGAGATGTTATCTTCTTCAGTTGGTGGAGGATGGGGCATTGTCTAAAGAACATTCATTCACTCTGTACACATTGGTGATAATTAGGGGTGGGAACCTAAGGGTACCTTACGATACGATACACGATACAAAGCTCACGATAACGATAATATCACGATAACAATATTACGATAACAATTTTATCACAATATGACGATTATTGATATATTGGTCAGAAATATACAATATGCCAATTTATGGCATAAATAAAAGAAAAAATACTCTTTATTTCATGATAAATAGAATGGAGATGCATAATCTAGCCATTTATTAAGTATTGATGCCAATTTTTTCAAAATCGATATTGATACTTGGCAAATGTATATCGATAATCGAATCGCGGGAGAAAGTATCGCAATTAGGGATGTAAAAAACTATGAATTTTCATGACCGACCACCGAGCCTCATTAACCGGTTGAAACCGGTTAACCGCGTAGTTTAAAATAGTCCACGTTCTTTGAAATAACAGCCATTTCGAGCCGCGTACTTTTCATAAGTGCAGCTCTGCTTCTACTGGATCAGAGTTGAGACAGCAGCGCCAAAACCCGCAACAGCTCCGGCACCTTTGCGCACAGAGAACTGCTTTTTTTCTTCCCATTCTGCTGTGCTGCGGGTTAATACCAGAACTTTCTAGCAGCAAACGACGGCTCGTTCACATGGTCAGAGCAGCGAGTGACGAGCCGCGTCTCACAGGTCTTCACAAAAGTTTAAATACAAGTGATGTGTGTGGAGCTGATCCCGAGGACCATAAACACAAACATGTTCCATGTGGTTTGACTGGAGCCGTGTATTTGCGCGAATCCTTTGGGCTCCGTGACACAGAGGAGCGCGACAGACCGGTATGTGTGTGAATGTGTGTGTGCATGTATGTGTGTATGTGTGTGTGTGTGTGTATGTATATGTGTGTGTGTGTAAATGTAAGCTCCAATGTAGTTCTGACCCGCGCCAGTGTGCAACTTTGACGGTAACAGAGGGGAGAGATGATGCGTGTGGATGTTACGTATGGAGAGGGGGAAAGTGTGTGTGTGTGTGAGTGTGTGTGCGCGCGCGTGCGTGTGTGCATATGTGGCTCGTGCGGCGTGAGAGTCGTCCCGGAGTTTATAATACATGGGCGCACACAGCTAGATACAGACCCGCTCGTCACACCGTGCAAATAGGGCTTAAAATAGCGTTATTAAGAGACCTCCCCTCTCCCCTTTTTCTCTTTTTTAACCGACAGCTTTGACCGGTTAACGCTGTGACGGTCAACCACCGGTTAACCGGTCGCCGATTTACATCCCTAATCGCGATATATTGTCACACCCCTAGTGATAATCTTCTACGGTAGCCTCAGCTACTCTGGAACATACTGACTGAAGCAAGGAAACTGCCCATCTAACCACCACCAACCAAACACAGAGGCACGCAGAAACACGCACCGATGTGGATAAAGTGTCTTGCCGAGGGACACAACAGGACTTTGCAGCCGCCCTACTGTGGCATGTGATCACACGCAATCACTGTACTAAACAGGCTATGCCCTGCTTAGCTTTTGAGATCGGATGTGATCAGGCTTTCACATGTAGGTGGCGCCACTATGTTGTTTTTTGGAGAAAACGAAGAATGTAAAACCAACAGTAAAACAGGGTCTCAACATAGTCCTCTCTCGCTGTTGCCGGTGACCTGCGCTCTGATTTAGTGCTGTTGTTTTCCAGCTGCTGCAGACTCTATGTTAAAGGAGCAGCCAAGGCCTCACAACTCCGCCGCAAGAAAGCCTCCAAAGAAACGCAAGCTGAAGGCTCGCATCAAAGAGGAGCAGGAGCAGCCCATCAACCGTGAGTGAAGACTTTGTGTAACTCATTGGATTTAAATGTATAGTATGTAATGGGTTCTTACTTAACTTAAAAAGGTGTATCAGGTTTGTGTCACAGCGAGAGAGATTCTGGTTGGATTGTAATGACTTTCAGAACACAAAGAGTGCATATTACATTATATCCCCAATTTTTCTGGCCAAAAGACATCTAAAACCTATCATCAAAGTTCAAAGTGGGTATCATTGGTGCGGCCGTCATTTGGAAGAATATACTATTGTATATACTAGATTACAACATTAGTGTTGGATGAGATGGGATATGAAGCTGGTTCTTAACTGTCACACGATTGAGAGATTCCAGCCTTAAGACAGCGTTGTAGTGACTGCTCTCTTCTTGCCAGTGTCTATGGTGAACCGTGCAAAAGTGAAACGAACCCAGTGCCCAGGCCTGCCCTCACAGAAGGATGAGCTGGAGGATCCGTCCAAGAGCCCGTTCTGCTGCGGTCTGTGTGGACGTGACTGCCGCAAGATGTCTGCTCTCCAGGTGCACATGCGCATCCACTCTGGTGAGAAGCCCTACAGCTGCTCCTACTGCGGCAAACAGTTTACCCAGAGAGGCCAGCTCACCGGCCACCTCAAGATCCACACAGGGGAGAGACCCTTCACCTGCCCCGACTGTGGGAAGAGCTTCGCCCACTCCGGAGCCATGAACCGCCACCGACTCACACATACTGGGGAGCGGCCGTACCACTGTCAGGTGTGCCCACGGACCTTCAACCAGTCCGGACGCCTGCGTGAGCACGAGAAGATCCACAGTGGGGAGAAATACGACTGCCCACAGTGCGGTAAGGGCCCAGCTACACACAGCTCCAGTAAAACACTGCATGGTGCCACTGTTTGTGCTTATTTGGCTTTTAACTACAAGTCAGAAACAAAAGGATATCTATATGTTTAATTTATAATCTCTACTCGTCATAATGATGAACAGGGTCCAAAATGTTTGTCAGCCTGTTTGTATTGGAATAAGGATCGGGGTGGTAAGGTAATAGTTGTTGGTTTTTGTAGTTTTGTCTCGGCCAATCTGCTTTTATTTTATTTTGGCGACTGATGCCCTTACTACAAGAGCAGTGAAAGCCATGAATCTATTATATCTATATCCTTTACGTATTAAATTATCTGGATAGGGTATGGTTGCTTTAGCTAGTACAGCAAAGTTTCATATTCCCTGCACCAAGAATTGATGTTTGCGTGAAAAATGGTGTTGTTCGTGGGCAGCATCCAAATTGTTCTGATACTGTCTTCCTTATCCTTCCTCGTTCTAAAGAAATGTAATGACCTTTTAATGAGACGATGTTTGTCCAGGTTTGGTCAACTGAAATTAAATGACAAAAGACAGGGGACAGTTTGAAGTGTGTTTAAATTTGCATACAGCCACGTCCTTTACAAAAATTCCTCTATGAGAAAGAAAATCATTTCAGGTTATCCTTATATCTGTGATCTGTCACTTTTTAAAATCTCAGTAGACCAAAATTGTAGCATGTATGTGGCTCAACAAGCCCTTTGTCATCTTAACAAACCTTGTCTTGCTTAGGGAAGACGTTCACCCGCGCGTCCAGCCTGAAGAACCACGTGCGCCTTCACACGGGGGAGCGACCATACATGTGTGACGTGTGCGGCATGGGATTCACTCGCTCCCAAAGCCTCCGCCTGCACCGACGCAAGCACCTGGGTCTGCAGCCCAAGGAGGAGCCTGAGGAGGAAGAGGAGGAGGAAGAGGAGGAAGAGGAGGGGGAGGAGGGGGAGGAGGTGGAGGCTGAAGAGCTGGACGACTCTCTGCTCCAGCAGCTCTACACTGACCACAACTCTCCCGTCAACATGTGCATAGCCGACCAACACAACTGTGCCAACGGGGAGAGCGGCGAGGGGGACGGGGACCAGTGGTTTGTCAGCCACAGACTGTTAGAGCCACACGCCGCAGACATGAAGCCTACGTAACAGCATTCCTCTGGCTCCATCTTCTACACACATTCTTCTCTGGACCTAGCCTCCAGCATTCCCTTACCTACATGGCTTTGTCCCAATTCCCTGCACACGATGGCTCCTAGCTCCTAAAGAACAAACATTCAGCATTATTTTGGTTCATGCTCATTTTTTAAAATGTGAAATAATTTTAGTAAGAAGTCTCTAATGTGTATTAGCAACTTCTACTACTTACTACTTATCATTTATATCTAAGATGGAATACTCTAATTTAAGGCAAATGATTTTTAAATCACTACAAACTTTTTTGATGGCGATTTTTTTGAGAATCAGAAAGTCTGTGATGTAATTTTGCAAAGCTTGGTCACAGCGTTGAGTAGTTTGCGTACCAAAAGTTAATTGTTAGCGCCATTGGTGATGATATCCTGCCATGAAACCCATAAAATAAGATTTCGCATACTCATCGCCAGTGTTCTGAAACCTTTGGTGGGAGGAAGGTGGAAGGTGAAAGATCCCATACTGCTCCTTCTGCTAGCTCCGTCCTAACTCACTGGTCTAGTCACACTTTTCATGGCGGAGGGTGACAAAAGTTTCCTTTGAGCTGGAGCTAGGAGCTTCCTTGACAATGAGGGAGAATTTGGAAAGAGCCATCCCGCACACATGCCCTCCTTTGGACCTGGCCTCGAGCATTCCTCTGTCTGCATGTTGTACACACATGCCCTTAGGTCTGTCACCAACAGAACATGTGCAATATACATATAGAATTGTGTTTAGGGCTGCAGCAACAACAACTCAGCTAATGGAACTAATAAAGAAGAATTGATAATCATATTTGTTCACCCCTTGATTGACGTTGTCTTGGTGACAAAACATTATTTATTGAAAATGAGTTTAATTTGACAAATCGTTTACTTTGTGGTTGTGAGCAACCTCACTCTTGCTATTGCAACTACCTCATCTCTTTGTCAGGTCTGGTCATAATCAACCAGGAAATAACATTATAAACTTCACACAATTTTCCAAATCAACCATTTTCAATTTTTAAATCTAAATCTTGATATAAGTCTTATTTATTGAAATCTGTGGTCAACCATGTCATAAGCTCTTTAACTGGACCTCAAAAATGTCGAAAGACTTTTTTTTTAATGACGCATTTATGCCATAAATGTGAAAAATAAAAATAAAACTGTTAACTGCAGCCTTAATCACAAAATAGGATCATATTATACCTACTTCATAGTTACCACTGACAGTAAAGCAGGGCAAATCCAATAAATTTTTTTGGAAAGTATTGTTACAATAACTATGATACCACAAAGTAGCTCCAGAATTCCAAAGAAAGTAACCGCAGGATTAATATTAACCGAGGAGTGTATTGTTGTACCATTTATTTATTGAGCTATAATTCAAAATTGGTCATTCTCTTTTCAGACTTACATGCGTTCCCACCTCGTGACCTGAGGACCATGTGAATATT